TGAACCAAGTTGTACAAACACCCTTCAATACACATTAGCATCTCAATAAATGACACAAGATCACCTTTAATCAAAATATTCTTAAATTTTCTTATACCTTCGCCATTATTCAATTCCTTATTTAGCTAATATAGATTCAGTAGAACAAATACGTCTGCGTCTAGAGGTTGAGATCCGGACCCCATGTTATTTCGGGCGAGATTATATATAAGAATCTCAGTAGAGCTTTAAGCTAATTGAAGGAAGAAAGGAAGGAAGGGAGAGAGAATAAGACGGTAATATATAAAAGTAGCAGCGAACCCACCCAATCTATATCTCAACTCCTGGACAAGGTTTCTAAATCATTAGACAAATAAATTTAGCAAAAAACTTTTTACCCATTGATCCACATATTTAATATACATTTTTATGATCTCCAAATGTGTGAGTTAACAAATTCCATAGGTGTTGGTTTTATATACCAAATGCAACACTAAACTCATATTATATAAATGTCCTATATATTTATTTTAGATTTCAAAGGTTTTCTTTTTCCAGAAAGCATGATCTTTTTGAGAAAATTCGATTTTCACAATAATTGATTTTATGTTTGAGCCATGTACTTTGTTTAATCAAAATTCTAAAAAAATATTTAGAAGATTTGAAATATGACGATTATAATACCCAAACTATCATCATATATTAATGTTAGCTCTTAACAACTCCCAACCTTCTTAAAGATATATATTAGTTACTAATAAATTAATATCTAATAATTTATGTGTTCTTAATTGTTATAGATGATTGTTGACTATAAAGTTTGAACCCTGTAGATGATGAATTTTATGCTTTCAATAATTGATTTTCATATTAGTAATGGTATAACTGTCTTAGTTCTGTTTGGATTAATAAAGAAACAAGTTAAGAATATTGGTATTTTTTATAGTTAAGAATATATATATGCACCAATAAATAGAAATTAGTAGCTTAGGATAACCAATCAAGAAAATTACATGTGAACTAATTATTATCAATGTCAAAATTATCAAGTAGTACAAACATATTTTCCATTCTTTAGTAAATAATTGAGCGTATCCAAAATCATTTGAAAATATGATTGAATTGTGTTAGGGGAGATTAATACATGAGGCTAGGCACACTTAACATAGCATCAATGAAAGAGCGAGTTCAGGAAGAATAAAACCCACCATGTTTATTTTGGATTAGGCAAGGAGAAAACCCCTACTCGGAGGCGCATGACGACAAAGTAAGTGTCTGTCCAAATCAGTATTGATACTGGCAGCCTGGTGGCACATGTGCCTTTGTGGCGTTGTGCGTGATCAAGAGCGTTGGTCGGGGCGCATGCCCGTTTGGAAAAATAAGACATTAAATACTCTGATAAGGTTGTGAGATCCACATCGAGTATAAATAGGGAGCAGGTAAGAGCATTTAAGCAAGTTGGATTCTCTATCCAAAACTTGAAATACCACTTATCTCGGTAGAGCAGATCTTGACTTGACCTCAAAAGTACTAACAGACCTAAAAAAGTCCGCGTGTGCGCATGTGCAGGTGAAACAAAGAAACAACCTGAAGTTCTATAATCAAAGCTCTAATAAAGTGATTATAATAAAATAGTGACAAATAAAATAAATTATATCAAACCAACAGGTCGGACAAAAGCTAGTAACTATAAAGAGATTCTACTCCAAGCCATCCAAAAACTGATATTCTACAAGCAAAGCTTGGTTACCAGCCAAGCTATATCTGGAAGAGTTTAATGGGTGCAAAAGACAAGATTGAAGAAGGGTTCAGGTGGAGAGTGGGCAATGGGGTTTCTATAGACATTTGGAAGGATACTTGGATCCCGGGAAAGGCTTTCTACCAGGCTGACCCTCCCCCTGATGGGGAAACTCCTGAGATAAAGGTTAGTGCCCTGTTCGATGAAGTTTATGGTGGATGGGATGAATCAAAGCTGAGGAATTTGTTCTCCAGAAGTGATCAAGAACTAATATAAAAAATCCCTATTCGTTCCCCCCCCGATGGAAGATTCAAGGGTCTGGAAAGCTACTGACAATGGGGCTTACTCAGTAAAAACTGCATACCACTATGTTCGAAGTCAACAACAACACACAATGATCCGACTTCACAATAGAAACATGGAGGATTCAGATTTTTGGAAAGCCCTGTGGAAGCTTCAGATTCAACCTAAGGTTCGGATCTTCTTATGGAAAGTAAGTAAGAACATCTTACCTGTTGGTGTCAATATCGAGGAGTGGATCTAAAATGCTGCTCCGGACTGTCCTTTTTGTAATCTTCCAGAATCCCAAATGCATGCCCTGCGCGAATGCGACTGGGTCCGAAGGCAGTGGAGAAATTGTGTAGAAAATGACCTGTATGAGATGGGAGAAGGAAGGACATGCATCGACTGGCTTAAAGAGGTCTTCAACAATTCATCCATAGAAAAAGTCCAAAGATTCTGCTCAATTATGTGGTCCCTATGGAAGGAGAGGTGCAATCACAAGTACAATAATTGGAAGCTAGAAGAAGAAGAAATCATACCTCGAGCTTTGGGGTGGCTGTCCTCCTACCTGGAAGCTCAACCCAACCCTGCTTCGGCCCTCCTTTCTGGTCATCTTGAGAGCAGAGCCCCGCGGGAAAGACGTTGGCTTCCTCCTCCTGAGGGGATCTACAAGTTGAATTCGGATGCTGGGGTGCTTCAACAGCAGGGAGTCGGACTGGGCGCCATTATTCGTGATTGGAGGGGAGGTTTCGTTGGAGCAACGGTGAAGAGAGAGAAGGGGATCTGCCGTTCGATCGAAGCCGAAGCAAAGGCGATGATGATGGGTCTGCGTGAAGCCAATCGGAGATCCATCAGCCCGTTGATCATTGAGTCGGACTGCCAAGTGCTGGTGAACTTACTGAATAGAGGGGAGGATGATTTCACAGAGATTGGGATTTGGTGCGATGAACTCAAGAGGATGGCAGGTGAGAATGAAGCTATATCTGGTGTGAAGGTGAAATGGGAATTTTCGCCACGAAAGACTAATTCTCTGGCCCATTGGTTAGCCCACTCTGGTTCAGGTTGGAATCATCAGGTAGTTTGGGTTGATGACCCTCCCCTTACTTTATTGTGTATGGTTGAGACTAACTCGGTTGTATTTCTGTGGATCAGGCTTGATCCTTTTTAATATTATTACCCAGGTTTCCTATAAAAAAAATTACATTTTTCCTGGCCCTGCGCATAGATCGGAAGGACTCTTTGGTCAAATTGTAATTTCTTAGCTGGCTTCGTGATGCAATAGATCTCGTGATGAACAATATTGATTGCAATTAACCTGCACAACTGGCCGATATAATTAATTGATATCTTGCAATGTAACGTCCATCATGGTGTGAATTATAGTTTACTAATTGCATTTATATTAGAACCATAAACAAAGTTTAAGTAATTAATTAAGGTTTTCATGTTGATGTTAGTACACGCAATCATAACGATTTTGCATATATTATTTAGACTCATATTTTTGGTGATTACATTTTAATTTGGATAATACTAATTATTAGTCAAATATGTTTTATTAGACAAATCTATTGAATTACTAATAATTAGCCAAATATTTTGTAAGTATCAAAATATTAGTCATTTTTCTATTATCGTTAATAATTTTGCAACTCTTTTCTTGGTTAAATTATTGACCTCTATGTGTCTGTTTCAAGTTAGTATCGTGTCGCTAAGTCAATATTACTAACAAAATTATTAACTGAAAATGACTGCAAAAAATATTTGGCTAATAATTAATATTTACTCTTTTTATTTTATAATTTTATAACTCGAAAAAATATTCCCCATAGAGAATTATCTAAACAATTACATAATGGTTCAATTAGATCACTAAAACTTGCATATAAGTACAAATATAGGTATTAACATAATTATATACATATTACAATTTAATGTTTTCTCATGCCACATGAAAGTAAGGGAAAAAGAGAACCATTTTTATGCCATTTAAAGGTGTGGTGAGTTCTTATCAGTTTCTTTCTGAAACACAAAATAAGTCTTTTGATGCTATGAACCTCAATGAGTTATCAGTTATTTATAATCTCTCTAACTATTGCACATTACTGATATTACAAAACCATTGCTCTCCATTTTACATTTTCAGAAATAGATCCACTTACATCATAATTAAAGAGACTCGATCAATCATTAACTAAAATTAGCATTTGTAATAAAAACCTAAATTAGCAAGAAAAAATATGATCTTTATACAATGCAAAAGGGTATATATGGATAAGTTTTCAACATTCCAACTAGTAATTCATTAATTTATTATTATTATTATTATTATATATTATCAAATTTCTATATAGAACTTGAAAATGAAATGAATAGCTTACAAGCTAAGAGAAATAAATTGTTAAAGTTCATCAAACTTGATGGAAATTATTATAATCGTTTTGGATGATGCGCTCTAGAGACTTTTCAGGTTTATTGATATTTATAGTATTTAATTTTTCTTCATTTTAATTTTTTATCAAATGTATTACTTATATTCGATTTTTTATTTTATTGCAGCTGTTGAAGTGTTTACCATTGGAAATCCAAAGTATAAGGATAAAATTTCATCAAAAGTATATGAATAAAATTTCATCATGGATTTATGGACATTCCAAATCCCATATCAACATATGAGATTTATAAGTCCATGGGATCCACGTACTTGGATCCTCAAAATTCGTGAGTACCACGAATTTGGTCCCTAGAAAATTGCAAGCAAACAATGGATTTTGCTCAAATCCATAATGAATTGGATTTGGATATCAAATCTATCAATCACGAAGCAAACGACCCTAGAGATTACAAAATTTGCTACCTACAACAATGCCTATGAAAGCTAAATGTTGAGTGGTTAGTTGAAAGATTAACCTATATCAGATTATGATTTAATAAACTTGTTGAAATTGAGGGGATGCATATCACCTTTAATATAATCTATTATAACGCAAGAGACCGTAAATTATTCTAAAAAAATGTATTACAACTTACAATGATATGAAACATATAGGTTTTTTAAAAAAAAAAATTATATGAAAAATATAGAGGATGTAAAATAACCGAAAAGTCATGGTTCTTTTTGTTACTATTCGTTAAGCAGTAAGGTTGTAATTTCATCAACTTTGAGAGTTTTGGTATTTGGGGGTTTTTACCCCACACGGCAATAAGGCCAGTTAGTTTTTTTTTTTTTAGCCATTTTTTTTCATTCAAGCTTTAGATTGTTCTGGTTCATATATGTAAACCTGTTAATGACTCTTTTTTCCTTATCTTTCATTTAGTTTATCGTTTTTTTTTATTGAGTCGACCTTTTTGTTTGTATTCAATTTTCCCATCATTTTTTAAAAAAATTTTGAATAATTTTTCATTAATCTTTAGGTTGTTTTAGGTCACATATGGGTACAATTCTTTGTTCGTATTTGATTTTTCGTATTCGGCTCTCTATTGCTCGAAGTTCAATAGAAAGACAACGAAATCTCACTTTTCATCAATGAGAACAAAAGTGGCCTCATTATCGACATAGCAAGAGGTTACATTCTTCCGTCTTTTCCCTATGCTTTTGTTGCATACTCGTTCTTTTATTAATTGCAGTCGAGATCCAAATTGAAAAAAAGCTTTTCTTACTCAATAGTACGTGCATCGCCCTCATCTCTGACCCATAGGTAGGTTTGCTAAAATCTTATCTGATGGTTAATAGTTTTACTCTCGCATTGATCCCTTGGAAAATAAAGGTCGTTTCTTTAACGAAAAGGACTCGTAGCTGTATCTAATCGGCTCGAGAGAAGGTAGCTTGGACCTCGCGATCAAACTAGATGGTACACGAGTGCCTGACTAGTGGGCTTAAGATATGGTGCATAACCAAATCTGGACCATTCATTTAGAAAATCCAGATCTAAGAATGGAGAATTAAATACCATTTTTATTTTTCCTAGCTTTCTTAATCAGCTCATATCTTTTTAGTTTTAACTCGAATTTTTTTTTTGCACATATGGAACGAGTTCATCGTGCTCTACAAAATGAGATCAATTTTCAATATTTTTTTAGAAAAAAAATTATGGCCTCTCGGTACCAACTGCATACCATATGGTATTTTCTTTGTTTTTAATTCGTTTTTGAAAACGTTTGCACAGAAGGGACGAGTTCATCATGATCTATTGGATCTACAAATTTCTGGGCGAACAAATTACAAGACAAAAAATACCACACAATACCATACAATACCACCCTGGTACGAGGTGGTATCTTGTAGTACACAATGTTAAAAGTCGTAAATGACAGTTAATATACTTCTACTATCATGTATTCAACCATCCTACAGTCTTGGTTTGTTCATACCATCATGATACCCTTTTCAAACCATAGGTATGCTCTTATTTCAATACCAGTCAATACCATATGGTATTGAATGGTAAAAAATAGCTCAATTTTTTTGTTCAAAAAATATATCAAAATGGATATCATTTTAAAGAGCACAATTAATCTGATCTAACTGTGGAAAAAAATTAAATTTTGACTTAAAACGAGTGATAAATCGTCCGTCAAAAATTGAGGGGAAAATTAAAGGCATTCCAGGAGAGTAATGTTGATGTCATGCTGATGTGTAGGGGTGGAAATCGGTACGGTATCGGTATCCCAATACCAAATACCGAAATATCGAATTATGCCCGAAAGTCAATCCCAATCCCAATCCCTAAATAATTTCGGTATCCCAATCTCATCTCAAATTATTCCGTTATCCCAATCGGTACTTCGGTATTCCAATCGGTATTATCGAATACGAAATAAATTACATTTGAAATAAATAATAAAATATATAAATTAGATTTTATTATTTAATTTAGGGCAAAGAGACTAAGCAAAGAGTCTTGAGTTTGCCTAGAGCTAGGATATGGATAAAAAGAATGAAAGGGAGGTGACATCTCAAGTTCTTGTCATTGGTTATCTTTAATTTGATGAATTGAAAGCTAAGAGACGACTAATACTAGTGTTTGCTTTTTGGTGTTATGAAAATAACAAATTATTAGGTGAGAGTGACTTAAATTGGAAAGTCAAAATTGAGTTGGATGGAGACTTTTGAGTTGTGAAACAAAGATAAAATGATATATGTAAAATTAAATGACACTCTTGGTGATTGAGGGTCGCATAGTTAGTGAATGAGAGAGTCTAGTTGAGTGGATAATATACACACTAGCTTATATTTCGGTATTGATCGGTATTTCGGTATATACCGATCCCAATCTCGTAATCCTTAATACCGAATTACAATTGAAATTCAATCCCAATCCCAAGAAATAATCCGTGTATTCGGTAATACCAAATATAGACAAATTCGGTATGGTATTCAATATATCCCAAATAATGATACCAAACTTCCACCCCTACTGATGTGGATGGGTTACTTATGGTTACTCACCATAACGTTATTGACATGATCCGTTCCCTGAATAGTGACAAGAAACTAGAAAGCATTACCATGCTACGTAGAAGAGTGCCACGGATACTATGGGCAGTATTCAAAACAACATTTTTGGTGGGAAAACAAGAGAAAATAGCATATCTCATGCTATTCAATCAAACTAAACACAAGATCAAGGGGGAAGAAATTCAACCTTACTCATAAATCTTTCTCAACCTGCCAAAAGAGTAACATTCTTCTAGCTACTACCACTACCAACCTACAGCATTTACCTTAACAACTGGTATTCTGACATAGCATAAGCTAAAAATCTACATCAACTTCCTTACGAGAGAGTTATCGTTGCTTCAGTAAAATTACAAAGTCAAGTACCCTCTCAGACTGCATGAAACAACCAAAAGAAAGAAAGTAAATAAGGCAGCACCAGCAGTGACATAAGACAAAGTTGGAAAGGGAAGCCTGCCTAAACCTAATTGTTTTCCAAGTTACTTTCTTTGGGTTTATGTTATATGGTTGCAGTCCTGGGGTACCCCCTAAATATCGACCAACTGCTGCTCGGCATTTACTTACCTAAACTAAGAATAGGGCAGCAAGCCAAGCATGTAAAAGAACATGTTGCTGTGGCGATCTATGCTCTCATCTCTGCTGGGCTTGTTCCGAACCTGAAGCACCCCCGACTGAGGGGGTACTAGCTGGAACGCTGCTTGCTGACCCATTCTCTGCTGGTGGAGGTACGCCCCATTTGCCTTCAGATTCCACAGGTTCAAAGACATGCACCCCACCATCCGATAGACCAATTGCAAACTGATTTGGCTCTTGTGGGTGGGCAGCGATTACAAGTGGGTGCACATTAGGAACACTGCATTGTTCAACACCCCTGAAGTGTCAATACTAGTCGATAGCAGCAAAAAATCAAAATCGATATAATGTTCCTTCATCACTAATTTTTCACGGCATGATGAGGACAAATGTTAAAAACAGTAGAAGTTGTCAATCACGAAGCAATAGATCATCAAATGAGATGAAGACGAAGGAATCTGATAATTGAATAGAGAGTGCAGCACTTGAAGCTAATGACATAAAATAGATGCAAGTCTGTTTACCGAGGATAAACAACCAAACACACTCAGAGCATGATTAATACCTGACATTTGCTGGAAGATAAGCTGAAGGATTGATTCGACAGCGTAGTCTGAGATTTGCAGCAGTAAACACACAAACAGTGGCATCCAAAAAGCTGGCATATACCAGCTGACTATCACATGAGAATGTTGCATGAGATATCGGTGCAGAAGGTTCACGTGGGAGCCACTGAGAAACAAAAGAAAAAACCCAGAATTGAGAAACATATGGTAGCAGCAGGTTTTACCAAATGTAAGCTAACAGATTTTAAATCTACCTGCTTTACACATTCAAGTTTTGTCGTTTCATATATTGCGAGCTGAGTTTCATGTACAACTAGGAAGTGTATCTGGTCCTGGTGAAATTGCACACGCGTGTCTGACTGTGCTGTCGCTGGCCTTCCAGCTGGCACTTGTAACAATCTAGTCTTTTGCTTTTCCCATCCATCAGAACTCCATACACAGATCTATAACAATGCAAAACAAGGTTAACTTATTTTATAATTGCTCTAAATGCAGTTGGTCAATCATGACATCTCAATATATACACCAGTCAATCTTTTCTAACACATAAATATATAAAATGGCAAAGCTCTATTCTGCAACTTTTAAGTTAAAGGGTTAGGACTACCATGAGAATGATAGAGTTCGGCTCAATTGATATCCCAGTCTACTTACTCTAGAACAGATTTTATTTTTATTTTTATTCTTACAGTGCTCTAAAACAGTCACTGCACATTCCTCGGAGATTTTGTAACCAATAACTAATTAGGCATTCTTCTTATTAAACCGTATAAGTCAATCACCCACAAAAGCACTAGATGTCCCATTACGACCCATCCCACTTAAGACATCAAATCAGTTTCAGCAGTACTGTACTTCACCTCATCTCTAGTGATTAAATCCTATTTCACCAAACAAACTATCAACTACATACCTGCACCTACCCAAAAAGGAGACGCTATCATCTACAATTTCTTTAATACATATTGCAAATCCAAGTCCAGATAGCCATAAAAAGAAAAAATTCCAGTCCAGATTTGCTATGGAACACAATAATATTCTGCCATAAACAAACTCTGTGGAGTCAAAAAGCTAATGAAGGCATCAAACTAAAATAGTTCCATAGGACATAAATCAAATCTGATAGTCACCTGGGCATCTGCTCCTGATGAGACTAGCACATTCAGCACATGGGAGAAAGCAAGACCAGTTATTCTCTTAGAGTGTCCTTTCAGCTTGCTCTTTACCTGTATTAATTAAAAGAACATCACTAAATAGCTGGTGGAGTTTGGGAATTAACAGTTGCTACCAAGCTTGAGGAAGGACTCTGAACCCACCTCATCAACACGGACATTATATATCTGAATCGTGGAATCATCCATTCCAATCGCAATGATATTATTATCTTGAGGATGGAAAGCAAGAAATGTTGCAGCCGGTGGTGGAGGCATAAAAGTTGTCATGGTCTACATTTTCAGTAATGAGCGATGAGATCAGATAATGAAACTTGAAAAGAGAATCCATGGCAATAACATAAGAATAATTTTACCTTGAATGTCATCATATTAAAAAGAGAGATCTTTCCTCCAGATGCTGACATAACATAAGAATCATTTTTCGACAATGCAAAACAAGATACTGACTCTTCAGGATTAGTGTCAGTCACATCATTGGTCATCAAAATACCACTAGATGGCTGCCATAACTGAGGTGCGACACCAGCAGTAGCCTGCAAGAAACAACTCAATTAGACACTAGAGGTCACCTATACATTCTTTAGCAGAGAAACTGGCCCCAAAATGGTATTTTTGATGTTTTCAATACCTTCCCAGTTGAGTTACGGTCACTTCGTTGCCATTTCCATAACAAATGAATTGCATTAGATGCTAATGCCAGAATAGCATTGCCTGAGTTTGTGTAAATTAACCTTGATATCTGCAACATCAAAAGGAACAAAGGGGATAATAAGCATTGGAAGCAGAAAGTTAGAAAAGCATTGTAGGACGATGCCACTCATCCTAAAGCTACCAGAATGTTGATAAAAGAACTATCAGCCCACACAGGTCGGGACAAGTTATTAGGAATGAATGTACTGCTGCAAAATTCCATTCCCAACAATCTTGGACCTTCAGAAAACATTTGAAAGATCCAACAACCAAAGAGCCATGGCAGAAGAGAGATCCCATTATTGTGAAAAAAGCAATATCTGCTACTTTTTTCTTGTCAAAAAGTAAGTTAATAAGGGAGTGCTTGAACACGGCTTTTCTCAAGTTACATCTTAATGGTGCTGCCAACAGTATCACCAGGCTACAATGTGCATTTATATTGTATCACTTTTTTTTTTTACAACAGATATATTGTATTACTAGAGGTACATAAAAATTACTTTTTTTTTTCTTCCTTTCAAAGGTAACTCATATGTTGGCCAATCAACAAATAAACTCATTTCCATAACGATGCTACAGGTTTTCAAATGATCAAATGCTGTAGACATCAAATATTATGATTGGGAATTTTTTTGGAAATTTAATCAGTTACAGATCTGCAAAAGGAAAATATGAACAATTGTTCTTGCAGGAGGAAAAAGTGACTTTGGTTATAAACTTATAAAAAAGACTTTGGTGATAAAGAAGGATACAAACAAAAAGTTCTGAAGAAATCTAGACTGCTTCGGCTAGAAATACCTGTTGCTATGAACCTTCATGGCTCTCAGAAGATAAACAAGGACTAATAGCAAAGGCTAGTTATCCTAGTTTTTTTTATAATACTTATCCTAGTTATTTTGATGATTATCTTTTTGCAAGCGCTTTTCTGCACTTACCAGATCTAACTTAAAATCATTTTAAACTCAAATCACTTTGCATAAGATAGTTGCTGCCGTTTAAGTTTAGAGAATTTGATTTGCATGTGATGAAGCACAATTAATTACTTTATCCAGGAAAAAGTACTTCAACTTTTAAGATTGTGGGGAGTGTGGAGAACTGTTCATTCAAAGTCTTCGCAATCCAACTGCTTTCAAAATCAAGATGCATAATCATCCATCAAACAATAATTAAAATGCAAACTCTTATTCGATTCTCAATACCACAAACTTGAATTGCCCAGAATGATGTGTGATTTGAAGCATGCTATTAGTTTATTTTCCACACACATAAAAATAAGTTCCGCATTGGCACAGAATTTGGATCTTCCAAAGCAAGCCAATCCAGCCTTAAGAAGAAAATCCATGTAAGCAATCATTATGGAGAGAATTATCAGCAAGTATTTAATACCTTTGTTACTCTCAAATTTTCAGGAAGCCTCAAGGATCGGCATTGAGCTGGTTCATTTATTTCTGTAAGTTTCCAAATCTTTGACTTGTCATTCGATTCTTCAGTTATTCTAGGCTTTACATCTCCCAAGCTCCGTGCATCTCCATTCTGTTAACATTTAATACTTGTAAATAAAAAGAAACATAAAAGAACAACCAGCATAGTATGCGCACCCATCAGTAAAATATAACACCAACAAAGAAAGATAAGGATAGGGCAGCCAAACCCACCATTCCAGAAATACCGACTACAGAGGCACCACCCCTATCAGTAAGCCCAGCAGTACTACTTGTTGCTGCTGCAGCAGCAGCTGCTGCCGCCGCTGCTGAAATAGGATTTATTGCAGGCTGCATAACAAGATACGTAACAGATCAAATACTACTGACAGGTCATCTTTCTCTAAAATAGTCACACACTTATACCAAGGGGCAAAATGTTGTAACCAACATAAATACCTTTGCAGCTTCAGATGTCCTTGATGTGTCGTAGGAAAGATTTTCAAACGTGCGAAGCAGCCTAGTACCATCAGTATTTGCCAACACCTTTATTACGTTATCATTGGCAGAGACGGCTAAAAGAGTTCCATCCTTATTGAAGCGAATACGTGGGCTTGCCTAAGAATTGCCAAGTAAAAACATAAGGATAAAAGTACAAGTCACTTAATCATATAGGAGATGCCTCCATATACCAAAAAAAAAAAAAACCCACCGGAAGCCCTCCATCAGCCTCAATCGATGTCAAAAGCTGAACATTATCCATATCCCAGAACTTGATGACAAACTCATCACCAGCAGCCAAGTATCTATTCTTCATTGTATCGAATTGTACAACACCCAGCGAACGCTTACGGAAACCCTGGTAGTGCTTTTTCACGGCACCTTCACTCTCATTCCACTCCACAATATATGACTCACCATCTTTGCTCGTCCCACATGAAAATAGCCTACAATAGTTGTCAAAAGTTGTTCAAAATCCAGGAAGAAAAGATCATTGGTGCGCAGCGCAACACCCAACAGCTTACGCTACTACCTTGTACCATCAGCACTGTAAGCCATGGTTGTGCACCAACGACCTGGAGCTTCATAATCAACTCGAGATCCCAAATTATCATACAACCATGCTTTTATCTTTCCATCAAGGGCAGTAGAAAATATGAACTATCAGGAAAAAGAGAAGAGTAGATATCAGCAACCCCTAGCAACAAGTAATCACAACAGGAAGAAGAAAAAAAGGTTGAATAGCAGGATGAGAACATCGTAGGATGGTAAATCAACCTGAATGTTTTCCTTATAATGAGGGCAGACAGAATATACAGGAGCCTCATGACCTTCAAAGGTATATTGTTTTGCACCAGTGCCAGCATCCCACACCTAATATTACAAATTAGCAGAGAGATATAATCAACAGTGTTCTTCAAAGTAAAGGAAATAAATTTCTAACTCAGAAACCAACCTTAATGGTCTTGTCGTCGCCACAGGTGATCACACACAGTTGCTTATTTGGGGTAGAAAACGCAAGATCATTCACTCCGCCGACATGAGCATCAATCTACTCGCATTTAGATATCATTAAAGGACTAAAAATCTAAAATCAGAAATAAAAAAAAACTTGCTCTTCATAGCAGCTAAGTTCTCTTATACATACCTCCAAGTGTTGCCTTACATCCTCACCACCATGATAAGAATATATTTGCACAATGTGCCTCGAATATGCAACTCCTACAGTTTATAAAAGAGAGAATTCCATAAGAATCCATTTTAATCCCTAGAACAGAAGTCATGAAGTTTACTGGAGGATTCAAGATTCAAGAATGGTTCCAATGAACCAAGGCCTACCAAACAAGTTGCCATCAGGACTCCAAATCACACGATTGACAGAAACGGCCGGATCCTTGACAAGAGCTGCCTGGATAAGTTTAAAAATATTTTACACATAATGTTAGACAACTTCATAGTGGAAATATATAGCATCGATGGGGCCCATCCGAAGTGACCTTGAAGAGGAAGGTGGAATACCTGTAGGGGCATTGAACATGCACTTAAATCCCAGACCTTGAAGTTTCTCAAAACCAGTCGCTCCCTTGAACCAACTTCCCACAACCCGATGTCCCCCACATTAGTGCCAACTACACAACCAGAGTAGAGCATAAAATCAGAGGCTGTCCTGGGGAAATAAAGGAAGATACGCAGAAGCTGCAAGGTAGTATCCAGACAACAATAACTGCTGAAGACCTAAGAGAAGGGTCTGCTGAGCAGGATGGAAATCCATGCTCATAGGAGATGATCCCTGATTCAGACTTCGTGCCACGGTCTTGGGCAGATCATCTGGTGCATTAAATGCTGGACCATGACCATGTCCAGGAAATGATACCGGCATGACATTAACTGGCAAATTAACCTGCAAGTAAAAGAATGAGAACAAGAATACAGATACTTCACATTAAAGAGAAACTAACAATGCAGCACGATTTCACTTGTTAAATGACCGATGTCATGATAAGAGAAAATCAAAGTAGTCAGCTGGCTACCTCATCAGAAAGGCCCATAGGCCTTGTTCGTTTTGCAACATGGTCAGAATCTCCAGATGGATAATCCACAGATGGATTACTTGGCGGAGTCCTAGGATGCTTCAGAGCCGCTATACAAGAAGCAAAAAATATGTTTAGCCAAACAGGGATGTGGTGGGTCATTGAGACAGAAGGGTCAACTAATGAATACCCTACCAGGAATAGATGAAGCACCAAGACCAATACCAGCTCCTCCAGAAACTGCTGGATGGCTTACTGCCGAAGCATTAGACATCCAACCTGCAAGCGGTGCAGGAACAGCTGCCGGTGTAGGCTGAAATGGCTGAATACATAAAAACAAGCCCAGTAAGATATATGCATGTAAATTTCGAACAGAGGTGCTGTACAGTATCGGGCCACATAACCTACCCCATGGGCACCAAGAGGAGGAAACCCTCCAGCTTTTGGCAAGGCCCCAAGTAATGGGTTGTTTGCCGGAGACGGAGCCCGAGCACCATTTGGCTGCCCACACGAATGATCCACGAAAAGTGTTTTTATATCTGGATTTGGCCTAGGATTCTTGCAAAGTTGGTGCTGCCAATTCAAACTGAAATTCACATGGAAAATAAGGTTTTTGTCAACTTATAACAGAGAATATGGAAGTAATCACTTGCAATTTAAGTGCCGCGTAAAATGATGACTGCTGCTGACAGTAACCACCAATGAGCCCGAGTGTTCACCTCCTACTATTCGCAACTATGGTGCTTAAGACACTCAATAAGATGAAACAAGATGTAAATAAGTATTGGCTAAAATGTTTCAATATTCAAAGACACAACTTAAAGAAAGAACATAATATATAAGGACTACTGGGAGTTTTGAAAGTACACACCAGTCCTAAGTGCCGCAAAGTCAAATCCTTAATACGGGTAATACTACCACATTAAATTATACATCATTCCTTCTGGACTCACCTTTGATTTATCAATGTTCTCAGCCTTGAATTTTTTAGGTTAGGAAACTGCAATTTATCACGAAACAGAGGATTTGCTTCAATAAGCTTCTTGAGTTCCACCAACATTATTGCTCTTGCTGACTTTGTATCCCCATACTTGGATAGTTGTTCATTCTCCCTGCAATTTAAAAAACTCATCTCAGCTTGATACAACTTAGCCTCCATTCTAATGCTTGTTAATTCATGACCAGAGGCTCATACCTAAAATTCTCCAAAGTCAACAACTGAGTTATCTCCTTGAATAGTTCCTCGTTAAATGTGGCGAACACTTTCAAATCCTTGACAAGTATATCCACTGCCTTGGACCGGTCATGCCTACAAAAAATTTCAAACATTTTCATCAAGTTGCAGAGAAACCAGATATAACTAATCCAGAACATTGGATTTGAAGCTTGAGAACTGGAAGCTTACTTATCCAACGCTTCGAGGTACTTCTGCTTCCTTATTTCAAAAAATATTTTCATTGAATAGCGATTATCATCAACCTTGGTGAAACCAGAGAGATACTTTTCCACCTCATCCCAGTTACCATTATGTACTTCATCCTCAAAATACTTCATGTTGAAGTAAAACCCAGATTCCTGCTCAAGCCTATACAGAGTTTGAAGCAACATTCACAATAAGTCTTCTCTAGTCCACCAAACTGACGACTAAGGAGCAACTAAATAGCTAATTAAGATTGTGAATGAAAGAAGGAAAATTACTTGTGCACAGTCTCCTTGAACTTTTCCTCGTCAAGGAACTGCAAGATCAGGAAGACCAGCTCTCTACTGAGAGACGACATCTTAAATGCGCCGTATTTGCTAGCAAATTTTCGCCTATATCCAAAATGGCACTAGATCTGCGAAAAATAAGAAGTAGGGATCCGAAAATTTACCAAAAGGGCAGCTATAAATGACAAAAATGGTAAAAGAAAACCCAATCTTTTTCCTTAAAATCCCCGAAAACTTTGCAGCTCTACCTAAAACCAGATCATGGAACCAAACCCAAGTCCCCACGTACTCCGAAAAATTATAAAAATGAAAAATCACAGCTTTCACACGGTAATTAAACTAACCAAGGTGAAATCAGAAATCGGCAGCAAACCCCCAAAGCTGAATATACGAGTTTCGAAACCTAAAAAAAAAATTAGGGTTTCGTGATACTTTAGGGGAAGGGGTTTGCTTGCATCCGATTGGAAAATAGGAACCTCAGATACAACAAAGCCAGGAGATAAGGCAAATCAGAAAACAAAATGAAGGTGAAGTATGTGGAAAGCGATAAGATTCCATAACCAAAGAGCTCTCTCTAACTACAGAGTATTAAAACTCACCTTCTCCAGCAGCAAAAGGAACTAATTTCATCCAAGAGCTAAAAGAGAGGAGGAAGAAAGAGATCAGCGCCCAACACACAGCTCCCCCACCGAACTGAGAGAGAGCTCAAGAGAAGAAACTTCTTCTTCTACTTCCTCCCCCTCTCTCTCTCTCTCTCCCTCCTTTTCTCCCTAAAAAGCTCCAACTTTCTCTCTCTAGAAATCAAAACCCAGAGCCAAAAAAGGCGAAATTTCTTATCTTTCCTTTTTTTTTTCCCCTGTGTCTGCACGAGACGAGACGACTCTCTTCCCTTTCGAAGAATTATTATGGATCACACAACATCTATATATTGGGTCGAAAAAACTTGCGGGGAATAGCGATTTTTTTATAGAAAAGAGGGAAAAGACAGTATTTAGGAGAGTGATAAGTTGATTAACATATCACTTGACCAAATTTGAATTGGGTGATAAGCGCAGTGATAAGTCCACGAACTTTTTCTGCATTAACTACTGAGTCTTTGTTGCGGGCCCCATGGAGCCGGCTCTCAATTTGTCGAGTTTATCGGCGCGGAATCTCCCAGCTGACAACTGTCTTAACTCAGCCGTGGGAGGAATGCGGTGCTGATGAGGCACAGGATAAGCTATAGGGATCAGAGTGAGGTGGCATCCGACGGTTGTAAGGAGTCGGAGGACGTGAAGCTCGAGTGCTCGACCACAGAGCTAAATTATTGCATTTTTTCTTCCTTAATAAAATAAAAATAAAAAATAAAACCAGTCTCAGATCACGTTCTCTCCCCTAGCGAGAAAAACGACAAGCGCTTTCACCTCGGATTTGACATGAGGGCAAGTTTGCCCTTCCCGTTGGTCAAATATGCGGAAAAAATGCAAAACTGCCACGGTTTAAAAAACAATTTACAAAAATACCATCCACTCCAAATAATTTCCAAAAATACCATCGTTTATATAAAACCGCACCTCTAATGAGCGGTTTTTAATGAAACCGCGCCTCTAGGCAGCGTTTTACATTATAACCGCGCCTCCAAGAGGCGTTTTTAATTTCCAGAAAAAACCGCTTCTGGAAGGCGCGGTTATAGGCTAACCCTACCACAAAACGCTTCAAGAGGGAGCGTTTAAATGTCGGCATTACAAACCGCCTCCCCAAGCGGCGGTTTACAATGTCAGGACATAAACCGCTGCCCAAGGCGCGGTTTGTGCATGGTCACCCGACAGCCAACATGTCGGACATGTCGGCATGCAGGGGCTAGGGCTGGTAGGCCTGCATGCCAGACCTAAAACCGCTCCCCGCCCCCCCCCCCCCCCCCCCCAAGCGGTTTTGCTGCAAAATTTGCCTATAAAAGGCGGTTTCAGAGAACTCAATTATTCACACCTCCTCCTCTTCTTTCTTAAAATTTCAGCTTTGCACCTTTAAATTATTTAGTTTTTGCGATTAACTTTAATTCGTAAGTTTGTTTCGTAATTACTTTTCATTGTCCTTTGTGATTTTATGTTAGTAACTTAATTACTTTTCATTGTTCTTTGTGATTTTATGTTAGTAACTTAATTACTTTTCATTGTCATTTGTGATTTTATGTTAGTAACTTAATTACTTTTCATTGTCCTTTGTAATGTTATGTTAGTAACTTGTATTACTTTTCATTGGAGATGGCATTCCAAAGGTTCACGCTTGGGTTGCGGTGGAATGGTTACACGGAAGAGACCGAAAAGGGTGTAAGTTACGTCGGTGGCAATTTTTATAAAATGAAGGTCCGTACGAGACCGATGCTTGAAGAGCTCCATCAAATGTGCACTCAGATTACCTGCATGGATGGCACTACAAGAGTTGATCGAATGGTGTACCGATATCCAAACAGACATGACGGGTCGCTGTGGAATGAGGAATTCCTCCTTACCACTCAGGAGGACGTTGATGCCATGGTCCAATTTTTGACCACCAATAAAATTAAGCAAGCGGAGATGTTCGTTTACACCGAGGTCGTCGAAGGCAGTGTAGGTCATTCTGGAGATGGCCAAACATCTGGTATCCACGGTGGGAGTGTATTATACTAAGATCATCCCCACCAGGATTTCCAAGACTCGAGCTGGAGGCAGGAGTATCATCATGGAACTGGAGGAAGTCATCAATCCTTCCCTTCATATGAAGAAGAAGCTCAATAGGCGGATTACAACCAACAAGCAGGCTACCCGTACCCACCCGAGTACAACTTCTATCAAAGCGGTGTTAGTTACCACAACTACCATTACGGAGCTAGTGAAGGTGCCTTTCATGCTGATAATCAGATGGAAGAAGAGGTCAATCCAAGTCCAGTTAGTGACCCTGAGGTTGAAGAAGAGGAAGGCGAAGTTAGTGTAGACAGCGACGATCCGCTGGAAGGTGCTGATGATTCCGGTCCAGATTCAGACGCAGATGGTGATGAGGTAGCTCACGACCGTGTACCTATTCCATACTACAATCACATTCAAAATGAAGATTGGTATGTTGATGCCGACATGGACCCGCCATATGTGCCAGTATGGGGTCCACTAACTGGCTTTACGAAGGGCCAACAATTTGCAACGAAGAATGAGGTCCGACACGCTATTTCCACTGAAGCAATGACTCGAAGTTTTGAATGGCAAACAACCCATTCCGACACAAATGAAAATGAGAGATGCAAAGCTAGGGTCCGGGCCATCAAGAGCAATAGAGTCGGCCATTGGGTCATATCCCGTGCGGTGAACACACACACATGTGTGTCATCAATAACAATGGTGGATGACCATCCGCATCGTGATCTCCCTTTTCTGGCGGACACAACCCGGTGACCGTCCATATAAAATGTTGCCAACCACTCATATTGGCAACAACTTTAGGTGGTGGCGTAGAGTCCACACAAACTACATCACCGTTGATGGGGAGATCGGTTAGGATGGCGATGTCCTTAAGTGTGATGGTGCACTCGCCTTCACGAAAATTGAAGCAGTGTGTCTCCTTTCGCCATCTCTCTACCATCGCCGTGATGAGTTGGCGGTCGATCTTGATTCCATTGAAATGCCTAATCGAATCCAATCTTGCCCTTTTTAGAAAGGGCAAGATGACGTCGTTCCATTCAAGCACATTCGTTGTGCCCCCTATAGCGGACTATATGGTATGCATCCTAGAGAAGAATTTAAATTTCACTATAAGTTGATGATTTATACATATATAAATATATTATAAGATACAATTTATATATAAATCAAGGTTGTTTTAGAGAAATATACATTATCTAATAAACATTTATTTTAATATAACTAAAATAATTTTCTAAGATGCAATATTAATTAAATCAAGCGGTTTTATAGAAATATACATTAGCTAATTAAATATTAATTTTAACATAACTAAATAATATTATAAGATGCAATATTAATTAAATCAAGGTTGTTTTAGAGAAATATACATTATATAATAAACATTAATATTAACATAACTAAAATAATATTAAAAGATGCAATATTAATTAAAGCAAGGTTTTTTTAGAGAAATATACATTATCTAACAAACATTAATATTAACATAACTAAAATAATATTCGAAATTTAAGTATAATTATTTTTTGTACACATACACATAAAATCAAATATATTATTTTGTTAATCATATTGATTATTTTCAATAATTTAAAGCAATACAAGTACACTCGTAAGACTCTTAGGAGAGGTATACATCTCCTTAGAAACACAGTCTTTTTGACAGAGAAAGGGGGGATCCGAGGATCGCTTAGAACCCGATTTTCCCAGGTCATGGGGGGATCATGATGATCGCTTAAGTTCCAATTTCCTTAGACATGCATTTCTTTATAAAGAGTCTAAATAAGTGTTGTATTGTATTGTATTGATTTAAATTATTGAAAATAATCAACACGATTAACAATTAAGTAAATTATTGTACAAACAAATAAATTACTTTAACAAAATACAAATTACAAGTGATGATAAATAATATGTACCTTGTGGTCGTTCCAAACGTCTCTTGAACGATGATTTGCTTGATCGTATAAAACTGTCGGATCAATCGGTCCTTGATCAACATAATATCGTTGATTGAAAATATCAACATCCGGCCCAACCTACCATAGCATAACAATAACATAAATCATTAGTATATAAATTAAATAAATTATTATAACAACAACAACAATTGGGAAAAATGAGTACGTACCGTTTGATAATCATCATAAAAAAGGCCTTCTTCTTGAGCGAAATCGGTCATTCTCTCGGAATCCGGACAGAGGTTCGACGGTTTTTTAGTGAAAACCAAAGAAAAAGTTTTTTGGAGGCAGATCGGACTTAGCCGCAACCAACAAAAAAACTAATTCTAAGGTTTTTGGGTGGGTAGAGAGAAGTTAGAGGGAGAGAGGGGGGAATGTGGTTGGTGTGCAGAAAAATGAAGGGGAGGGGGGGTTTATATAGGTGAGAAACCGCGTGGGGGAGGGCCGGTTCAGTCATTTTACCCCACCAAAAACCGTGCCTCCAGCACGCGGTTTGCGTTTCCCAACAGTCAAACCGCGCCTCGAGGGAGAGGTTTCCGTGGGCTACGCGGATCACTGAGTTGGCACGCGTTTTGGCCGTTCGATCGCTCCTCCAAAGGGCGGTTTGATGCACCGCCACGTGGCCACGCGGTTTGACAGCCATGCAAGGTCAAACCGCGCCTTGGAGGCGCGTTTTGTTCTATAACCGCTGCCTGGAGGCACGATTTCAATAAAAATCGCTCATTAAATGCGGGGTTTTATATAAACGATGGTATTTTTGGAAATTATTTGGAGTGGGTGGTATTTTTGTAATTTTTTTTAAACAGTGGTAGTTTTGGATTTTTTCCCAAATATGCCACCCTCCGCCACTATAGTAAGGTAACGGAACTAGAGCTGCAAATGAGTCGAGCTGCTCGCGAGCGGTTTAGTGTTCGACTCGAGAAAAGCTCGTTCGAAACTCGACTCGTTAATAAACGAGCCGAACACGAGCTCACCTTTGTTTAGCTCGTGAAGCTCGCGAGCTAGCTCGACTCGGTGGCTTGTTGAGCTAAACTCGTGAGCTGGTTCGTTTAGAGCTCATGATATGTCTTGACATGTGGCTAGAGAGCCAACTCGATTACCAACTTATGGACGAATCAATCTATATCTTATGATTTTAATTCATATGGTTGTTAAATTATATATCTCACCACATATAAAGTTTAACACGTTGAGTTTGTGAGCAAGATATCTTATTTTCTACTTTAAAAAGAAATTATGCATAATAAATTGCTTCGATATTATGTAATAACATGATTTGGAGTAGTTAAAATTTATTAACTAAATGATATATGATACCAACAAAGTATAATATGAGATTAGCTGACAAAATAAATCATATGTATTATGATATACAAAATGAAGTATCAAATAAATGTTAAGATTTTAATAAACAAGCTAGCTCGAGCTCGACTCGACACGACTCGTTAATAAATGAGCTGAGCTCAAGCTCGACTCGTTTATTAACGAGCCCAGCTCAAGCTGGGATAAAACTCGACTCGGCTTATTTGCAGCCCTAAATGGAACTAGGGCTGAAAACGAGTAGAGTTTCGTACGCTATATTGACAATAAAGCGGGTGCAAATTTGAGATGGTATAAATTGAGCTGCAAATTATAGAAGGTACAAATTTGAAGGGGTGCAAATTGAATTGGAGGTTGAGATTTGAAGTGAGGTATTTAGCAAATACATGTAATGTTAAGATTAAGTCGTTTTTTTGGTTCACTTTGAGTTAGAATGCATGTATTACCTTTTTGTTGGGCCCACCTATAATCACTCAATATGAATGATTATAAATCTCTACCAAAAGGTGAGATTGTTAACAAGGGATTGTCTACCCTACTTTTTGTTTCATCATTGCTCCTCCAAACAAAGTATTTTTCCTAATACATGTTAACAATGTATTACCTTTTTGTCCGACCACTCTCATCATCCTATTATAAAATTATTCACGAAGTGATCACTAATTCGATTCTAAAACCTAATCTTAAAGTACCCCAAAGATTAAATGTTATTAAACATTTGCATTTGCAATCGGTAAAATCAATAACTTTGAGAATCGAGGAAACCAATAGATATGATAGAGTGGTGGTAATAAAGGTAACCAGTAATTTGGTTTACTAAGTTCAATCTACCCTTAATTTGTATTGATTTTATGGATGTATGTCAAGTGTTGAAAGACAATGTTTAGTTGGTTGAATGTCGGATGGGAGCGGTTGGATCGTGGTTTAATCCAGAAAGACAAAGACAATTTTTTGAGCAGTGTAGCCACTAACACACCGTTTGGTATAAATGAATTACATAAGTTTTGAGGAATTCATTTTGAGATGAAACATTTTTGTGTTTGGTATTCAAAAGAATTCATTTTCAATTTTAAATTTTAAATTCTATGAAATTGGAACTAGTTATAGCAATTCCGAGGAATTGATATGGAATTTCCAAATGAATTCCACAAGAATTTACGAATTATAATAGAAGAATATAATTATCCTCTTTTATTTACTAAATTACTTATACATATGACATACCAAATACAAGAATTCATTTGACAATGAATTCTACAAGACAATTCATTTTATTTCTAAAGATTTGTATATGACATACCAAACACAAGATTTCATTTAATAATGAATTCTACACGGTAATTAAGACCTAGCTAGTTTAGGATTTTATCGTTTGTAATAAATAAGAATACCATTGACACCGTGAAGTAAAGTCTCTCCGATAGGCCGAAACCGAAGCATATTCGGTTTTGTTTATGCTACTCGTTTCGTGATTGTTTAAGAATAAGTCCATGTCATTTTCTCTCGTTGCTATGTCCATTGCCAAGTAAGTAAACCAATGCATGCATCATGTCGACTAACTGCTCCCCATATGAAATTCCTAGGACCAACTAATGGCTTCTTTCCTGATTCCCTGGGTACAATTTGCCGCTGGTGTCCACGTTTAATCATGCAAGAAGTATGGAATTCCCACATTCATGGATCCTAATCCCTACGTACGAAACACAACTTGATGGCACCGTAGCATCAGCATGCATCATCAATAAATAAATCGAGGGCTAGGGTGAAGCAAGATTACCTTTGTACCAATTGGTTTCGAGACATGAGCCCATTCCATTCCTTAAGCTCAAAATTGTGTATGAAGCAATGAGTCTTACCTTGTAGCTGCGTGTGGTTTAACTTGAGAATAATTGTAAAAAGACAGAAATTGTGGAATGATTTTATGATCTCATTCGCAGCCTTGCTGCAGGTTTATGTACAGGAAAAAATGGAACTACAGGACAAAACGAATTCTAACTGCCTTGTCCATAAAAAACGATACAAGTGTCAGTCTACTATTAGCTACAACTAATAACAAGTAAAACGGTAAAGCAGTACAATACTAATTATGTACGTTGTCGTTTCCTTCTTGCTTCTTTCTTCCTTGTGTTAAAATGCTACGTCGCATCTTCCCTCCTTCTTCTTCTTTTGACCATTGTTGGACAGGGGCTTCAAGTTCATCTTCATCTTCATTTCCTTCTGGTCTGCTCATGGAGCTTGACAGCCCCCCACAAGCTGACGAGTATATGTCATATACTCCCAGCTTGAACACAATCCACTTGAACCAATGCGCGCTGAGCCCCTTGGTGAAAAGGTCAGCCAGATTACGATCAGTGCATACATATTTCAAGGTAACCAAACCTGACCTAACTCTTTCTCGTATGATGTGGCAATCAATTACTATGTGCTTCGTTCTTTCGTGAAACACCGGATTTTCTGCCAGGTGAATTGCTGATTTGTTGTCGCAATACGCCATTGCTGATCCTTTGTATTCAACTCTGAGATCCTTTAACACTTGTGTAATCCATTGAATTTCACACGCCATCTGCGACAACGCTCTATACTCTGCCTCTGATGAGGATTTTGATACAATTTCTTGTTTCTTTGCCTTCCATGTGATCAATGAGCTTCCTAGAAATGTACAGTATCCAGTGATTGATCTTCTCGTGTCAGGGCATGCCCCCCAGTCTGAATCACTATAGCCAGTTAATGTGAATTATGTATTTGAAGGAAAGAATAGTCCTTGACCTGGGGATCCTTTGAGATAACGTAGGATTCTGTGAGCTACTTTTAGATGGGAAGCCTTTGGTTGTGCTTGGAACTGACATAGTTGTTGTACAGCAAAAGCTATGTCAGGTCTTGTTGTAGTCAAGTACCCCAATCTTCCAATTAATGACTTGTACTGATGGGGATCTTCATTAGGTTCGTCATTGTATTATGATAATCTAGTCTTCATTTCTGATGGAGTCTTGCATGGTTTAGCTTCAAGGAATCCAGTGTCTTTCAGTAAGTCTAGACAGTACTTCCTTTGAGTGATAGTAATCCCACTGCTACCTCTTGCCACTTCGAGTCCTAGGAAGTATTTCAACTTTCCTAAATCTCTCACTTTAAACTGCTTTGACAAGAAATCTTTGGCTTCCTGTATAGCCTCTTCATCATCCCCAGAGAAAATGAGGTCATCAACATATACCAAAATCACTGTAATTCCCTTATCACTGTAATTCCCTTATCAGTCTTCTTTGTAAAAAGTGAGTAGTCAGAATAGGATTGCGTGAAACCAAACGTCACCAAAGCTTCTGTAAGCTTAGCACACCATTACCTACTGGCCTGCTTAAGTCCATAGAGTGAATTCCTTAGTCTACATGCCTTTCCTTCCATTCCTTCAATACCAAGTGGTATTTTCATATACACTTCTTCCTCTAAATCTCCATTCAAGAAGGCATTGCTGATGTCCATTTGACTCAAGTGCCAGTTTTTTACAGCAGCAACTGCCATTAGGATTTTGATTGTACTGATCTTGGCCACTGGAGAAAAGGTATCCAGGAAATCAATTCCTGGTACTTGTGTGAATCCTTGTGCCACCAGTCTTGCCTTGAATCTTTCTATTGATCCATCTGCCAAGAGTTTTATCTTGAATATCCATTTATTTCCAATCAACTTCTTTCCCACTGGACAATCCACTATGTCCCATGTGTGATTAGCTATCAAAGCTCTTAGTTCCTCTCTAACTGCTTCCCTCCAACATTCTTCTAACATGGCTTGATCAAAAGTCTGTGGTTCCTGCAAGTTGGTTACTGCAAGGGAGTAGTGTTTGTGTTGTTGACTAAGCTGTGAGTAATCCATAAAAGAAGATATTGGATACTTGCTTTGTGAGCTTCCAACAAAGTAATCCTCATGCCACAATGGAGGATGAACTGTTCTGTTAGACTTCCTCAATGGATGAGGCTGAGTTGTTGGAGATTGTTGATTTGAGGGTGAACAATTTGTTGGTGTTGTCCTCCCTTCTCCTTCTGCTTCTACTTCATCGATGGACTCATCATCATATTCATCCATGGTTTCAAAGTTAATGGAACCAAGTGATTGTGGTATAGTAGGAACTGTATGGACACCTGAATCATGACTTGTATGCAAATGATTATGTGCTGGGAAATGGATAGGAATTTGAGGTGGTTGAGATGAAGGGGAAGAAGGAGAGATTGTGTTGGTTTGGGTAGAATGTGGGGTGGTGGCAGGAGTAGCAAAAGGAAAAATATTTTCATGGAAGGACACATCTCTGGATGCAAAGACTTGTTTGGTGTGGAGATCATACACTTTGTATCCTTTGATTCCTAGCAGAATGCCAAGGAACATCCTTTTCCTAGCTCTAGGTTGGAACTTGGTTCTGCTTGACTCTAGAGTGGATGCATAACACAGTGATCCAAAAACTCTAAGAGGAGAGTAGTCTGGTGGCTTGTTATAGAGTTTTTCAAAGGGTTTTTTGTTGTTTAGGATGGGTGTAGGTAGTCTGTTTAAAATGTGGACAGTCACTCCAAAAGGGCAAAGGGACATTGGATTGGAATTTCAAGGCCCTTGCTATGTTCAAAATGTCCTGATGTTTTCGTTCTACTCTTCCATTTAGTTGTTGTCTTTCGACACAGGACATTTGATGGGAAATGCCATGGTCTCTAAAGTAATCTACCACATGGAATTCATTTCCTTGGTAAGATCTGATTGTTTTAACTGGTTTATCAAATTGTTTTTGGACAATGGTGCAAAACTATTATAGAATATGCCTTGTTTCTGATTTTGTTTTCATAAAGTATACCCAGACTACTCTGGAAAAGTCATCTACAATGGTCAAAAAGTAGGAGAAACCATCATAGGAAAGAGTATTGAGAGGACCCCAAATATCACAATGTATAATCTCAAAAGGTTCTGTGCAGTTATGTGCACTTGAAGGAAAGGGAAACTTCTTTTGTCTAGCAAAATGACATGTTTCACAGTGACTAATGACACTCACTGGAATTTCAGGATTACACTTTTGCAAAAGTTTAAATCTAGAATTGGATAGATGGCCTAATCTAGCATGCCACAGGTGCATGTCTTCATTGTTAGGTCTGCTCACTGCTGCCACTAGATTGATGTCTTGGTCTGGACTGGGTATGGATGTTTGAAGTTGGTATAATACTCTAAGCTCTTTTGCAAAACCAATCTTCTTCTGTGTATGACACAGAAGTCAGATTGAAAGCTTAGGGTGATTGGTAATGTTTTGATTAAGGAACTGACAGAAATGAGATTGAAAATGAAGCTAGGGACATGTAGAACATTGTTCAAGGTGAGGTTGTTGTTTATTATGACAGTTTCAATGTGTGCTACTTTGATCCTAGCACTGGTTGGTAAAGTGACAAATAGGTTTTCTACTGGATGGTGGGTTGTGAAAAAGGTAAGGCTACAACACATATGATCAGATGCACCAGTATCAATAATCCAAGTATTTGACAATTCTTTCTGTTGACAAGCAGTGAATGTGGATAAGATATATTTACCTGCATTGTCTGGCATTTGGTTGATGTGCCTTGATACTGAGTGAGCCTGAGGTTTTATATTAGGCTGCTGTGATGTTGGAGTCCCAGCATTTTGTTGTAGCAGCATCATAAGTCTGTTGCAATCTTCAGCAGTAAGTTGCAGAGTAGTAGTACTCTGATTTCTGTTGTCCTGCACAGTTCCTGCTAGTAATTTGCGCTTCCTTGATCATGAACACCACTAGAAGTGGCTGTTGCAGCATAATTTGGTCCTGCTGGTTCTCCTCTCTTTCTCTTCAGTCTCCAGCAATCTGCTATGACATGATTGGTTTTCTTGTATTAGTTGCAAAACAGATTTTGTTGGCTTCCTCCACTTGATTCACTGCTCCCTTTTTGAAATTTGTTTGAATAGTTCCCTTGATAGGAATTCTGTCTTCCTCCTTTTGGGTATACACTTCTCTAGTCTCTGTTCCTTTCTTGATTCATTGCTGCTAATGCTACTGAATCCACTCCAGTAGCTTCCTTAGTTGGTTGCTTAGCCATCTGTCTCTCCAGTTTCAGTGCATATTTATACGCAACTTTGAGGTTGGGAGCTGGATCCATCATCAAGAGTTGGTTCTTGGTCATTTCAAATGTATCATTCAGGCCAATGATGAAGTCAATAGTGTGATCCTGCTCTTGTGATTCTTTGACAGCAACATAAGTCACACAAGTCATAGTATGAGGAGTATTTGCACATTCACATGTTGGGATTGATTTAAATTACATGTATTCTGTCCAAAGTACTCCCAATTTGTTGTAGTACTTAGTGATAGTGTTGTTCCCTTGCTTACAGGACGATATTAGTCCTTTAACATGAGCTAACCCGATCTAATATGCTTCTCCATACCTTTCCTGCAGATCTTTCCATAAATCCTGAGCAGTTTCATTATCCATTACAGCTTTGGCAATGGGGTCTATGAGCGAATTTAGAATCCAGCCCATGACATTAGTGTTACTCTGATCCCAGATCTCATAATCATCATCAGTTGGTTGAGGCATAGGTAAAGTGTCATTTATAAACCCAAGTTTCTTCTTGGTTTTGAGAGCTATACGCATGGATCTGCTCGATGCATGGTAGTTAGTGCCATCGAGTTTGACAGAGATGATACCTTGAGACAGGTTTTCATTTGGATTAATGTAGTAAGGATCAACAGCTTGGCATTGAGTTTGTTGAGTAGATGCAACTGTAGCAGCTGCTTGTGTGGTTGATGATGTATTGTCTTCCTGAGCGCCCGCCATTGATGAACGTCGACAAGGTCACGAAACCCTAAAAGAGGTAAACCAGCTGCTCTGATACCATGAGAATAATTGTAAAAAGACAGAAATTGTGGAATGATTTTCTGATCTCATTCGCAGCCTTGCTGCATGTTTATGCACAGGAAAAACAGAACTACAGGACAAAACGAATTCTAACTCCCTTGTCTATAAAAAACGAGACAAGTGTCGGTCTACTATTAGCTACAACTAATAACAAGTAAAACGGTAAAGCTGTACACTACTAATTCTGTATGTTGTCGTTTCCTTCTTGCTTCTTTCTTCCTCGTGTTAAAACGTTGTGTCGCATCTTCCCTCCTTCTTCTTCTTTTGACCGTTGCTGGACAGGGGCTTCAAGTTCATCATCTTCTTCCTTTCCTTCTGGTCTGCTCATGGAGCTTGACATAACTGTTCCCAGAAAAGTAGTGGAAACATCTCAATGTATTAATTTCCATCTGGTTTCACCCTAGAGACTTAAAATTAATTTGCATTCGTTATTCGTGATCCCAATTAATCATTTTTGGCCGAGTTTGTTTGAGTTTAATTTGAGCAGTCCATTTCTTCTTATTTTATATTTTTCTTGTAAATATATATATTGTCCATGGTTAGGATCTCTCCGGTGCCTACGTTCGATTCTTGAAGTTCAGTTTCTCCTTGACCTTTGTATGGATATATTGTTTGCATCAAATTGCTCTTAATAAGAGACGACACAAGTTTGTTAATGAAACAAAAGCACATCATAATAATACCTAGCTAGACTCCTGCTTCGGCAAAAAATACAACAATACATAGAATACTATACTAGACTACTCTGCCGTGGGATGTGATGGTGTTGGTTGAACCAAACAAGCAAGCTACTGGAGAGGTGGTTGGTTGCCGGGGAAGGGATGAGCGTCCATGCCTTGGAGAAGCTGTTGTCCCTGCTAGAGATTATTCTCATATTGGAGAAGCTCCAGCTGCTGAAAATTATTCTCCATCCCATTGTTTGTTCGTGCACCAGCATCCCTCTGAAATTCCACTGAGAGGGGCGGAAAGAAGCTCCTGAATATGCGCATCCAACTAGGCAGTCATATCTCTTGGTGAAAATACATTTGTCACATCTCTAATCCCCGTGATTCGTCATTTAATTTGATACCTCAAATGAAGAAGGGAAACTCGATCGAGAGAAAAAAAGGAGAAGCAAGAAAGTGTTCTTATTTCTTCTAGAACTGGTTTTGAGTCGTCCCCATTCCCCCGACATCCGAGGGTTGCAGGCGTGGGGCTGCATGCCAGATGATAACCACACCCCTCCAGCGATTTTCAGTGGTCGTTTTTCCTATAAAAGGCAGCCCTAGAAACCTCAGTTCTTCACAACTCTCCTTATTCTTCTCCAAATTTCAGTTGTGCGCCCTACATTTTTTTTGAGTATTTGCGATTAACGTTACTTCGTAAGTTTGTTTTGTATTACTTTTTATTGTGATTTGTGATTTTTATGGTATTAATTTAGTTACGATTTTATTGCAGATGACATTTCAAAAGTTCACGCTTCGGTTAAGTGGAATGGTTATACAGAAGAGATCGGAAAGGGAGAACGTTACGTTAGTGATAATTTTCATAAAGTGAAAGTGAGATCAACGATTGTTGTTGAGATGGTGAACGGCCAAGGTGAGTGGGATTGGAGTCGACTTCAATCATTATTGCCTAATGGTTACCTCTCCTGTATTGCATGGATGGAAGCGCCAGTCCAAGGGATGGGAGAGGATACTACTATCTGGGGTCTTGAAAGGGATGCCAGATTTAGAATCAAATCTGCTTCCCTGCTTGCTGGCAACGAGATTGGGAAGGAACCTCAACCAGGCTGGAAAGATATTTGCAAGTGGAAGCTAGGGACCAAACAGAGTTAAACATATCCTTTGGCTTGTTATGCACAACAGATTGTCGGCTAACCACCAAAGAACAATTAGACCACTGACATCATATGGCAAATGCAAATCCTTCACTAGGGAGCTTGAAACAAGTGAACGCATTCTTAGACACTGCAGGAAGACTCAGGGAGTGAGGCTTTTCTTTAAGATTGGACATCAACCACACGACTTGAGAAGCTCCAAAACAATGGATGATGGACAATCTCAAGGTTAGGACAAGGGGATTGATTTTGGGATTGCTTGCTGGCCGATTAGGAAGCAGATAAATGAAGAGGTGTTGGACGAGAAAAGATTCTCAGAAGTTGGTCTTATCAGCAGAATTTGCTCTTGGATTCGCGTCTTTCGGCAAGCTAGGAGTAATGACTAAAGAAGCATCATGATGCCGAAAAACCAGTACATCTCCACACCTATCACGTGGAAGCCACCTAGAGAGAATTGGATTCAAGTCCTAACGGATGGATTAGTGCTACAAAGCTCGGGAAATGCTACCGCAGGATGATTAATCCGAGACCATCTCGGAAACTACTTGGATGCTTTCGTCTGCAACTTGGCAAATGAATGATCACCATGTTAGAGCTGAAAAGGGCGGAAATTGGCCTCCAGAGAGCTTGGGAGCAAGGTTTCCGCAGGTTTGAACCGAGCAGGACTCGCTTACTGCAATCAGCATTCTGCAAAACCACCTGGATGTTGACCATAGCCATTGTCTCATTGCTGCACGAATCGTAAAGCTGATTAATTTTGAGTGCGAAGTGTCTATCTCCCATGTGTATAGAGAGGGAAATTATGTTGCCGATTACTTGGCTGGAAAGGGTCATTTGGCTCATTTTGGTACACATCCCTTCAATGTGTATGATCCAATTCGTTGTAATTGGCTGTTGTACGACTTCATGGCTATCTTCATGGATTGATGTATTATTAATATGAACTAGGACACATTGACGTCCGTCTTTCTACAAAAAAAAAAAAGGATATCAATATGTAGATCATAATTAATGTGTTTTTTTATGCAAAAAAATTTAACTTCAGAGTTAATAACGAGTTCTGCAGGATCCGATTATGAAAAATAAGGGATTTGAAAAAGTACATTCTCTCTCATCTGGACCCGTGTCAGACTGTCTGCAAAAAATTACTAGTTTGCCCCTCTTTTTCCGAATTAATGTGGACCATTAGATGAGGGAAGAGATGGAGGGTAAATGATAGGGTTTTGTACGGATGGATTTTGTATCTTATCTAGGGACGGACACACCTTTACGAATTAATGTCTGAATTTTTTTTTGTGAGGAACCCACATTTTTTGTGTGAAAAATTCGAACATAGAACCTCCAACACATCTCCAATAACTGCAGCCGACATACCTTATTACATTACAAAACGTTTATTGTGGGGTAAGAAATAATAAAATTGGTGAAGTTTATGAATAAATTTTTTATGTTTATTTTAAATTAATTTTAATTTATTTTTATTGGTCGGCACCTATCCCAAATTATATGGGTCCGCCACTGATCTTATCCCTTCCTTTTTTTACTTATATTTAAATCTAACAATAACATTTAAACAAAGAAAAGCTCGAACTATAATACTCAATATAATTCAACACTATTCTCCATGCAAACCTTGTCCTTCGATATGGCAATTTGAACCCCCCTGAGTATTACCGACCTGACTCGCGATGGGTCGAGTATTACCCGACATGCAGTAGTACGGACATGGCATGGACATCCACTTCCGACCTACTCTACCAGTCTCGTCCGTTCTTGGTCGATTCTATCTCGATTTCTTACAATATTTATTCATATTTTTTATATCTTTACATTTTCGAACTAGTTATTTTTTTTAGAGAAGGGTGATATAGGTTTACTTTATGTGATAGGTACTACTGAAAGAATTTTAACTTGGAGTACCAGGTTCAAAGCTAGTTGTATTTCCACTAACCAAGTCATTGTTAGTACCTTTTCCAACTAGTTATACTTGATCTTTCTCAATTACCCATTTTATTATTACTATTTTTCATTCATAAAGTGCTTTCACTTTGTTTTGTCGTAAAAAGTAAAATTTTGGGTGTATTTTTTAAAAATAACAAATAAGAGTGAGTCAACTCGCTCCGCCTCATACCTGCGGGTATTACCCGCACTTGTTGCAAAATGAATATGAGTACTTTCGCCTCATACCTGCGGGTATTACCCGCACTTGTTGCAAAATGAATATGAGTACTAAAGTACTCGTCCCGCTCCGCCCCATTAACATCACTACTCGTCCTCTCCAGTTTCTGAAACTTCGTCGCGACTTAGGTCACCCAATTCGTTACCCAACCATCGGCGCTCCCGCTTTAGAGCGTGAAACACACACTTTTTCTTTAGAGCTTTGATAATTCACGAATTATACTGATTGGGAGCGCGAACTATATTTAGAAATTCGCAGTCTTTCTAATGAATTGGGTTTTACTAGAAAGCAAAGAGGAAAGATTAGTTGTTCTCGTTAGCCGGCGGTTCAATTGCCTTTCTGCTGTGAATTGACTGTAGCCTATCCATTCGTTTCTTGATCCCACAACAAAGTGTTGTCCACCAAGAGATTCATTTGTTGGTTGCACGGAGAAATTGATCATCAGAAGGAAAAAAAAAAAAAAAAAAAACGGAGAGGATTGGTCGCCAGGGTTAAAAAGGAGATGGGAGAAGAATAGAGTTCTTACTCTGCTTCGGATAAAAGATAGAAACTTGAGAAAGAGAGGGACGGAGGAAAGTTCAGATCTTGTGGTTAGGATGAGCAGATGGTGAATTAGTAGATCAATCGCCAGGAAAGAGAATGAGATGGAAAAAAATGGAGCTCTTGCGTAGAGAAAAGAGAGAAATTGGGTAGAGAGAAGTGAATGGGTGAGAAAATAAAAGGGAAAGAAAGATGTTAATAAAAAAAATTAGAATCGGAAATAATGAAATGAAAAATAAAATATTTATGGAATATATATTAGAATTATTATTAAACTTAAATTAAATTACAAAAGAGTCTCCACCTTTATCATTACTTGTGTCTATATAAATTGTATTATATTAGATTTTCTTCATTTTGCTCTCAGTATTTTGAATATTTTTATATTATTTACAATATAAACATATAGTATATTAGTTGAATAATATAATAATAACATTTTGTTTACGCTCTCAATATTGAATTCTTATCATTTAGACGCTTTCACGCTCTCGCTCCCGCTCCAGGAACTGGTTACCTAAGTCGCGACCATCCATTCTAACATACAAAGCCAACGCCCATGTTCCGTCATTAAAGAGCTAAAGAACTTACCAAAATGATTTTGACAACCAAAAACAACCAAAGAACATACCAAGAACTTACTCCTTACTCGTTACCAACTTAAACATTTTATTACACTAATTTAAAATATTTTTCTTCAATTTTTAACCAATTTCTTTCTACCTCATATATATACTTAATTAAAAAAAACTAGTCAAAATGTTGTATCAATTTGTATGACTTGCAAATTTTTATGTAATTAATCGTAATTGGTAAAGTACACTAGCTAATAGTAATGGTGATATCAACATTTGCAACCAAAAGACACCATTAATGGTTTATTTGGTATTTTAGTATTATTTCAGTAATAATTGGATTAAAGTATCTCGTTTAGTATAACCATGCAAATCTGGCATCTGGCGTGTGGTTTTTGGCAAAAGCAGAGTTGTAGAAGGAGTTATTTCGAAATAACTCATTGCCCAAATAACATCAGTAAACTGTTGCCAAACGAGTTATTTGTAAAATTATTCGAATTACCCTAAAAATTGAACCATTAAAGATTAACTATCAAATTTAGTAAAACTGTTGTGACTTCAATAATAACTTACTCAATAACATATATCCTATACACTCAACATTACCCTCAATCGACAATATTAAGTTAGTATATGTTAATGATCGTATACCCTAAACCATCAATACATTATACACTAACCACATACCCTATGGCCTATACCCTAAACATATATCTTTATGAGTTGTGATTTTGCTAGTATAGTTAATTTAAAGTGAAATTCATACTTTGATTTTCAAAAAATAGATAAAAAGTGATATTTGCTATACCCTAACCATATATCCTATACTCTACACCATATACCTTGTACCCTAACCACGTACCATTAACATAAAAGGGATCTCCTGCCGTTAAAGACTTCAAATGACTTCAGGTGAACATATGTTAATATAAACTTAGAACTGTCAAAACCATCAATACCTTATACCCTAACCATATGTTCCCTAAACCATCTGTACCTTATACCCTATACCCTAACAACATACTTTATACCCTAAACAACGAACCGTCAAAAATTACTTATCAAGTTTAATATAATTGTTGGCTCATATTCACCCGCCCATAAATTTTCCATTCCAAAGTTCCCACCCAAACCTCCCTCTCATTTTCCATTCCAAACTGACCCGCAACCCGATTAAGCTAAATTTTCAAACCCGCACCTTGACTGAGTTATTGCAATCGTATGAATTAACATGCCAAGTTTAACCCCCATTTTGAAATAAAAGTTCAACTCAAACACAACTTAAATGTGCCAAAATTTTACTGAGTGTTGTAAAATAACAATAATGTAGTGTTGAAGTTGCAATGAATGTAGAAGCATAAAAACAAGTAGACAAATTATATGAATTTTTCTAAAACAAATTATTGTTGTAACTAATAGTTAATATAGTTATTAGACCAAACAATTGCACATATATATTAGCCTTCAAAGCATATAAAAATAAATTTGATTAGTCATGCTCTCCATATAAAAATTAAAGATTCATATTTCAAAGGCTAAAATTTTGAAAAACCAAAAAATTGAAAACACTAAATTTGTTTCCTTCTTCCTTTTCACAAAACAAATACTAAAATTCTCCTCATTCATTCTCCTTCCATAAATTAGAAACACTCAATTTTCCCTCTTCTTTCTCTTCCATAAAATTTCCCTCTTCCCTCCTTCCTTCCACAAAAAGTTGAAAACTCAAAGTTTCTCTCCGTATTTCTCTTTCATAATCAAAAGAATCCAAATTTCCCACTTCTTTCTCTTTTCACAAATCAAAACCACCAAAATCCCCCTTGTTTCTTTTCTAAAAAATTCAAGAAACCAAATTTCCATCTTCTTTCTTTTTTCAAAAAGTTGAATGCAAAAGGAAAACTGGTGAGACGTAATTAATTTTATTCCCTCCTTGCTCTCTCCTCTCTCCTCTTTCCCTAGGGTTTTTACGTAATATCTGCGATGGCGGCCTCGTCGTCGGAATCTGCTCCGACGACGGGCAAGGGCTCTGGGGTAAGTACTTGGGCTCAGCTACTTGACATCCCTTAGGGAAATTGGATGAAGTTTCGTTCTCCATTAGGGATGGCAATGGGTCGGGTTGGGGCGGGTTTTGTCAAACCCAAACCCAAACCCATGGGTTTATCCGCCAAAAAAACCCAGGGTAAAACCCGCTGGGTTTGAAAAACTCAAACCCAACCCAACCCGTTGGGTATCCGCGGGTTCATGGGTACCCGTGGGTTTTTGTGGTAAAAAATTTACAATAACAAGTTTCTTTCAAAATAAAAGTTTAACATCAATTTTCTCATACAAATTATTCATACAAAAAACACCAATATAGAGCATACAAGCAAACCGCAAATGATCAATACAAATTGTTCAAAATTAAAGATAAACATCTATAAACAATAATATTAATTGAAAGCTTCTTCCTCGTCAACTAAGTTTCTTCACTCTCCACTTCATAATATCAACTTCATTCTAAACAATTAGAAAGAACAAATTATACATGTCTCCACAAACATAAAGAATATTAGTTGTTTAAGGAAATATTATTTAGAATATTAAATATACGGGGAAAGTAATTATATGTGTGTGGGCGGGTACCCATGGGGCGGGTTTACCTAAACCCAAACCCAACCCGACCTGGTGAATAGTGTAGCGGGTTTAAACCCGAACCCGGCCCAAAACCCGTCAACACGGGTTTTACCCGCGTTGACCGGGTTGGGTCGGATGGGTACCCGTGGGTTCGGGTTTTGTTGCCATCCCTATTCTCCATAGTGTGTGAATGATGGATTTCGAATTCCTCGGGAGGTGAAGAAAAAGGGGGAAGAGCGCCGGCGAGATTGCCTCATAGGGCAGTTCGTTGGTGCTCAACCTAAGGTGGCTCAACTTCAGACCTGGGCTACTGCAATTTGGGGGAGAGATGATATTGTCCGTGTTTCGCGTTTTGGGTCTCGTTTGTTTGTGTTTCAGTTTCCCTCTTCGTCTACAAGTAAGTGGGTTTTCCGATCAGGTTCGTGGCATTACCAGGGTAATCAACTTTACCTCCGGAAATGGTCTCCAGGAATTAAACCAGTGACTCCGTTGGTAGAATCACTTTTGGGTGACAATTTGGGGTATTCCACTTGAATATCATTCGATTGATGGTTTGGAGTGGATTGCTAGCACTCTGGGTCCACCTCTCTGGATGGATAAAACTACCAAGGTGGGAGGACAGTTGGGGTTTGCTAAGGTGTGTGTGGATCTTTCGACGGAGTGTGGATTCCCCTCTAAGGTACGTCTCTATCCTGATGATGATCTGTTTTTTGATGTGGCTGTCGAGTATCTGAATCTGCCTAGGGTGTGCTCGCACTGTCAAGTGTATGGCCATGATTGTTCAATCTTGGCAAATAGTAATAAGAAGTGGGTCATTAAGGGGGCAACCAAGTCTTCTGATCCTATCTCTATAGATGCTGAACATGGAATTGACAAAGTTGTTCAGGACGCTTCTGTTGAAGATGTGGTAGTGCAGACTGAAGTGGATAATGGGACTGTTGAGGTAAGTTTGATGCCTACTAATTTGATTTCCAAAGGGAAGGAGGTGGATTTTAGTGGACAGGAAGCTCCTACTACTACGCCTATCGGGAGTACTACTGCTAGTTTTGTTGATGTTGTCCTAGGATCATCAGTCTAGGCCGGGAGTTTTAGTCAATCGAAACAAAAGTTTGTTGGGACTATCTCACCAGATTCCGGGAGGGTAGTTTCTCAGACACGTACAGCTGAAAAGAAGAAGGAACCTAACCCATGGATTACTGTTGGAAGTTCTAAACAAAAGCCATCTACACCTCGAGTTGCACCCGTTCTTCCTCGTAAAGGGGGGAGGGCCGGAAAGAAAAGATGAAGATTCTCACTTGGAACATCTGGGGTTTAATGACCCGGATAAGAATAAAGCTGTTAGACAGCTAGTTAATAGATACAATATAGATATCTTAGTTATACTTGAGCCTAGAGTTAGAGAAAATAAGGCAGATGAATTGATAAGTAAGCGTTTTCCAGGTTGGGAGTCAAAAGTGTCAAATAATTCTAGTGGTTTGGGCAAGTTATGGTTATTTTGGAAGTTTGATATTAAGCTCACTGTTCTCCATAAGACGGATCAATTCATTTTTATGATGTTTGCTTCAGGAGTCCTGTTTTTCCTCTCGGTGGTTTATGCATCAAATGAGGAACTAGGCAGGAGGGTTCTTGACAGAGATTTGGATAATCTTCGAGCTGGCTCAGCTCCTTGGGCAGTGCTGGGGGATTTTAATGCAATTGGTGATGTAAGTGAGGCCTCTAATTCACCTCAGTTCTCTAGTAGCATGTCTGATTTCAGGTAGTGGCAATTTGATTGTGAGTTAGAGGAGCACATGGCATCAGGTCCGTAGTTAACGTGGATTAATAAGAAATTGGGTAACCCAATTTCCAGGAGACTGGACCGTGTGTTTATTAATGTCAAGTGGTTTGAGGGTTTAACTTCTAGCACTATTGATCTGTTGGATCCATCAGTGTCAGACCACTGTCCAATACTTCTAAACTCTGATAGTTCTGTTAAATCTTTGCCAATGCTTTTTAAGTTCTTCAAATTATGGATCAAGCATCCTAGGTTTATGGATATGGTTAAGGAGGCTTGGATGGTGCAAGTAGAAGGTCGTGTTTGTAAGAAGTTGAAGATCCTCAAAGGGTTACTCGAGCAGTTGAATAAAGATGTTTACTCTGATCTGAGTGAAAGAGTTCGTTTAAAGGCGGCAGAATTGTTGGAAGCTCAGGCTGAGGCCTTAAAGCACCCTTCTCCTATCACTTTTGAAGTTGAGCTTAGGCTTGCTAAAGAGGAAAAAGAGTTAAGAGAGGCCGAAGAGTCTTTCTTTCGACAGAAGTCTAGAGAAGTCTGACTCAAAGAGGGTGATTCGAACACTCCTTATTTTCATAATTCAGTTAAAAGCCGGCAGAAGAGGAACATGATTAGGTATTTAATTGACGAGTTTGGTCAGAGGGTAACAGATACAGATGGGATGTCTAGGATTGCAGAGCGCTTCTATATGAAGCTGTTGGGGGAACAAGACAAAGAAGTAGTTCTTCCAGAAGTTGATCAGATCAAGAAAATACTGATGAAAACACTATTACCTGGACAAGGGGGTGGAGCTTTGATGTCCTATCACTGCTGTGGAAGTACGTTCTACCTTGTTTGGATTCCATAGAGAGAAGGCCCCTGGGCCAGATGGCTTCCCGGCTTGTTTCTTTCAGGCAACTTGGAGTATTATTGGAGAGGAGGTAACTAATGTCATTCTCTATTGCTTTCATGTATCTACTATACCTGTGAGTATTAATTCTACTCTCCTAGCCATTATTCCTAAAATCCAGAACACTGAGGAAATGAAAATTTTTAGGCGAATATCCTGTTGCAACATACTATATAAATGTATGGCCAAAATCTTAGCTACTAGACTAAGTTCTGTCATGCCTAGCATTATAAGTGAATCTCAGACTACTTTTGTCAAAGGTAGAGTCATTGGGAAAATATTCTACTTGCACATGAACTGGTCCAGAAGTATGGTTCGGGTCAATCGGGTTCGGATTAATCGGGTTGCGGGTTAGTCGGGTTGCGGGTCAATCGGGTTGAGGGTCGGGCGGGTTACGGGTTATTGACTTTTAGTCAATTCGGGTTGCGGGTCGGGTTGATCGGGCGGGTTATTCGGATCGGGTTCTGTTTTGACACCTATAGATAGGCATGAGGCAACCCCAAGGGCAGTTGTACGGAAGGGAGAGGAAGGGAGAGAGTGTTTACTTTTAGGGTTGGGTTAGGAATGGATAAATATTGATTGGGTCAATTGGCATGCTGACTAGGCCGAAACATAATATATGAATCTTGTCCTTTGTCATCCAAACATAAATTGGGACGGATGACAAACCTTATGATGAGTAACCATGAGTAACCCGTCCACATCAGCATCACTCTCTCTCCTGGAAAGCCTTTAATTTTCTCCTCCTTAATCTTTGACGGACGATTTCTCACTCGTCTTAAGTTGAAATTTAATTTTTTTTGCACAGTTAGATCAGATTAATTGTGTTCTTCAAAATGATATCCAGTTTGATATATTGATTGAACACAAAAACTTGAGTAATTCTTTACCAGTTTATACCATATGGTATTGACTAGTATTGAAATAAGAGTATACCTATGGTTTGAAAAGCGTACCATGGTGGTATGAACAAACCAAGATTGTAGGATGGTTGAATACATGATAGTAGAAGTATATTAACTGTCATTTACGACTTTTAACATTGTGTACCATATGGATCATGATTAGTGGCGGAGCTAGAAAATTGGCCAAGGGGGTGTCTTTATCCTATAAAAAAAATCACCTATACATTAGAAAAGTCAACTTTAAATTAAACAAAAAGTCAACAACGCAATACTCTAAATTCATACAATTACATTAAAATAGTTTCACGTACACCGGTTACAACATCAAACAAATAAGTTCAGTACATACAAATCAAGACTTCCATTCATCAAATATTACAAATTAGAACTCAGAAGTACCTTGGAATTGATTTTGTGAAACAAACAAGTGAACTTCAATTGGTACTTCTTCACTTTCAACTTTGTTTAAACAAAAGACAAGAAATTTCTCTATTGTAGAGCTACAAAAAAAAAGAGCGAGTTTAAACAAAAGACAACAACTTATTACTATAAATAAAGACGAAAGTGCATTGCATAACAAAACTCACTCGATCGAAATAGTAAGAAATTCTACCTGCAACTGTCATTGGTTCGAATTTGTATATACCCCTACTCGGAAATTTTTTCTCCAAACTCCAAGTGGCTCTGCCACTGATCATGATGAACTCGTTCCTTCTATGCAAACGTTTTCAAAAACGAATTAAAAACGAAGATGATACCCTATGGTATGCAGTTGGTACTGAGAGGCAATAAATTTTTTTTGTCAAAAAAATATTGAAAATGGATCTCATCTTGTAGAGCACAACGAACTCGTTCCATCTGTGAAAAAAAAATCCGAGTTAAAATGAAGAAGATATGAGCCTATTAAGAAAGTAAGGGAAATTAAAATGACATTTAATTCTCTATCCTTAGATATGAATTTTCTAAATGAAGGGTCCAGATTTACTTATTGATGGGTGCATAACCCATGACCCATATCTTGAGCCAACGGATAGGGAGCAGATCCGGTGAGCAATGCAGTTAAAAGCGCGATTCTACCTAAAAGCGGAAAAGGGGTAAAATCGAAAAGCGGTGAATCAAAGCGTAAAAGCGTAAGTTTTTTATGCATCCTGTATAATAGTTAAAATAATGTTAAGTATGGTATAAACTATGTAAAATATGAGTTTACAGAGTTTAGATAAATGAAAAAATACATACAATTCATGTCTAAATTAGAACAAACTCATAACATCTTAACAATAAGGTCATAAACATAAATCGTAACCCACAAACGAGTTAAGAATCCAAATTCTCACAAGCTGGTTTAAGTTTACATAATGATATATGATTTTAATAAGTCCAAATCCTTATGTGGCCAACATGCACAGATTCCTGCACTACTATCTAGAGTTTTGCTCTGGAAATTGGGAATCCTTGAAATGGCACCCTGCTGCTTGAGTTGGGTTCAGGGGTTGCGTTAGGGAATTGGATTCTGAGGGTCTAATTTGGGGTCCAGATTCGTGGTTGGATTAACCATAGTCTATTGAACATTATGATCTCCATGGTTGCTTGGTTCAATCGGGCGATTCTGATATGAGCATTGGTGCTGTCATAGGCTCTCATATTAATCAGCCAATATGAAGAACAATGAGCAATGAGTCCTTCACTGATGCCAGGCGCATAAGCAAAAGAAGAAAGAAAGGGGACAAGTATGGATACAAGTTGACATATATGGATGCAGGGGATAAGTTGACTTACTGGAAACGAGGGCTTGGTTGCTCGATTGCGACGAAAAAAGGGCGAGTGTGCAACTGCGACGGGCGACAGGCGTTGGAGTTGGCGTGCGATAGGTTCTGGAGCTACGGTGGAATGCGGCGGCGGCGCCTGATACTTCGCTGGAAGGCCGGCCTGCCTCGCGGCGGCAACGGGGGATTGTTGCTGGAGAGTGGGTGGCTGCTGGAGAGAATTAGGGTTGCAGGGGAATGGATTGGAAGCCAACCCGATAGCCACCCTTCCTTTTTTTTTGAATCCGAAATACCAAAATTGCGTCGTTTTGATTGAGTGCCGGCATTTTTTGTCGAATGCTTGGAATCGTAAAAAAAGGGTCTGAAAACGCGTTTTTATACGTTTTCACCGATTTTAACGATTCTACTTACGCTTTTGACCGATTTTGAGTGAAAACGATTTTATTAGTGATTTGAAACATTTTCCTACCCTAGAAACGTAAAATCGTACGCTTTTACGCTTTAAAGCGCGATTTTGACTGCACTGCCGGTGAGTAACCTTATGGTGAGTAACCATGAGTAACCCGTCCACATTAGCATGACATCAACATCCCTCTCTCTTCTGGAAAACCTTTTATCTTTTCTCCTTTAATCTTTATCGGACGATTGCCCTTTCGTTTTAAGTCGCAATTTATATTTTTTGCACTGATAAATTAGATTAAATGTGCTTTTCAAAATGATATCCACTTTAATATTTTTTTGGAACAAAAAAAAATTGAGCCATTTTTTACCAGTCTATACCATATGGTATTGACTAGTATTGAAATAAGAGCATAATTATGGTTTGAAAAGCGTACCATGGTGGTATGAGCAAACCAAGACAGACTGTAAGATGATTAAATACATGATAGTAGAAGTATATTAACTGTCATTTACGACTTTTAACATTATGTACCACATGATACCACCTCGTACCAGGGTGGTATTGTATGGTATTGTGTGGTATTTTTTGGTCTTGTAATTTGTTCACCCAGAAATTTGTAGATCCAATAGATCATGATGAACTCGTTTCTTCTGTGCAAACATTTTCAAAAACGAATTAAAAATGAAGAAAATACCATATGGTATGTAGTTGGTACCGAGAGATACGAATTTTTTTCTAAAAAAATATTGAAAATGGATCTCGTTTTGTAGAGCAAAACGAACTCGTTCCATCTGTGCAAAAAAAAAAAAAATGAAATCCAAGTTAAAACGAAGAAGATATGAGCCGATTACTAAAGCTAAAGAAACTAAAAATGACATTTAATTTTTCATCCTTAGATATGGATTTTTTAAATGAAAGATCTAGATTTAGTTATTGATAGGTGCATAACCATGATTATGCACCTTATCTTGAGCTACACTAAAATTGAAATTAAAATTAAGTGGTAACTGACCTGACCCCCTAAGCCTAAATTAACTTAAGTGGTATTATCGGACGATTGCCCTTTCGTTTTGAGTCGAAATTTAAATTTTTTGCACTGATAAATTAGATTAAATGTGCTTTTCAAAATGATATCCACTTTAATATTTTTTTGGAACAAAAAAATTGAGCCATTTTTTACCAGTCTATACCATATGGTATTGACTAGTATTGAAATAAGAGCATAATTATGGTTTGAAAAGCGTACCATGGTGGTATGTGCAAACTAAGACAGACTGTAAGATGATTAAATACATGATAGTAGAAGTATATTAACTGTCATTTACGACTTTTAACATTATGTACCACAAGATACCACCTCGTACCAGGGTGGTATTGTATGGTACTGTGTGGTATTTTTTGGTCTTGTAATTTGTTCACCCAGAAATTTGTAGATCCAATAGATCATGATGAACTCGTTCCTTCTGTGCAAACATTTTCAAAAACGAATTAAAAATGAAGAAAATACCATATGGTATGCAGTTGGTACCGAGAGACACGAAATTTTTTTCTCAAAAAATATTGAAAATGGATCTCGTTTTGTAGAGCAAAACGAACTCGTTCCATCTGTGCAAAAAAAAAAAAAAATTGAAATCCAAGTTAAAACGAAAAAGATATGAGCCGATTAATAAAGCTAAAGAAACTAAAAATGACATTTAATTTTTCATCCTTAGATATGGATTTTTTAAATGAAAGATCTAGATTTAGTTATTAATAGGTGCATGATTATACACCTTATGTTTAGCTACACTAAAATTGGAATTAAAATTAAGTGGTAACTGACCTGACCCCCTAAGCCTAAATTAACTTAAGTGGTATTACTTCATCAATTAAAAAAAAGTAAGTAGGATATTTCTCGCCAGAAATGTAATTCTTGAATTTGATGAGTTCACCATACAAACTTATCACCTGAATCCACACAACGAAAGGAAGTCAATCCAATAAAAAAGATCTTGCAATATAAATACATGAAGTCTTTGGCTAATACCAGCACAAAACTATATCCCAAAACCTTGACCAAAGTATGCCAGTCAGTGACGGCCACGGCCACGGCCTCTTCTTGTTGCTTTGCCAGCTCCACGTTTGCCTCCTCCACGACCACTTCTACCACCACTATCAAAATTTGCACTTAGACTTTGATATTCTATCGGCAATGGAAGGATGTTGTCGATACAGGTCATGACGCAGAAAGGTTCCATAGAACCATCTTCCCAAACAATGAAGAATGATCGATTGTCCCACAACGTTTCCCATTCTCGGATTTGAAATGAAGGGATCCCCCCCGAACCAGAACCAGGCTTCATCTTCTCCTCCCACTCTGGATCACCCTTCTTCAGCAAATCCAACACTATCTTGTACTCAACCTATATACAGTCAGAACCACAATTCATTATTCCTAAAAGAATAAGGCAACCATCCAAAATCTTCGAGTGTGCATACCTCAGAGTTCAAAGGAGTATTAAGTGGCCAGGCTACGAAGAGTTTCTCGAAGTACGAAACCATCTCAGCCGAGCTCCGAAATCTGCTCATACCCAAGGTGACTCCATCTTGGCCGTCTTCTTTATGATGACAGCTGCAAGGACCAGCAATTGTTTCTCTGAGTTCCTCTGGCAAGGGCAAGAAGTTGTCAACACACTTAATGTAGCAGAAATCCTCCATGGAACCATCTTCCCTAACGAGGTAGAAGCTTCGCAACTCGCTGCCGTACGCTGGATGGATTCGGACTTGAAACGATTCAATCCCAGAACCAATCTTTCTCTCCGACTCTGGATCGCCCTTCCTTAGCAACTCTAGTAACATAAGGTGCGCTTTCTACAGTCCCAAACAAATAACAGCAAAACCAACAGGTTGCAGACGGCAGGCACTCAAATCAACACAAAAAAAGAAAGGAGCACCTCAGGCGTGATAACCTACCTCGGTGATCGCCTGATTAAGCGGCGAACCAAGAAGCAGAGAGTAGTAATAATGAAACATATGAGAGGAATCCATGAACTTGGATGTACCAAAGCTGAAAAAGGTAGCCAATTTCTCCTCCAAACGCCGAGCTAGTATTTCTCTGGCTCCTCCTTCTCGTTCCTTAGCAGCCCTCACAGCATCCCAGCCTCCCAAATGGCATAAACAAACAGCATCAATGCCAATACCATGGCCTCTCAAATCTTTGGGCAAGGGAAGGATTTTGTTAACACAGCTTCTGAAGCAGAAATCCTCCCTGGAACCATCTTTCCTTACAAGAAAGAAGGTGCGGAAGCTGGTACACGTTGAGTGTTCTCGGACTTGAAATGATTCGACCCCACAACCAATCATTTTCTCCGGCTCCGGGTGACCCTTCTTCACCAAATCCAGCAACCCCCTAGTCTGTCTCTGCAAAAGAACATTAGAGAGGAAGCAGCCGAATGAAATGGTATAAAGTCAGTACCGTCCAGCCGGGAGTAGGAGTAGAGCATAAACTAAAGCAGCCCATCAAGTTCCTTTCCTTCCCCATCTAATTAAACAGGGCAGCTAGCATTCGACGGGAATCTCAAAGGAAAGACGCTCCCAGCAGACAGACAGAAGAATTTATCAAGGACATCATCACCATGTGTAACGTTCATAGCTGCTAAATCAGACACAAACTAAACAATGAACACAAGCTAACCAAGAAGCGGATGCCATGTCAGGTACTTGAAAGGAGGTGATCTTGGTTTCAACAAAAGCAATTCGGTCACAGAAACAAACGCAGTAGCAGCAAACTAAGTGGGAAGGAAACACACAATCAACAAGCAGATCGTAATCCAGAAGTCATATGCATTACAAAATTAATCAACAAACCTAGATTGGGATTTCCGTGTAGACAGAGATACGAAATCAAATCCAGGACTATAAGAAGCGATCGCACAACAACACGACTAGGAACAGAATACCTACATCGGGGATAGGGGTATTGTCTTGCATAAAGGTAACCAACCGGTGGAAATCCTGAACTAAATAACGGGCGGTCATGGGTTCCCACTTTCCCGAAAAACAATTCATCCACAACACCACCTCCTCCTTCTCCGCAGAATTCCCACCTCCTTCTCCGCCGGCTCCGACATCAGTTTCCCCCTGGTGCTTCTTCGAGGCATTATCGCTTCCGCCGTTTGGCCCTTCACCGGTCTCCTCCCTGACCCGCTTCTCGACGGCAGTGGCCATCATCGCAAAGAATTTAGAAAAAGGAATTAGCACATTCACCCGCTAACCAGGACCTGGAACGGAGATTTGATTCGTGCTTCCTTCACACCTGCTAGTGTGATCTTGATTCTGTCCATTCCCCTCCCGTCAGCACCCCAACCGGATAGACTTATTTGGCATTACTAGCCCACTGGTCAATACACGGTTAAAACAGGGTATCAGTCTCGTCGGTGATGAGCTACCAGAGGGTCCACGTCGGCCCATGCAGCCCATGCACGACCAGAAGGGTCCACGTCAGTCCAGCCGTATTCCAAAGCCCAACCCACGTTATGATTTATTATGCTTCATCTATTAATGTTATCATTGCTAAAGTAGGACAAGGATTCTCTTATCATTGTAAGAACTATTTAAGGGTGAGTTTCGTGAGAATTAAGAATCAATAAAGTTAAGGTTTATCGACACCAACGCTCGTTTTCTTGCTCGTGAGTTTCGAGCAAAATCCTAGAATAGAGGGAATCTGTTCATTAATTGGTATCAGAGCCTGGTTCTCGACCTAGCCGCGATCCGCGAACTGAAGTTACGATCGATAGCACTACGCTGGGATATCACGGCGACTTGTGCAGAAGCGGCCGTGACGTTGAAGCAACTCAATGCTAAATTCCAAGCGTGGGAAGAAATCAATGAGCGCGCCAACTCCCATGATGAGACGCGCACCGACGACAACGACGAGACCTACGTTGCCGCCAGTGATGACAAGGCAAAATCCGAATCCCCAATCTCTCAAAACTCTGAATCCACAATCTCTCTTCATGCAGCTGCTGGGGTTTCGGGTCCCAAAACCCTACGATTTCCAGCGCAACTCCAAGGAACTTCGGTTGTGGTGCTGGTTGACAGTGGATCCACGCATAACTTCATCTCCGAAACCAAGGCAGAGGAAAGTAAGCTGGCGCTGGAACCGATCGAGCCGTTTGTCGTCCGTATGGCCCTTCACCGGTCTCCTCCCTGTCCCGCTTCTCGACGGCACTGGCGGATCCAGGGGGTGGCCACCCCAGGCCCCGGCCCAGCCCTCCTCTGGATCCGTAGTTACTATAGTCCTTATGAAATTTTTGATTTTAAACATTCAATCCAATGTTATTCTATGATAAGATTGGGTTTAACTAGAAAAATTATCAAGTTGAACATATTCAAATCACTATTCTAAATTTAGCCTAGAAATTTTAGCCCCAAAGATTATGCGTCTTAAAAAAACAATGAAACCTAAAATTCAAAAAAGTTAAAAACGTAAAAGAATAAAAGAAATATGAGATTTGTTCCCTTACAAATTTACTAAAGCAGCTGGTCTGCAAGGATGGACACACAATGTAAATTGATTAGTCGATTGATTTATCTAGTGTTGATGCTGCTCGTTTCAACAGCTCCTACGAAGAGAACTATTTTAACAATGAAACATGTGAGAACTGATTTGCTCAACAAAATGAGCGATGAATTTCTCGCCGATTGCTCAAGTATTTTATTTGAAACAGTGTATACTATTGCTATGGATGTAGACTTCATTATTGATGCATTCCCTAAATTAAAATACAGTTGTGTACAATTTACTTGCAAAAAACTATAATCATTATATTTTTTACGGTTCTAATTTTCTAATGAAATGCGGCCCAGTGCTCTTCTGTGTTCTGGATCCGCCGCTGCTCGATGGCAGTGGCCATCATCGCAAAGAATTTAGTAAAAGGAATTAGCACAAACCCTCAAAGGGAATTAGAATAACTGAATCGCTATTCGTCGTCCTAAAATTTAAATTTTATGCCCTAAATCACACTAAATTAACACATTTACCCCTAACCTCCATTTCTAACCTAAATTCTAAACAAACAATCCCTTGCGGGGAGTTTCTAGTCCCTCCGCACTCCAAACCCGAACACCAAATCGCAACTTCCGGCGGATTCTGCTCCCCGCCATCTCCATCCCATCTCAACCCAATCCCCCATCCTCATCCATCGCTTGTGCTCCTTGTGCAGCCAACCACCAACAGGATTCCGGCCGCCGCTGCTGCCACTCCCACAACCATACATTGATGCTCTGTTTTGGGCCGTCTTCAATTTCTGCCCGCTAGCCCCGTGTAAGAACTCCAGAGAAGGGTAGAAATCGAGCAAGTCGAATCCTCTGGCCACCTGCGCAGCCTCCCGCATCGACTCGCTGATGTTGATTGGGTTTTTATCGTTCTGAGATGAGCTGCGGATAGAGTCTACTAGACTCGAAACCTCTGTTTCACGGATTGATGAGAAATCTTGCACCGCTCTCGTGCCTTTAATTAGGAACAGAGTAAATGAATCAGGAAGAAAAAATTGAAAACTTTCTTGACCATCGTGAATAAGCAAGACTGTTTTTTGTTAGTAATTAACAACCCAGAAACTCAGTTAACGAAATCCGCTTCATCTGCCGCCAGTACTCGCCGAGCGGGCAGAAGGCGATTTCCTGGTATGAAATCGAGGTGAAGAAGAAGGGAAGGAGAAGGAAGAAGAATCGACACGGCCAGCTACTCTGTTGTCGCGGGGAAGAAGGCAAAGAGACTGTCGGCGTGTTGCTGCTGCTTTTTATGGATGCAGAGGAGGAAGAAAGATCCATGTATCTTTTTCTATGATGTTGGTCGGACGATTGTATATTACATATTTCAAGAGACGTCACAAAAGAAAATTGACCTCCTTCCCTTCACCAAGAAGTCGTGACGACGACGATTGTACACTCCGATGAGGTCGCCGGACTCCGGCGACGAGTAAAGGTTGTTTTGATGTGTGTTCTGTGTATTTGTTTAAAGTATTGTGTTTGTAAAACAAAAAATAAACTAGGGATATTAGAGTAAATAGAGTAAGAGTTAGGGCGACAAATAGTATTTTTTAGGGATATGATTAGCAATTCCCCTAATGAAAAGGTCCATTCCGAACACACAACTGTAATTTTCCATTATTGTTTACAGCACAAAGGGTGCCAGACGAAAAGAAAAGAAAGGAAGAAAAAAAAAAGAAAAAAAACGATAGAATGACTGCCCTTTCTTTTGCGTAATTTACTTCGCAGAGTCTCATTCATGCACATATGGACTGCTGTTGGTTGTCGTATAACCCACTCGCCCCACCTGCGAACCGCTGCCTGTTTCTTCTTCGCCTCTTTGTCACAACTGTAAATCCTTCACTATCGCCTTTCTTCTTCTTTTCTGCAACGCTCGTTGTAACCTGTTCCCGGGGACGACTACGATCCCCCGCCGCAACATGACCTCCCACCCTTGCTCCCCTATCCAGGGCTTCTACCCGCGCCGCCACGTTCCTGTCAGTCTTCGATGAATTTCCAGCATCCTGCAGCATCTTCTCACTGTTCTGCGCAGATTTCACGACGAAGCTAAGCAGTATTTGCCTCGCGAGTTCGGCCTTCTCGGACTCCGAGCTGGTGGCCTTTCCCGAAACTCCATCTCTGCCTTCGTTACTGGATTTCTCGTCTCCCGTTTCATCTGCCTCGGGAAATGAATCGGATTCAGCTGTGCTCGAGTCTCCATTCCGGTGCCTTGGCACCCACGCTTTCCTTGGTATGAATTCCGCAGCGTGTGGGTTCATGGTTCTAGTAGATATTATCGGCATAGGAGCTTGGTATTTCAGGAAGCCACGCTGCAAGCTGAACGACCGGCTTGATCTGAAGTAGAAGCGCGATCGTGGTCCACGAGCAACTCTCGCAGAGACAGGCGGAGCAACTGGATGTTCAACCGAATCATGACTAGCTCCAATGTCACAAATGGCAGTGATGGGAGCTGGATTATATGGCTCAGCTGCAGCTGAAAGTTTACTCGCATTTTCTGTGCATTTATTCTGGTCAAAGGAAGCACTCTCCTCTGCAACTTTACCAACTGATTCATCTGTCTGAGTCATGCTCTCATCTACTCTGTCTGCCTTGCTATTGTCAGTTGCATCTTGTAAAGGTGACTGCTCGTAGCATGTCTGTTTCTTCTCAGGTGTTTCATCATTTTGATCGTCCACAGTGTTGTCCACAAACGGTTTCAGAACAGTTCCCGGCAGAGCAATAGCTACTTCCTTGTAAGACAGTGACCTATTCACCACAGCAGCGAAATTTAATTGAGCAGATGAAGATTTCGATTCAGGAGACTTTGCCTGGTGTTTGATTGACTGTTCCCTGAAACTATGTTGAATATTGGGTTTCTTGAGCGAAGTAGCGTCCTTTGTATATGCTGTTCGGTTTATGAAACTTGAACGATGAGAATCCTTTCTGTTTAGCTTTGTGGGAGCTGGTCTTCTGCGACCAGACTTGATGCTAGCAGCACGAAACAACCTCCCTTTTGGATGGGCTTCTTGCCACCCCTCATCAGAAGAAGTTTCTTCAACCTCTTCTCTAGCAAGTATAGGTTCAGATGCAAAAGCTAGATCACTTTCTCTTGTACCCATATGATTACCAGATCTTCGGCCAGTTTCCCCTGAAACCCTGTTTTGGGTTTCTCCTACTGATCCTTCATCTGAAGCTTCTTGACGAGCTGTAGTTGGAATCATCCTAAGCCTGTTTATCGAGGTATTTTCTCCATTCCCCTTCTGCTTAATCATGTCCTCGTTAGCTACATCGCAGTAAGGTATTGTGTTGGCAGAAACGTCATGGAATGCGGCACCTTCAACTACTAGATCTTGATGAGCTTGTTGGACTACCTGACAAATCAAAGACAAAAGAAGGCTTGTGTTTGATTACCGATCAAAAAATAAGCAGATAATAGTTGTTCTTATTCCTTAAAGAACCAGAAACTCTGCCATTGCTATTAAGTTAATAAAACGCCATGGATCAAAATCTTCCTGTACAGAAGTATTGAGACTGGCATCTGCAATAATCTAAGTTGGTGTAAGTACAGACAAGGTCAAGGCAAGACCCAAGTTTGACCAAATTGAAACCTATGGCAAGGTCAAGCCGAGACAGCATATTTCCAAAAGGAATTTACTCGAACAATGACAGTTGTTAGTAAATAGAATGATATGGAAAGTAGAAGCTCAAACAAACGACACTGGCGAGCAGTAAAGTATTTTAGTACTACCTTTGCCCGACGGTGTTTCCTCTGTGTGTCACTTCCCCTAGAATCCTGGTCAGGATTAATGTAATCCAAGAGATCTGACACACTGCACCAAATATCACAGGCATTTGGTACCCAAAGCTACAGTAGTGAATGAAACAAAAACAGGGAAGGTGGTGAATACCATGTCAATACCTAAGGTGACCTTTGCTTGCTATGGATGCATCTGGCTTTGGAGTTCCATTTCGCGCTGCTTCTTGCTGTTCTAGAGCTCTTGATTCAAAATAGTCGAGCCATGCAGCAGCATCCTGAATTAGAAAATGTACTAACTCGATCAGTTTGTATCATATGAAGGATGAACATAGTAGAGAGAAGTACATATACCTGTGTGCAATCTAGATTCAGAATTGGTGCAAAATCCATTTAAGAGAGAAGTGTATATACCTGTGTCCGAAGATCATCTGGTCCAAGTTTCTCTTGTAGTATCTTAAGTGTGGTTTGCTCGTGTTGAACACTCAAGGAATATGCTTCCATCAATGACAGAGCTATGGCTATGGCATGGTAGCTTGCAGCTGTCTGCCAGCAGTAAAACAAATAGAAAGTAAGGAAAAGAAATACACGAAAGTAAGGAAAAGAAACACACACACACACACACTTACAGAGAGAGAGAGAGAGAGAGAGAGAGACCTGTATATGATCCGCGCCTAATAATCTTTGGTTGCACTTTAAGGCTTCATGCAAATATCTGAGAGCAACATGAACATTTCCCATGCCCTCTTCCATCATGGCCACATTGATGTATGTTGCGGCAGTATTAGGGTGAGACAGCCCGCAGGTAAAATGAAGAAGGAATAGAGCACGGTTGACATATCTATCAAAGATTAATTGCTTTGTTCAGATTTATTGAAAGAGTGAAATAGTACCATCCAAAGATTTACTATGGAATATTACTCATATACCAAATGTAGAGACGCAGAATGAATATGTAAACATAGATGCTCAGCAATGATGATATCATATGAATCCATGGCCTAGTTAAGTAAGAGAACTATGGTAGGAGAGCGATAACTAGCTCAGTAGATCAATTTGCACTTACTTCATAGCCAACTCAATGTGCTGTTGACGATAATAAAACACAGAGAGATCCCCGTAACTTTTCATTGTATCTGGATGGTCTAGCCCAAGCTCTCTCTCATTTATATCCAGAGCCTTCTGTTGATATATAGTTGCCTAACAAGCAAAGGGCAAAGAGATAAAAGCTATTAACACCTATGAGAGTGATAACATGAGGTCATTTTTAATTAGCTACCTCTTTAAATTATACCACTTCTAAATTTTTATTCTTTTTGGGGCAATCTCAGAAGTTTGATTCCGTTGCTTTTATAAGCTGATACACACACATCTCAGGTCTTGCTTAAAAAAGGGGAATACCAACATCAAAAAGTATCAAACTATTAAACTTGAGGAAGTGATTGATACCTGATTAAAGTCACCCGTGTGGTACAGAACGACAGCTAGCAGACTGTAAGCACTTGCAGTTATTCGATGATATGGACCACAAACTGCTATCATCTTTACCAGTGCCTATATTCATGTGATTGAAATTTGGAATTTGATCAGGCTAAAATCAGATATCTGTAAAAATGTTATATGTAGGCTCAATCAATTACCTTTGTACCACAGTCAACAGCATCCTCTAGCTTTCCTTTGTCAAGAGCAACTTTAGATGATTCCAGCAAATTCCTCCCATCAGCTGAAGAGCATCCTACATGCTGTTAAACACATAATTGAAAGGGGTTATAACAAAGCTCCTATTTAACTTCTGAGAAATTGATTGAGGAGAAGATGTCACCTTACAAACAGGGATCAGGCTTATAATATCAGAACTCCTGAAGGGACAGGGGGAGTTCATGTCATAGTCCCTTGGAACCATCTCCAGCCCAACCTGTTAGAAAACTAATTAGCATGACTATAGTGCCTAAATCTACTCAGAAAACAAGAACAAGCAATTAGTAAATAATAATACCTTGTGGCACAGGCCACGGAGAAGGGATAATTTTCTCAAGTGCTGGTGCTCATCTTCTAGAGTCCACCCGAACCGTTTATTGATATATGTCCTCAACCATCGCAATTTCAGAGCATGATCATCTTTGAGGGTATCATTTTTATCTCCTTGACAAATTCCAAATAGGAAATTCAAAGATGATGCTATTGCTGATGGTAAGTCTGATACATCATTAACCGATGCAATAACTGCTCTAAGTACATGCTTGAAAGCTCGAGTGACCATCTCATGAATACAAAGAGATTGTATGTGTGGAAGCTTCTCTGCAAGTTTCGCCTGACAACAACACAAACCAAAGCAGAACCGGAGCATGAGAATTGGAATGGGTAGAGGGGGAAGGAAATAAGTGGACCAAAGTCAACTGGTTTTTGTATATTTGTACATTTGTACATTGTTTCTAGCAAAAGTTGTACGTCCAGCTCAACAGTTATCTGAGATAGATAATTGACAAAACCATACTGAACAGAGTGCAATCATATGATTCCTTACCACCCGACCCAAAAAGCGTATCTGTAGTCCTCTCAAATGCATAAAGTCGGTGAGTGTGCGGCCATCGACAGGAGAAAGCTCTAATAAGCCAAAGTCTGCGACCTAACGAATGGTGGGATAAAAATAATAAGCCAATCGACACATTTGGGAGTTCAAATTAACTACTGGTAGAAATCTCACCAACTTGGGCAAAGCAATTTCATCATGGTAGTTGTATGCCATTTGAACAAGCTCATCCAGAGACTGTTGCAGAAGTTGACTCAAGGTAGTTAGTCGAGCAAGAAAAAGTGATACATTCAACATATTTCAGAACTAAAAAATGGCATTGGCTCAAAGATTATGCACCCACCAACCTACTTCAAGATATAAGCATTTAGATAGAGGGGCTGGGCAGTTACAGGAACCACCATGAACCCTACCTAAGTAAAATAAAATAGAAAAGCTTAACTGAAAGGAACCTTTAAATGAAGCCCAGTTTTGGTTTCTTCCAGACGCAAGAAGGAATCAACAGACAGCACTTTCTTCAATTCATCACCAGTGTTCTCGTGATTACTTTGGCTGCATAGGTCAGTTCCTTCACTTTTGCTGTACAGGTCACTTTCAGCCTTTTTCGTCTCATCCGTGACACTTTCAGCAGGTTTCTCATCTCTCATCTTCAAAAATTTGAACTCCTTTCCTAGACCTTTCACTGCATGCTCAATCTGATCACTTTCCTCGGAACTACTAGAATTGGGCTCGGTCGCTGCTTCTCGCTTTTGCAGATGCTGCAACCAACATGATCCTAGTTCCCATCTGATTGACCTCTCAGATACAACTGGTTCTTCCTCTATCTTAGTTAAATTCTCATTTAAAATTTTCTGGGTAAGGCACGTCAATTCTTCTGCATTGTCAGGACCAGACTTAGGTGTTGGCAATCCTTGTGATTCAGAACTGACACACCGGTGAAGCAGAATCCTCAAGCTGCAAGAATTTCTAATCTCATAAGCAAGATAATGAAGACCATGAAACAGGATTCATCTTTAAAGAGAACATATCATATTTATGAGGTACCTTGCCTTACACTGGAAAGAAAAACAAAACTATTTCATACATATTAAAGTATAGTTTTTCATTTCGTTCATCATCTATAGAAGTTATTAGATTCTTGAATCGAGTTCCTAACAGAGAACAAGCAAGTTGAAAGGAACATGAGCATGCACTTCGAAGATGAAACTTCATTTCTAGTTATAAATGAAGAATCAAACTAAATCTGTCAAAAGGAAAATGGACCACATGCATCAAAAGCTAGCAACATTTTCTTTTAACATCGTCTGCAAAAGAGATGATTCACAACAAAATTAACCATCCGAACAGAGAGGAAACCTAACTAATGACTCATTGCCTACATAACTTGATACAAGGGATTTCTACTAGCAAACCACTGTGAACTATCAAATCGTTGTACTAGTGAGGGAGTCATTTGTAAAGCAAACCTGTTAGTGTTTAGAGCATTGGCTCCACCATCCAGTTGATCATCAATTTCAATGTCTTGGGCAGATGTAGTCTTGTCCACATCACCAACAACTCTAACTGTTGCAGTGTATCCACACTGTCTTACAGTCACAACCCCTAATGACGAAGTATCCTACACAAACATAAGCAAAAGTTCCAGTATTCATTATTCCAAATATTAGAGACACAAAATTTTATCAAACACAATTGTCTTTGATCATTGTGACTCTTCAAAATGCAGCTTTCAAAATGAATGTTATTATCTGTGAGCGTGAGGATAAATAATGCTTCTAAGAATGGAAAGTGCAGGGAAGGGCAATGACTCACATTAATGATAACACTCTCATCTGCAGTAAGGCCTTTCAGCAAGTTCTTCTGGTCTACTTCTTTGGCAGAGGTATTAGACAACCGATCAACATTGACTTTCAGACTGGACTTCAAGCTCTCATCTGTATCATCATTAATAACAACAACCAACAAGTCTCCAACACGTTCCTCAAGGAGGACTCTGTCTTTTGCACGTATATTAGAATCAATGGTCTGATGTATTGCTCTAGTCGCCTTACGAATTGAGACATCAACAAACAGGTTGTGAAGCAAAAAGGCCTTCCTGTCCCGTACTAATCTCTCTTCTTCAGTCTTGCAAGGAAGTCTAGCAAGTATTGCAAACTCTGTGGCCCATGGTCGAAGGTCGTGCATGTCATTTTGTCCTAAACCTCCACCACTGCCACCCCAAGAATCATCCTCTGCAGGCAGGGGTGCAAACTTTGAAGGAGACTCGACAACAGAAGGAGGAACCAGCCAGGTATTTGCACGAAAACCATATGGGAGGTTTCCAAACTGGAAAGTAGAAGCAAATTTCTCAGCAAAACTGCTGCACAGAAACACATAAAACTCCTAGTGGAATTTCAGATATATACAAAATTTTGTCACCTTATTGCGATCCACAAAAGCTTCCATGAGGGAATCATACGCCTGCCTTGACAACATCCAACAATTAAAAGCATTCAAGTGGAACCAGTCAGTTTCTGAAGAAAACCAGCAACAGTAGGGAATGACAAAACACAGCGGCGCTAGAAATCCAACCAGAACATAAAAACTGAGCAACATGAATTTACTGACATTTGCAAAAGCTTGGCTGAGATTTTGCAGAAGATCCACCAAGGAGTGACTTTGGGAGAACTGCTTCCCAGCCACATAAAACCCTTTTACTGATGCAACCACATGCAGCTGCTTTCCATTGCATATCTTAATCTGCATAATTCAGTAGGAGTTCATTCAACAGAGCTGCCAAAGGGAATTAACATTGATGCAGTACAAAATTCGACTTATGGTCATTGACTAACCATACCATCCGCTCATCACCTCATTTTGGCATCATTAGGTTCTTTCAGGCGTCAAAGAGAATATTTGTTCAAACACAGAAGAAAAAGCAGAAAAAGGAGCGGAGAGAGGATAGAACACCTGCATCTCAAAATGATCGCCTTCGCGTCTTGATTCTTTTCCATCACTACATCTCTTCAAATCTGCAACCAGAAATTACTCAACTATCGAACTCGAACAGGAGCGAAAACCAAATTGGGGAAAAAGCGAAGCGAGGCAACGAGGAGGCGCAGGAGATTGTATAGAGAAGAGAATTACTGAGAATTGGAGAAGCCAGGTGAGAGAAGGAGAAGAAGTCGTAAAATGCCGACAGCTTTGGCGTCGGGTGGATCGCCACCATGTCCAAGCCCTCCAAGTTGGCCGACGACCGCGCCTCCGGCGTTGTGGATGCTGTTTGTCCTCCATTGTTGCTGCCTGCGTTGCTCCTTGTGGATTTGGATTCCGGCGGTGAGGACCGTCGGGGCTTGGCGAACGCGGTGGTGCAGGCCAGAATATCAAGGAGCCTCCGGACGTGTGCGACGGACTGCGATTCCGACGCATAGTCCTCTGCATTATCAAGCAAGACGACGCACGAAAAATGTGAATCACGCTGGACGACCAATGAATTTTTCTTACAGCTTCTAATTTCACTCTTACGAGTTACAAAGTTCCAGTTGGATATTTGAAAAGTTACCAGTGGTAACACGAGCCCCTTAAACTTTAAAGTGTTTACTATTAGAGTCCATAAATTATTATTTTCTTCTCAAACTGATCGTCCTTCACATTTTTCTATACTTCCGAATTAGATGATCCTGGTTGTGGTGCAATAGGTTCATTTTGGTCATGTAATTAGAATAATTTTGGCCATGTAATTAGAATGACTACCTAAATCAAGGATACCATATCCATATGTTCATAAGACTTCGATAACCGATACCCTAATAATCGAAAAAAATTTAATCCGAAAAATAAGGGTATTTGCCACATTGCACAACAGTGATGACGACGAGCTAGTGTTGATGTGGTATTGTCGCTAATCAAAGGCCGCACGACCCAGTAAGGCGGACAAAAATTTATGCCTAACTTCTAACCAATCAATGATGTATTACCATTGCCGACGGCCAGCCAAGAATCCGTTAAAACCCTTAAATTTAGCCGCCTAAGACCCACGAAGATGACAAAAGAATCACGCAGTCTTAATCAAATCGCCTAACAATGACCCTAACTTGTAGCCCTAAGATCCGCCGCCGCCGGCGACGTTTGTTATGCTGTTGTATTGTACATGCTGTTTTATAATAACACCTTTTGTTTTCCAATCGGAAAGGGAGCCGTAAGAGTTTGAGTTTGACCACACAAACAACTAATTAAGAGGAAATTGTTTATTAATTTAGCCCCCATTAATAATAGAGATTGACAATCATGTCCCTCTCCTACCACGTTTTCCCAACTTCCCTACTAAATTTTCGAGGAATGGTGACTAGTAGCTAGCATTAAATTACGAGACTCACACAAAGTATTCTGTTTATGTTTCCGGAATAACATTTTCTTATGGTCGTTTGCGTATATTGAAACGAGATCCGCATGCAAAGTTAATTAAATGAGAAATTGATTAATTAATGTCCATGGTAGTGGCATGAAATGAAAGACTTGAATTAAAGCGCAGGGAGTACGTAGTTAATTATTGATTGGTGAATTTAATTAGGAGTTACCTACCTTCAACGATCTTCAAAACGCAGGGCTTCAAAGCAGTAATCTCCACTTTGTCACTTAGCCTCCCTCCCTTCACCTGCGTTTCATTTTTGCAACCAAATAATAAAAATAAAACAAAAAGATTGGTCAGTGATTAAGTATAGTAAATAATTCTAGTTATAGTACAATAAAAAACAACGGGGGACCAGAAGAGTAATGAAAATTAAATTTTAGTACGGTAGTAGGCGAAAGCGAAGAGAGCAGAGCAGAGGGAAGGCGGGGACCTGATGTGAGAGAGAATAGTTGGTGAGGTGGCAGGTTTCCACATTCTGACCCAATAGCCGTTTCACGTCCAGTATCCTATCCGTGGAGATGCCCTGCAAAAGTGAACCCCAAAAAAAGACAACAAAATTAAATATCACACAACACAAATACCCAATCGAAGTTGTCATCATAAATGAAAATTTGACTATCATCATGCTTTAAACCATATCAATACAATGTCCCCCAATCGATCGATCTAACGATATCAGCACGTGTTAGAACACACAGCGTATCGTTCTCGGTATCGTAGCTAGCGAGGATTGAACTACGTACGACACGGTATATACTTTTTCCCGCTTTTTGTTGTCGTTTTGTAATTAGGATGGAGATACCAATGTAATGCTGGTCACTGCTAGTTATTCTGATTAAGGTGCCTAGGGAATGTGTTCCTATATACGGGACCTGGAAAATAAACCTGACTAATCAACTAACTAGATATAATTAATTATTACCGAGTGACACATGCAGTGATACACATATAAAATCTCTCGATTAATCAAACCAGATTGTGTGGAAAATGATGATAACATCAATGCTAATGACAATATTAATTAATGTACTTCCGCAGTATAGTCATTATTATTTAAAATAGTAGCGAGCCTAGCAGGTACCTTGAGAACAAGACGGGAATCATAGGGAGTGATGACGGTAATATCAACAAGACTAGGCACCACCACTGAAACACCAAAAAAAAACATCAATTATTATTATTATTATTTATTAATGCTGAAATTTGCTCAGCCATACAGCAATTAATTAAGTCCGAAATTCAAATTAAATTAATGCAGAGATATAGAGAGAGAGAGAGGGAGTGAAACCTTTGCGATAGTGATCCTTCTTTTTCTTGTCAGCAGCCGCTGCAGCTTTGGACTTGTGATGGTGCGACTTGTGGCTGCCCCTTCCGGACTTGGGCGCCATGCTAGCTAGCTAGCGGGCTTCTCTTCCGATCAGCAGCTGCAGCCGCTCGCTCGAACAATTGCTGAGATACACAACTAATGGACCGGCTGCCGCGCCGATGAGCGAGGCCGGAATTAATTAGAACTTATCTCGCCGGGAAAACAGCACCGATTTTGAGATGCACGAAAGAAAGAAGGAAGAAGGGAAGAAAGAACTAAGCAGAGAAAGAGATGGAAGGGAAATCGAGAGGAAGGAAGGAGAGGATAGGGGTGGGATAAGGCGGAGGGGGGGATTGCTCTATTAATACTGTGGCCCAAACGTAACGCTGATTCTCTCTCTCTCTGGGGGATTTGGGAGCAATGCTGGCCGTTACTTGGCTTCTCTAGCCTGATTTCTTACCCCACTTTTCTATTTATCTCTCTCTCTCTCTCTTGACACGGGGAGGGCAGTAGTGTTCCTATACACTCTGGCGTAACGCATTCGTTGGCCTTTTTCCGCCTGTGGACCATTTAATTTTATTTACACCATTGGATTTTGGTTTTGGGGGGGTTGGGGGACAGAGAGAGAAGAGGCAAACATGCACCCGCCCGCGCGTGTGTGATTGGGTTCGTTCGTGCGAGCGAGGCCACGAGAAGAACACCACCTCCCCTCTCAGTCTCATTTCGTCAACTTTTCAAATTAGGTCCCTTAACTTTCTCATGTTAGCTTTTTCCACCACATGTAGTTTTGGAACTAGCTAGCTTCTTCTTTTCCCAATCCTTCTTCGTACTAATGCCATTCATGTTTTCAGTCTTTATAATACCTTGCACAAAATGGTAGTGAGTACGGTTTTTTTTAACACAAAAAAGGGGCCACAATTCGAACTGTGATTGAACAGACAAAGAACCCACAAGTTAGTCATACAAAAGCGCATTGTCTGATTTGAACATCGGTGTGAGTAATAAAACGAGTATTTAAAGAATGAGTATGACCCTCATTTACCAACACAGTCGAGTAAATACGCTTGCCTCTGTATAACGAGTTGTGTCAATCTCTCGGTCAAGTTGAAGAAGTAAGTTGCAATGTTTCGGGAATCGTACCCTACCGTCTTGTCATATTGGTAATACTGGGTATTGACAATAGTAGGCAGTTTTAGCGGTATAAAATGACTGAACAACGATTAAATTATGATTTTAGTACAAAATACCATATCATTGAAATTTTTGCAATAATCTCCTCTACGGTTATACAATCCTTGAGCGGAAGGCAAGAATGTAATTGGCAAAAAATAAAGGAGCAAAACTGAGATGTCTGAAAGTAGAGAGAGATAAATGGAATTTCTGTTCACGTTGAGGTTATAGAAGGAAGTTTGGACCCAGAGTTTGTTTTTTTGTTTTTTTAGGAGAAGGTTGGTAGGAAGTTTATTAAATTAATTATTAATGAGCTAATTAATGCAGTTTGAAAATTGAAAGTAGGCGGACTGGTTTTTGTTTTATCACGTGTTAGAGACTGTTTGGGCTTTTTATCAGTGCAGCTGTGCAGGCCCCAATTTCTAGATTCTTCGAATGCTACTAATTTGTCCATCTTCAAATTGGATCTTTCACAACAGATCCAGTTGGAACCTTTGTATTTTGCTTTGTTTAAATTTGATTTTGCATCAGTTAATGACATTTTTTCTACTGGAATGGGCTGTTGACTTATTGCTAATTCTCACGCCCATTTTTCAAGACAAGGGTCACTAATTTACTATGATCCGTTATGATATATACGTTTGCTTATATGATTTTGTCGGTATTCGCTTCAACCGTTATGATATATAAGTTTGCTTATATGATTTTGTCGGTATTCGCTTCAAACGTTATGATATATAAATTGACTTATATGATTTTGTCAGTATTCGCTTCAACCGTTATGATATATAAATTTGCTTATATGATTTTGTCGGTATTCGCTGTAAGTAGTTAGTATGTGATTGGTTTTAATTAAATTTGATTTTATATTAGTTATTGACATATTTCCATTGTAATGGGCTATTGACTTATCACTATTATTCACACTATGATCACCGCTTCAACCGATATATAAGTTTACATATATGCTTTTGTCGGTATCATTGTAGGTAGTTAGTATATGATTGGTCTTAATTAATTTTGATTTTGTACCGATTATTGATATATTTTTCACGATAATGGTTGTTGACTAATCACTATTACTCACAAGTCAAACCCATATTTCAAGACTGGGGTCATTATGATCATCATTTCAACCGTTATGATTGATGATATATAAGTTTACATATATGATTTTGACGGTATTTGTTGTAGGTAGTTAGTATATGATTGCTCTTAATTAACTTTGATTTTATATTAGTTATTGACATATTTTCCGAAGTCATGGGCTGTTGACTTATCACTATTATTCACATCCATATTTCAAGACAAGGGTCACTATGATCACCATATCAACCGTTATGATATATAAGTTTACATATATGCTTTTGTCGGTATTCATTATAGGTAGTTAGTATATGATTGGTCTGAATTATATTTTCTTTTGCGTCAATTATTGACATATTTTTCACTGTAATGTGTCATTGACTTATAACTATTGTTCACACCCATATTTCAAGACAAGGGTCACTATGATGCCCATTTCAACCGTTATGATATATAAGTTTATGTTTATGATTTTTTCTGTATTCATTATAGCCTATAGGTATGTACTTAGTATATGATTGGTCTTAATTAAATTTGATTTTATACCCGTTATTGACATATTTTCCACTGTAATGGGATGTTGACTTATCAGTATTACTTACACCCATATTTCAAGACAGTGGTCACTATGTCATCGTTTAAACCGTTATGATATATAAGTTTACATATATGATTTTGTCAGTGTTCGTTGTAGGTAGTTAGTATATAATTGCTCTTTTTTATGATGTATAAGTTAACACGTTTGATTTTGTCGGTATTCCTTGTAGGTAGTTAGTATGTGTTTGATCAATTTTTGTCGTGATGTATAATTTAACATATATGATTTTGTCGGTATTCCTTGTAGGTAGTTAGTATGTATTTTGTTGGTATTCCTTGAAGGTAGTTAACATGTGTTTGGTCAACTTTTTGTTATAATGTATAAGTTAACGCACAAGATTTTGTCGGTTTCTTGTAGGTAGTTAGTATGTGTTTGGTCGGCATTCCTTATAGGTAGTTAATATACGTTCGGTAAAATTTTTTGTTATGACGGATGTATAAGGTAACACATACGATTATGTTTGTATTCTTTGTGGGTAGTTAGCATGTGTTTGGTCCACATTCCTTATATGTATAATATGTGTTTGGTCAATTTTTTGTTATTATGTATAAGTTAACGCATATAATTTTGTCAATAAATCTTTTAGGTAGTTAGTATATATGTGTTTGGTCAAAATTTTTTATGATGTATAAGTTCACTACATAACCATATGATTTTGTCGGTATTCCTTTTAGGTAGTTAGTGTGTGTTGGGTCGTTATTCCTTGTAGGTAGTTAATACTTAATATGTGCATCGTCAATTTTTTAATATGATGGATGTATAAGTTAGCGCATATGATTTGTCTGTATTTCTTGTAGGTAGTTAGCATGTGTTTGGACGTTATTCCTTGTAGGTAGTAGTTAATATGTGTTTGATCAATTTTTTGCTATGATGTATAAGTTAATGCATATGATTTTGTTAATACTCTGTGTAGGTAGTTAGTATGTATTTGAGAAATTTTTTTATGATGTATAAGTTAACGACTTTTTTTTACAATGAGAAGACTGCTTTTTATTCCATAACCCAACAAGGGAAACCAGTTACATTCTTACAGAAGAGGAGAACTAAGATCGGCAATAATCAACCAATCTAGTGGGAGAGAACCCATCCGTTCATTACGTGCCACTCAATCAGCAAGCCCATTGAGACGACGGGGAACAAACTTAATAGAGATCCATGGAGCCGAATGGAGGAGTGTAATGATACGTCCCAAGATCGGTCGGCATTGCCAAGGCCAAAGGTCAGGAGCAAGCTTCAAGGCACTTGTCAGAATCTGGCAATCAGATCTGATGCAAGTCGAGCAAGCATCCCGAACCGCACACAGGACTGCATTATGAATTGCAAGAGCTTCCACTTGAATAGAACAGGAACAAAAGACTTTCTCAGCCTTGCCGTCCAAAACTTGACCATGGGCATTAGAAATCGTAATCCCATAAGCCGCCTCCTGTGAATCCGCACAAGACGAGAAATCACAGTGAATTCTCCTCTAGAAAGGACCTGGCGGTGGTGAAGGATGAGAACGTGATCCCCTAGGCTGAGATTGCAGTACAGGTGGTCTCATAGCAGACAGAGCAGAGGTGGAGCTTCGCGCTTCCTCTATGGCATGTAAATCTATATCAGCTAGCACTGCAGAAGAGGTCGGGGAAATGACCTTATCCTCGAATATGCAACCATTGCGAGCAATCCAAATATTCCATAAGCAGCAGACACTTCTTTTGATAGCCTCCACTGGCAGCGCTTCCCGAAGGTTGAAGAACCATTCTGAGAAAAGGCCTTCCTCGGGGGGAACGAAAGGCGAAAGCTCCATCAGCTCCCAAGAGGCTGCTGCATGGGGGCAAGAGAAGAAGCAGTGATAGATAGATTCAATATTATGGTTGCAGATTGAGCAGCAAGGGTTGGGAGCACAACTTTGATCGAACAGTCGGGATCTCGTAGCAATGGCACCCTTTGCAATCTTCCAAATGAAGAAACGGAGCTTCGGTGGAAGGGAGAGCGACCATAACCATTTCCAGCCATCACTATTAGGACGTGACTGGACCAACGCCGTAGGCTGCACGAACTGATCCCTCGATTCCCTCAGAGCTCGATAGGCGGACTTCACCGTGTAAGCTCCCGTCTTGGTAAACTTCCAAACCCATTGATCAGGTTCCTCAGCTGGTCCAATCGGAATGCGCAGGATATCCTGAATTACTCCTTCAGGAACCACCTCTCGCAAACTCTCAACCTTCCGTAATCGTTCCTCTTGATGAATCCACTCGCTCACCTTTGACTGGTTTAGACCTAAGGTGGCAAGGGAGAAAGCAGGGGCAGAAGGTATCCAAGGGTCAGTGTTAAACAATGAATCATTACCTGACATAATACTCTTGAGCAAGCCCAGCTTGCGTCTCTCTTTGGTTTCACAGAGCCCGCTCCAGATCCATGATCCATTTCTTCCTTTAGCTGCCGAAAAAGAAGTCTCCATTGGAAAAATAAAGACCTTTAAGCAGCCTCACCCAAATTACATCCGGGTTTTGCAACAACCTCCAGACCTGTTTACCGATGAGAGCAACATTGAACAAATGAAATTTTTTGAAGCCAAGTCCTCCTTCGTCCTTCGGGTTTTCCAGGACTTTGGCATCACACCAATGTAAAGATTTTCTCCTCATCGATCCGAACCAGAAAAATCTTTTCAACACCAAATCCATCTTGTTGGTGAGGGAACGAGGCAGGAGAAAGACACTCATCAGGTAGGTCGGGATTTCCTGAATCACTGCCTTCAGAAGTACTTCCTTTCCGCCCGGTGATAAAAGTAAACTCTTCCAAGATTCCTCCTTCTTCTCCATTCTTTCCAGTAAGAACATAAAAGTTTCTTTCTTTGAACGCCCCCAACTTGTAGGAACACCTAGATACTTGTCGTGGCAAATAGAAGGTGGAAATCCCAATTTATTTGTGATAATGCTTTTGAGCGCTTCCGGGGTGTTCTTACTGAAGAAAACTGAAGATTTATCAACATTGATCTCTTGTCTTGTAATTCCGCCATACTTCTTTAAGATGCTTTGAATGTGATCCACTTCCCTCACACTTGCTTTCCCAAAGATAACCGTATCATCTGCAAATAAGCAATGGGAGATCCGAGGGCAATTCAAATTAAGCTTGATTCCCTGAATTTCCCCTTTCTCAACAGCCTTGTTGATCAAGAAAGACAAAGCATTTGACATGAGAATGAACAGGAAGGGCGAAATCGGATCTCCTTGTCGAATGCCTCGAGAGGGGTAAAACTTCTCCATAGGACTTCCATTGAGCAAGATCGAGAAGCTAACAGTTCGGACGCACTCTTTTATCCATCCTCTCCACTTATCAGCAAAACCATAGGCATTAAGAATCGCATCCAAACAATCCCAGTCCACAAGATCGTAAGCTTTTCGCATGTCAAGTTTGACCATCATGTCCCAATCCCCATTCCTCCGAGTTTTGAAATGATGAAGGATTTCATGGACAATAATAATGTTATCCTGAATCACCCTACCACCTGTGAAAGCCGCCTGCATTTCTGAGACCAGTCCTGGTAGCCATTTCTTCATTCGACTAGCGATAATCTTTGAAATGACTTTGTAGTTTGTACCGATAATTGCAGCAACTTATCGGCCTAAACTGTTTAATCGATTCAGGAGCTTGAACTTTGGGAATAAGGGCAATATGGGTATCATTCCAACTCATCGGCATTGTTGAGGACCAAAAAAAGTCTTGAACTTCCCTGCAAAAGTTAGGTCCTATCTTACCCCAAAACCTACGAAAAAAGCTTCCCGCAAACCCATCTGGACCAGGAGATTTGGAAGGGCCAAGATCGAAAACTGCCTCTTTAATTTCCTCCACTGTAGGGTCTTTACACATATCCGAATTCATTTCTTGTGAAATAAGTCGAGGAAAATCCTGAAGATCTTCAAGCCCAAGGGCAGTAATCTTTGTGAAAATATGCTCATAATAGTCCTTAACATGAGTCTTGATGTCATCATTATTAGAGATGATGTTACCATTATCATCCTTCAATCTCGCAATCTTATTTCTTAGCTTCTTGTGGATGGTAGATGAGTGGAAGAACTTTGAATTCTGATCCCCTTTTTCAAGCCAATTGACTCTCGATCTTTGGCTCCAAAAGAGTTCTTCATCTTTCCAAACTGCTGCTAGTTCATTCATCAAAGTTTCTCCTCATTAATCACCTCCTCTGTTCGCTCCATGAGTAGAATATCACCAAGTCTTTTCTGAATCTCCTCACACCTTCTGTTTTGATTTTTGTACACCTGTTTTGCCCAGCTTCTTAATTCCTTTTCACATTTTGCCATTCTCTCTTCACAATTCCCTTCTTCCTCCCAAATCTTATTGACAATGTCATGAAACTCTTCTCTTTGTAACCATCTTGCATCAAATCTAAAGGGACTGTTCGTCCTCGGTTTTTCACCCTCAAGCACAACTCTCAGAGGACTATGATCTGACTCCATTGGCAGCTCATGGAAGACTCTAGCTTCATCAAAGGTAGAAACCCAGGTAGATGTGCATAGGACCCTGTCCAATCTCACCTCAACTCTTCTTTGTCCTTCTTGATTATTCTTCCAAGTGAAAGGATAGCCCGAGTAACCAAGATCCATTAATGCATTCTCAGACACAAAATTCTTGAAAGGGATAACAGAATCCGCACGAGGCAGCCCCCACCCAGTTTCTCTTCCGAAAAAAGCACCGCATTTATATCTCCCATTACAACCCACTTGTCATCAACATTAGTTTTAAGGTTACTAATAAGGTCCCAAAATTCTCTACGTCTAGCCGGAACCGACGGGGCGTGGACAAAAGTAGCAAAAAACCCTCATCAACATCGACAAAAACATCAATGAAAAACCGATTGCAATCTAAGACACGAATAGGAAAACCATCTAACCACCAAAGAGCTAAACCCCCGCCCTTTCCTCCTGGCAGACATAAAACTTCTTTGAAAACTTCAAACTCCTCCTCTTCGTTTCCATATAGGATTTATTCTTCTTTGTCTAATAGAAAGACACACGCCGGTTTGTGCTTCCGAACCAGTTTCCTTAGCTGTCGAACTGTTGGGGACTGGCCGAAGCCCCGAAAGTTCCAAACCAGGCCATTCATGGCGCCCCAGGTGGCTTGGAATCGGCCACCATAACCACAACATTTTATGTTCAAAACCCGGCGGGATACCCGGGTGTTCCTCCGACATTGCCTCCCCTGCTTCCTCATTTCGGACTCCTGCTGTTGTCGACCCCTGTTTATTTCCTGTCTCCCCTGTATCTTCTTGTGCCAATTCAGCCTTCCTTTTCTTTTTCTGTACAACTGGGCTCCCATTATGCCCCCTTCTCTGATCATTTCAGCGGAAACTCCTGGGCCTTTGGATTGAGCTGCATCCTGGTTGGAAATAATTGTGGTTGAATATGTAGTTTGCTTGGGCCGGATAACTGAACGGGCTCCCATTAGTGTTAGCAAGGCCCACTGTGTGGAAGCTATTGAATGGGCTCACGTTAGGGTTAGCAAGGCCCACAGGGTGGAAGCTATTGAAGGGGGTCGACACCTGATTTGTTTGTTGGACTGAGAAATTTCCGAAAAGGTTTCTAGCTACCTTATCACTTTGGGGAGGCGAGCAAATCAGTTCTTGGTTCTGAGCAGTGGTGGGATAATTTTGGGGGGTTGGAGAGAAGAAATCAGGGGAATGGAATAGATCCGTTGAGAGAGTAAAGTTCTGACCATTACTCGAAAAAGGGGACTGATTTGGCCTTGGTGAGAAGGTCAAGACTTGTGGGCCCATCTGGTTAGCGTTACCTATCGAGCTACCCGCTGTCGCGGTGATTGGTTGAGCATCCCTATTGGGGAGTTGTTGTTTGCGGAGTTGGCGTCCCGATTCAAGGTGTGCTCCAGATCTCTCTGTTGATTTGTTCGTGGGGAGAAGATTGGAGAGCTTGCCCTTGTCCATGGCCCCCATCTCTCCATTGCTGGGTAGGGAGAACCATTCGCATCACAGACCTTCTTCATCTCGCAGTCAAGTTTGGTGTGCTCAACCTTTCCACAGAAATAGCATAGGGAGTACAGCCTCTCATATTTGTACTCAACCCAGATCCTCTTCTGCTGCTGTCTTATGTAGAATCCATCTGGGAGGGATTTCGAAACATCAACCTCAATGAAGATCCTGATAAACTTCCGGTAGATCTGGGCTTGAAAGGCAGCACGATCAATTTCGGTGACTCTATGGAACATTCTCTCCATCAATGATATGTTTCCTTCATATCGATAGGCTTCTGGCAGATTATGCACTTGAACCCAGAACTCTATAGTTTGGAACTTTACCTCCTTTGAATCTTCAAAAGCAGAGGGTTTCTTCAGCTGCATCACTGTCCCAGAGATTGGGCAAGGTCGGTCGCTCCAGATTGCCTCCATCTCGGCCTTCTTTTCAAAATAAAAAACGAAGGTGTTGTCCTCCAATGGTTGAATATTGAGCATCTCCTGCATTTTTGGTCTGGGATTATCAACCCAGGCTGCCCTCATCACCATCCCTCTCAAAGCTCTAAGGCTAATAGACCTCTCAGAAAAGATTTTTCCCACCAGAGTGTTTCGATTGGCCACAAGCCCCTCATCAGGTTTCATCTCTAAATCCCACTCACCCGCCTGGTTGATCAACTCGTTGACATTCATCTTTCTGGGAATAGATTGCTCAAAATTCACTCTGTTTTTGGCGGTATAGTATTTTGTTGGATATATTGGTGGATGGACAACTGAGATTTTCTCCTCTATTATAAGGCCTATACCCACCTCTTCATCATATTTAATTTTACAGATCCTTGTGGTTGGAGCGATTTGACCCAGAGTTAAAGCATATCTAGCAGACCTGTTTCTAAGTTGTTTGTTATAAACTCTGCCCTTCTATGTTCTACTTCTGCTTCGGCTTCCTGGGGATAAAGGAGGCTTGAAGAGACTGATATCTGCCTTAGTACTTCTCCTTACATAAGAATAGCAATAGCAGTAACTCGTTTTAATGGTTGCAGTTCTACCTTGAGGAAGTAAATGCCATCCTTGAGATTCCCTTCTTTGTTTTGATTTCTTCCGGTGGTTGGCTTGGAGCAGTAGATCATTAAAGCTTGTGGACTTTATGGTATAAGACAATAGAGTGTGATTTCTGTTCATCTCCATTAACTATGCGTTAAGAAGGAAAAAATTCATCTCACTAAAGGAGGAAGATAGTCATCCAGCAAAAATACTAGGCAAAACCAAAGCAACACATCCCCAGTTCAGAGAGGAAAAAGAAGAGAGAAGTCACAGCAAAAGCTCGATGAGAGAGAAATTAAATGACTATAAGTTAACGACTTAACGCATATGATCATGTTGGTGTTCTTTGTAGGTAGTTAGTATGTGATTGGTCGCATTCCTTGTAGGTAGTTAATATGTGTTTGATCAATTTTTTGTTATATACGATGGATGTATAAGTTAGCGCATAGGATTTTGTATATGTTCTTTGTAAGTAGTTGGTATGTGTTTGGTAGCAACTTGAGGGTGTTGAATGGTAGATATCAGATCCTCGACCTAGGGGCCAGGTAGTACCACATAGTCTGCTCATCTGGAGGTGGTAAGCCCCATTCAGATCCTCCACTTGATTAATAGGGTACCCTATCTCTTCTTTGTCACTCTCTGATCCTTCTGCGATGATAAGCTGGTCCAAATCGTCCTCCGCAGCCAAGAGCTCCTTCAGTGCTTTCTTGAACAGGTGAAGATTCCATTCAAGTTCATGATCTAAAGGCAATAGCTCTAAATGAATGGCTACGAGTCATGCACTACCTGCACACAGACTAGACACAACCAGTGAAGGCAAACAAGTGGAAGAAAGAGAATGCAGAAAAGTAAATGCTAAATTAACATAAATCCATGTTTCTTCAATAACCTAGCCGTTCCAGGCAACATCGCAAAAACTTGACACATAAAAAGACAACACTTCCACAATGGCCAAGTATAACCATTGTGGAAGACTGTAGTAAAGTGGGTTTGGTTTAAATTATGAACCCGGGTCCTAGGTGTACTGGTTACTCCGTGTAGTTCTATTATCTAGTTGTCGAAATTTAGTGAATTTGATTTTAAATAAAGCAAGTAAATTAATGGGTTTTCAAAAGCAAGAAGAGTCACTCAGGTACAAGTCCCCCTAGCTCCTCAGCTATGTCCAAGTTATAACTTCCTTCGCTCGTTTTACTATTGATTATACTGCGGAATATATGATAATAGCTTGGAATCTCTTAAGCTCACCAAACCATTTTAGAAAAAATATCCGACAGGCGACTAACCTTCACTGGAATAGAATGCTAAGTCAATTCACACAAATCTCCCCTACTTGGAATAAATTCCAGTACAAAGTAGTGAATTGATTGACTCTCGCACAATCTATTCACTACTATCAATCAATGAAGCTCTCTCAACCTAATTAGATTCTATCTATCATAGGTCAAAGCAGAAATCTAAAGAATGTGATCAAGATCCAATTGACTCAACAAATCATGCCTCAATTAACAAAAACCAAACAGTATAGCATCCAAGGTCATTATAAACAAGATTCCTAACACATGAAACTAGGGTTCTTCATACCTAAGTGAGAAGAAGGTTTACTCCATAGAAAGAGAGAGGAAAACCAAATACAAAGCAACCATACTCAGGGAGATGTGTATAATATGCTATGAGATGTCAATCTTCGCTCCTTGTCCTTGGGATGAAATCCGGGCTTCAATGGTGAGAAATAACCTCCAGATAGCTCCTAAGTCTTATTCCTCGTCACTTTCTCTCTCCAGAACTCTATTTTTTATCCAAAAAGTCTATTCCCGTTATCTTGACTCGAAAATGCCCATTTACCCCAAAAAGGGGCAAAACATGGTCGGAAACAAGCATGTGTTCCTTCTATCGCCCGTGCTTTGACCCGGTCAAACGATCAACTTTAAATTCGGGAAGGCAAGAAACGCGGTCGTGTTTTGATGAAACATGGCTATGTTTTGCACTTTGTCACCTTCATCAATGTAAAAAAGCTTGGAAGAACTCTCTGGCCATGTCTTGTAGGAGCTGGTTGTCTTCCACCCAATTACCTGCACCATCACGAAGAGTAATGTTCTTGTTTCTCTTGCGACGTTGAATGGTGGGAGCATGGAAAAAATTCGTATTCCTACCCCCTTACGCGAGCCATTCCATCTGAGACTTTCAGAGTCATATAATTTCTTCCTAAAGGAGGGTGTCTTCGAGCTCCTTACGGTAGAGCCTCATCATCCTCGAGAAGAGGAGTCAAGCCGCCTAACACGCCAAAGACCTCCCGAACCACCCTTCACGGGCCTTCCTGCTGGGCCAGTTCCTCTATTGGGCCAGGACAGCTGGCTTTCTCTTCCTGGGCCTTGAAGCCCAAGTCCGCCCAACTACGTGGCCCAACAGAATCTCTTAAATAGTACCTTAATCACAAAAACGATAAAAACATATATCGCCTTTATATATAAAAAAGAATGATTGTCTATTTATCGACTTCATGATATAGAGTTCAATTTTATAATTGAAATTAACATGCAATTTTTTTTTATTTCCACGTGGACGTATGGGGCAGGTATTACCCATAAGTACTCGAAACCCATGGGTATGAGTATGAGTTTGGATATTTCGAAGCGGGGATGGAGATGGTTTAGGCAAACCCGCTCCAATCCTGCCTCATTGCCATCCCTACATCCAATACAATTAACGCCAACGAGAACAAAATAGATGCATAAGGGCACTATAACCAGCAGGCATTAAACCATATTCAATCACAAATTATCAAACCCAAAATCATTAATTGTGTCAAATAGAACCCATGAGCCAACCAGGGGACAAGATAGATACAAAAACTGAAAATCAGGAGTTTGCATGACCGACCATCCTAGTTCCAAGAAGCAAACAGCATCAGCACGCCTTACAATTTTAGCTAAGGGCGAAGCCAAAATAAAATAAAATGAGAGAGCACATACCTACAGAAGATGCAATAGTATGGTTAAACACGGAGGACAAAAACTAAATTAACGTTGAACTGATAGGCGATATCTTGATGACAACATCGACAACACTCACCTTCAGCCAAAGCCAACCATAGTCTATTATAGCAAACTTGCGTGCAAGGAAAAGAGATAACCAATCATCATCGATTTTAAAACCTGCGAGAAAACACAACAAACACGAGATCAGAGGAAGATGGAAACGATTCAGAAGAAGGAAGTTAGTACTAACGATAGTGTCCCTAGTGAGTGAAGGCATATAATGGATGTGTTCCTCGGATATTAACATCCAACTTGCGAAGGAAACAAGGCTTTCTCCCATAGCCAGGAGGCCCCTGGCCAGCTTTCCTGGGGACAGGCTCTCTATTCAACAACTTAAACGGACAGGCCAGAGTGCCACCATACATTGCCATGAAGAGACAAAACAAGTTGTAATTGCGATCCAAGGGCATCACCCATCCAAAAGAGGAATATCTCAGATCTTCACCGTAATGCTTTCCAAAAATATTTCTACACTTTCCAGAGGCGGCATAGATGCCGGGATAGCAGCCATTTCGCTGATCAAAGTAAGGTCCCGTGATATCCACCAAATTAACACCTTGACGAAGATAGAGCGACCCTTTCCATCAGATTCAAGATAACTAACTCCCACTGAGAACGTAAAGTCATCAGTAACACGATTCAAACACTTCCGTTGCCCATATAAACTCCACAAGAAATTTGGCAGCTCCACTATATTGGGAGTGATTTCATCATCATAGCATACACCAGGCATCATGTAGCTAAAAATGTTAGGATCGTGGCAGACATACCACTTTTCACTGGACATGTCGAGGTAGAACATACGTGGCTGGCACCGCCAAATTTCTGCAACAATCTGGAAATAGACCTTGTCCCCTTTGATGACATAAGCAGAAAACAGAGGCAAAAAAGGTTCATGCCTAGCGGTATCATAGGCTTTGTCAAAAGGGGTTTTGAGGCCTACAGGGACATGCGAGCGGAGATCTAAAACCTCATAATAATGCCACCGTGGTGACCTTTCTGGGAAAGGTCCATCGGTAGTACCAGATGCAATGATGAAAATCTTCTCCTTCTTGAAAGGAATCACAACAGGGGAGGGTTTAGGTGTCAGCAGCTTATTTGTCTGACGAAATGCGTAGGACATTTTTATCATAAGTGCCCTCGAGATCACAGACATAGAAGTCACTCGACAATGTGCTTATTCTGCCTCTCGAAGTAGCAACTTGGGAGCAGCCAAAGCCATAGAGCTTTGATCCTACCAAAGCGTAACCCATATTACAGGCTAGTTGTTGCAATTCATCACCTTGTGGTTCCCTCTCCACCTATCTATGCCTTGGAGCACAATAAATGAAGCTTGGTGTTGTAGGAACAGGGGAAACAGAGGAAACCAGTTAGAAGAAGATGAAGATGAAGACTGATGCAGCTGGAGGGTGTTCAGGACAATTTTCAGCTTTGGAATGAAGCCAAGGAAGATAATGGACCACAGTGAAGGGCATCTTTGCCAATGCCTCTTCGTGATTTTGCTTTGGGGAACACTGAAAGTGACCCTTGTACTTGGTTCAGTTTTAAGTTTTTTTCTTTTAGTTTTTGGAGGTAGCAGATCAACCTAGGTTTTGAGTTTGAGCCTTTAAAATGTTGTTGTCTCTTCATTTTGATGTAATGTAAGAGAACTACTTTGGTTGGAAATGAGAAAGTGGATCTGAAGCGCAAAAGCTCAGCCACTATTTGGGTTCGAAATTCTGTTCTACTTTTATTCAGTTTCCAGTTTTTTGCACTGTTACATTGCTTTTGAAATTTTCTTGTGCTGCTAGGATTCAAATATTTTGTTTTCTACACTAGTTCTGTACAAAGGGTGGTGGGGCGGGTTACGGACCAATTGCGCTCTAGATCTGACAGAGAGACCGTCAGAAAACGGTCATTACAGAGTAAGAATGCAACATCCCACAAGAAGTTGCTACCAACCTTCTTCGGCATCAACAAATTAGTCTCATCGTCCTCCGATTTAGGATCGCTACAATCAGAATTATATGTCGCAGAATCGGAGGGCTTGGTTCTCCCATGTTTCGACAATGAAAGCTCGGTCGTGCTTGTGCCATCATCTAGCGCTGCAATTGAAGAGGCCATGTCGGTCTTGCTTCTGCCATTGTTAAATGATAATTTGCAATAGTAAATTATATTAACAAATTGTGCTCTATTACCATCATCTCAAAGAGACAACTCATTTTCTAAAGGGGAGACATCTCATATAAGTTCATTATTCTAGCTGGTGGAACTAGCTATCAACGTTATCCATCTCTTCTTTACAATAAAGAGAGCAAAACAAAATAATAATGCATTGGTGAATTAAAGAAGAAACAAGCACATCACATGAAATTAAATGGATGAATTATCATGGAGGGTCACGTACCATTAGGAGTAGTTTGTCCAAAATAATGCATGGGCCAAATTAATCTTAAGTCTTCCATTTCAATTGTAATATATATATATATGGTTTAGGGTTTTTTGCCATAAATAAATATATATATGGCAAAGTCTAGCGTACGTCAGTCGTACACTGTACGCCTGTGTTCACACTTAGTTTTTGCACTTCAATATATTTCGATGAATCAGAACCGTCGGTTATTATTTTTTAGATTAAATGAATCTCGTGGCTTGGGTTAGAGAATTAGGGACTGGGGTTTATCCATTAGAGGTTAGGGTATAGTATCATGCCCAAAATTTCGGTTAATTCCCGCTCTAAATAGTAAAACTCTACGGGCTTACAATGTACGACTGTGTGTAAGTATGGGAAGAAGGAGATGTCAGAGAAAGTAAAGAAAAAGAAAGAAAGGCACAAGTGTGCCGAGTGCATCCTTTTCTGTTTGTTAAAAACAATAGCCAAAAGTATGAGGAATTGTTTGTTTGAGTGTTTCCTAAATTGAGTGATTAAACACCGAAAGTTTTCTTTGTCTTGATCCAAAATTAGCATTACTTCCTCAAATACACAACAAATTTGGTATCAGAGCTTAATACCCTTCTATCCTCTTAAATCCCCATTTTTCTAGCATACCATGTTTACTACCTCTTCAAATCAAATTTCCATTTTTGATGGTGAATTATACGAGTACTGGAGTGCCCAAATGGAGCCGATTTTCATCTCACAAGATCTGTGGGATATAGTCCAAGATGGTTATGAAGATCCACAGGAAGATGATGAAGACTCCAAGAAGCGCACAGACAAGCAGACAAAGGAGTACAAGGAGAATGTCAAGCAAAATGCCAGTGCCTTGAGAAGCAAGCAGTGAGCAAATCAATTTACCCAAGAATCTAAGGCATCAAAAAGGCCAAAGTAGCTTGGGATGTTTTGCGAGAACAATTTCAAGGGTCTGAAAAGGCAATCTCCATCAGACGTCAAAGCTTATGGCGTCAGTTTGACAACTTGATGATGAAGGAAGCCGACACCATCAAAGACTTCCATTCGCGCATAGCGGAGACAGTCAACCAGATCAAAGCTACTGGTGACATCATGGAAGAAAGAAAAATTATGGAGAGAATTCTCCGCAGTTTATCATCAAAGTTTGAGCATATTGTTGCTGTGATAGAAGAAACCAAAGATTTGGCAAATCTACCAATGAGCAAGTTGATGGGCTCACTTGTAGCACACGAGCAAAGAATGAGCCACTTCACCAAACTACCATTGGAGCAAGCTTTCTCGTCAAAAGTCAACATGATGAAAAGTAAATATGCAAAATCGGACCCATGAGCCATGAGCCAGCTAGGGGACTAGATAGATCGAAAACTAAAAATCAGGAGAGCGTGCATGACCGACCATCCTAGATCCAAGAAGCAAACAACATCAGCACGCCTTACAATTTCAGCCACAGGCGAAGCCAAAATAAAATAAAATCAGAGAGCACATACCTACAGAAAGATGCAACAATATGGCTTAAACACGGTGGACAAAAACTAAATTAACGGTGAACTGATCGCTTGATGACAATATCGGCAACACTCACCATCGGTTAAAGCCAATCATAGTCTATTATAGCAAACTTGCGTGCAAAGAAAAGAGATAATCAATCATCATCGATTCTAAAACCTGCGAGAAAACACAACAAACATGAGGTCAGAGTAGCCTGGCCAGCTTTCTTGGGGACATGCTCTCTATCCAACAACTTAAACGGACTAGCCAGGGTGCCATCAGAAATTACCATGAAGAGACAGAACAAGTTGTCATCGCGATCCAAGGGCATCACCCATCCAAAACAGGGATCTCCACGACAATGCTCTTCCACAAGATTTTATACACTTCCCAGATGCGGCACATAGATGTCGGGATAGCAGCCATTTTGCTTATCGAAGTAACGCCCCGTGATATCCACATTTTTAATAGCCCTAACGAAGTTGGAGCGACGACCTTTTCCAGCACCAGATTCAAGATAACTAACTCCTGCTAAGAACATAAAGTCATCAGTAACATGATTCAAACACCTCTGTTTCCCATACAAATTCCACAAGAAATTTGGAAGCTAAATATGTTAGGATGGTGGCAGACGGACCACTTGTCATTGGCCATGTCGAGGCAGAACATACGTGGCTGACACTGCCAAATCTCTGCGAGAATCTGGAAGTAGATCTTGTCCCCTCTGATGACATGAGCACAAGGCAGAGGCAAAAGAGGTTCATGCCTAGTAGTATCATAGGCCTTGTCAAAAGGGGTTTTGATGCCTACAGGAACATGCGAGCGGAGATATAAAACCTCACAATAAGGCCACCATGGTGACTTTTCTAGGAAAGGTCCATCGGTACCAGATGCAATTATGAAGATCTTCTCCTTCTTGAAAGGAATCACAACTGGGGAGGGTCTAGGTGTCAGGAGCTTACCTCTTTGACGAAATGCATAGGACGACATGTTTTGATGATCATCGGTGCCCTTGAGATCACAGACATAGAAGTCACTTGACCACGTGCGTATTGTGCCTCTCGAAGTAGCGAACCGGGAGCAGCCAAAGCCATAGAGCTTTGAACCGGGAGTAGCCTAAATATATAGTTTCTGTGTCTACGAAGAAACACTGGACTGGACGCCAAGGAGTGAAACTGCTAGTCTTGTAGATAAGAGATGGACGGGTGGTCCGGACCTGTTAACAAATCAGATATAGAAACGAAGATCAGAAATCATAAACGGAAGAGAGGCACAGATTTACATGGTATCCCTATATATCCCGGACTAATCCACGAAAGAGTGATAACACTCTTCGGCTGCAGTTCTCACTATAATTTTCGGTAACCAGAGAAGCTGTACAACTCAGCTTTAATACCCCTAACTCACAAACCCTAGCAACACGTCTTTCACCAAGTCCCGACGTGGGCTGAGTGCATGTTAATGCACGGGCTTAAACTCTAATCAATTGCCCATTAACTCTACACTATACAAGTACAGAAACAAACGGTACATTAATCAACAGCCTCCCCCAAATTGATACCGATTTACAAGCATTAATTTGTTAGTGTGTCGGCTAGTAGACAACGTCTTTGTGAATAAATATGCAATCTGATCTTCAGTCCGTATGTAGTGTAGAGAAATAGAATCATCCCGTACTTCATCTCGAACATAATGCACGTGAGCTTTGATGTGTTTAGTTCTATCATGCAGAACTGGATTTTCGGCTATCCGTATCATTGATCCTACCAAAGCGTAACCCATATCACAAGCTAGTTATGTACAAAGGGTGGTGAGGCGGGTTACGGACCGATTGCGCTCTAGATCCGTCAGAGAGACCGTCAGAAAACGGTCGTTACAGAGTAAGAATGCAACATCCCACCAGCAGCTACTATCCTTCTTCGCACCATCGGTGGTGCTTGTGCCATCATCTACCACCGCAACTAAAGAGGCCATGTCGGTCTTGCTTCTGCCATTATCTACCGCTACATTCTTACCTACCACCAGATCGTACGACGACAACATCTTGATCCCACCCTAATCTCATTCAATTTTGAAGCTACTTCTTATCTGAATATATAGTTTCTGTGCACGAACAAACACTGGACTAGACGGCAAGGAGAGCAACTGCTAGTCTTATAAATAAGAGATGGACGGGTTGGCTGGCAGGGTTAGATCTGCGCATTGCTCAAGATCTGATTCGGTGTAGTCCGAACTAGGGGTGAAACTGGGCCAAATCCAGCCCTGTATGCTCAAACATTCGGCCCGACCCTATTCTCATTTGGCCCTGTATGGCCCTATTGGATCGGGCTGGGTTGGGTCGGGTCGTGCCATAGGGTCGGCCCAACTTCTTTTTATACAATATTATCCCAGTTAATTATTTAACATCAAATTAAATTTCAAAACATTGCAAGTATATACTAGAAAATTTAAATGAGTTCATAACAAAAAAAAAGAAGTCTAATTTAGATAAAAAAAGTTTAAACTAATTCAAAAAATAAAAGTTTAATTAAAAAATCCCAACTAATTCCAAAAAATTTAAGTGAGTCCAAATTTCTTTACCAAAAATCCTAATTAATTCAAAAAACTCAAAACTAATTCCAGAAAATTAAAATTACATCTAAAAATTCTAAATCACCTTACGATAAATCCAAAACAAATAAAAAAAATGCAAATTACAAATAAAAGTCTAAATTACCTTACAATAAATCGAAATAAATAAAAAATGCAAATTACGTAAAAAAAATTACACAATTTCACAATTGTCATTGGATTTTAATTGAGATATTAAAGTGCATAATTAGTCATGCCACCAAATAATTAGTAGTCGCAATAGTATGTGAGATCTTTTTTGTGCAAGTTGTGATTTTCTTTTTTAACAAAAATCTTAGGGGTTGTGTTATTTTTTTTTTATTAAAATGGATGCAGTGCATCTCAGCCTTCATTCAAAATCAAACGGGGTTCAGAGAGCCCCTGACAGTCATACAATAACCAGTACTGTAATACAAGATCAAACGCCGAAACATAGTGAATACCCAAGGGTATGTAATGACCTCTATTAGCTAGAAAATCCGCACATTTGTTGCCTTCTCGATAAATGTGATGAACAGTAACCTCCCAATCACGATTAAGGAGCGCATGGAACCGATGGATGATGGTTACATGATGGTTTTCCATCTGCGCCATGTTGGATAGAAGCTGAACAGCACAGGACGAGTCCAGCTCCACCCGAACACGGTGGAATCCACGATCCCACGCCAACTGAAGGCCTTCCACAGCGCCTCTCAATTCAGTTCGGGTGATCGAATAGCTACCCAGGTTACAAGCGAATGCCGCAAGGCAGCATCCAGTATGATCTCTAATCAAGCCACCAGCAACAGCATGGCTTGACTCTGGAAGAACGGAGCCATCAGTGTTGAGAGTAACCCACTCTGGAGGTGGTAGCTTCCATGAGAGATTGTGTTAATTAATTTGTTTATTTTGCGGCGAAATATAAACAGATGGGGCCGAGGTTATAGAGAAGGACAGGGAGAAGTTCCCTCCGAACAACATAATCCTGACGCTGGCCGGAGCGGGGTTGCTGTGGATGGGCTGGAGCGGGTTCAATGGCGGCGGACCCCTCGCCGCAAGCATCGACGTGTCCCTCATCGTCCTAAACACACACGTATGCACCTCCGTCAGGCTGCTGATGTGGCTACTCCTCGACTGCTTCTTTTTCGGCAAGCCCTCAATCATCGGCGTCGTCCAGGGGGTGATCGCCGGCCTCGTCCAGGGGGTTATCCTCTAATTCACCGTGATCTTTGATCTTCTTTGATTCCGGCGAATCCTGAGCGCGAGGTCTTCTCGTTTTTGCTTTAAATATTTTGCAGTGAGAGTAAATGGCAATGGTGGGGAGGGGGAGGGGGAGGGGAAGAAGAGCATAAATGGGTTTTAGGGTAATTAGTGATTTAGGGTCAAAATGGGCCAAGATGGGTCTAAATGGATTTTAAGGGTAAAACCCAAAAATACCCTACCCTTTAGGGTCAGAATGTGACCCGACCCTATTTTGACCTTAAAGACTAATTGATCCTACCCAACCCACAGGATTGGGCCGGGCTGATGGGTAGTAAGGGCCACAGTTATAGCCCTAGTCCGGACCATATTATGATGGTCGCGGAGGTCAACGTTGACGGTTGCATAGCTTTGAAGTAGGGTTTAATTCGATGGCAGATCGACGATGAAGTGGATCGAGGTTGGCTGCAGAGATTTTGAAGAAAACACAATCGCAGTCCCACGCTCTAGGGCTGAATTGGCGAGGGAGGTCCGGGGATCCATTGCCGGATCTGGGTAAGAAGAAAAGCCAGCGTAGCGGGACCAAGGAGACCTAGGGCCTAGATTCTAGGCTGCGAGAGTGTTCAGATTGGCTTGTATTGTTATCAAGATGATACGTGTTGAAATCATATGAGTGAATGAATCCATTTTCTTGGCGGGATTGAACCCGTTCTCTCTTTTTTTGACGAGAGGTTATCAGGGTTTTCTTTGCTAAAATTCTGCTTACTGTTATTGAATCTAATCTCAACTTAAATACACAAAGAAAATGAAAAAGACCTATTTAATTAGTGGAACTAACTCCACGTACATGTGCTACTATTTCTCCACTTAAGGTGGAGAGATTTATTGACTCTCTAACACATTCTCTAACAACCCATGACTACCTCAACACTACTAACTAATTCAAATAACGAGAACTCTAATAAATGTACGCATCACACCATTTTACCCTTTGGCCTTATTATCACCCATATGTTTCACCGTAACTCCTATAATATATAATAAGGTGTGTTGGTAGAGTTCTGGTAATGGTAAGGGATGTTTAATTTGGATGGATCACTTTATGACAACAATATTTCGGGGAGTACGAGAGCGTTGTCACATGTTATCAAATTTTAATTTTGAAATTCTTCCTACACATATAAAGATAATTTAGGAATTACAAAACCATTTTACAACAATAACAACTTTGCGTTATAGTCTGGGTTATAGAGACGGAATAAATTAAGTCGTAAACTAATTGGTAGAGTATACAGATGTATAGTTCAGGCTAGCATATGCTGGGAAGTACGGTAATCTTCGTGTATGTATGTCGAGTTTTACTATTTAGATAATGAATTAACCGGAGTTTGAGGCATGTACTATACCCTGATCTCTAATAGAGGTGAACCCCAGTCGCAATTCTCTAACCCAAATCATGAAATTCGTTTAAATCTTAAAATAATAATCGACGGTTCTGATTCGTCGAAAGTATCAAAGTACAAATAATAGGTGGCATATAGCGTACGTTAGCCTTGTACATTTATTTAAATACATTACAAATTATGACAATTGACGATGCATTTTTTCAAATACTCAAACCATTACATGTTTTATTATTCAAAGTAGGGAGAGAACGAATTGGAGTTAGTTAGAAAGATTCTGCCATTTTGGTTCCCTGCCGTTATGAAGCCTTGATCGGCCGGTGCTGGTGTCCATACATGTTGTACGTGATCGATCATGATGAGCTAATTGATTAAGAATAGTCCCCGAGCATTGCATACAAATCAGGCATTACGTAATGAGGATCTGCGTCAGGATCTTTGGGCACATTCAATTTCACTATCTCTTGGATTTCAGGCCTGCAGGCAGCCATGCATGCATAATCAATTTAAGTATCAATATATAACAATTCACATGCAGTTTAATTTCCTACGTACTTACTTGCATTCAACAGCAGACACGTATTTCAATGACTTAGGAAGCTGATCCGAGCGCAAATCGGAGAGCTGATGGCAGCTAGTTATGTCGAGAGCTACGAGTGCGGGCAGTTTTGAGAGGGTGTCGGGCAGGCTCACCAGGCTCTCACATTCGTAGAGCGATAATACCGACAGGCGGTTCAGATCTCCGATGGAAGCAGGCAGCTGTCTGACTCCGGTGCGAGATAAATGGAGCTTCTCCAAACCTACGAGGTTGCAGATGCTGTCCGGAAGTCTAGAAATGTTGGTGCAGCCGGCTAGATAAAGCTGGGACAGCGCCTCCACTGGTTCCAGGATTTCCGGGAACTCTCTAAGCTCGCGGCAACTAAACAATTCAGCAAAATCCATATAGTTAGAGTTAGTTAGTGATGGCAATGAGCTAGGTCGGGCATGTATCTCAATATATATTTATGTTTGGTACTAAATATGTGTCATGGTGGGTAATATTCGCGCGGGTACGAGATACGACGGGCCGAACTAGTTGAAAGATCAATCTAACTAGTTGAGAAAAAGTCCAAATAGAAAAAAATATATTAAGAAAAACGGTAAGAAATTGAGAAAGAACGGGGGAAGAACAGGGAGAGGAAGGGCAGGACGAGTCATAAGTAGATATCCATGACCCACCTTATGTTATTACTGTTGAGTAATACACATCCTATCGTTGATCAAGTCGGGTAATATCCAACGACACAGGTTCAAATTACCATCCCTGATTAGAGTAAGTAGCCAAATAAATGGGTCAAACTGAGCCAAACTCAGACATGACTCTAGACTAGCCTAAGATACGGATTCTATAGGTGTAGAGCTAAAAGTTATCGGACCCTAAGTTGGGCCGACCCTATACAACCCTTACAGGCCTAAAAGATAACTTAGCTCTATAAACTCACCCTATATACCATTTGATACAGGTAGGGGTGGCAGAACGGTTTTCGGTTAGTAGTTAACCGGACGGTTTCAACCGAACCGATCGGTTTTCGGCTAACCAAAAACCGTGTCTTTTTATCGTCGGTAGGTTGTCGGAGGAGAGGGGAAGAGGTTCGGCTAGCCGACTAACTGGGGTCGGAAACCGGCGGTTAACCGGCTAACCGACCTCTCCCCTTTACTCCAAAGCTACCCGCAACGACCCCCAAACCCTAGACCCTCTCCTTCGGCCTTCGTTGTCCACCAACCCCTTCCCCCTTCTCGCGCAGGCGACGCAGCGCCGCAGAGACCAGACAACCCTCGCCGCCGCCCACTTTCCAACCCTCATCGCAGCCCAACCGCGCGCTCGTCACCGCCTCCACCTCGTCCCCCGCCGCCTCTTGGCTTTCTTTCTTTCATCTTAATTTTATGCGAATAGTAGTGGTTATGGTGGAGAGAGAAATGAGGAGATGATAGAGATAGGGACAGAAGGGCTGTTGGTTAGGTATGAAAAGGAAGAAAGAGGGGGAAAGAGAGAGATGAAGCATATGCCATTTTGATACTCTCCTTTTTGTTGTGGTGGTGAGTTAATTTTACTTTTTTTTCCAGGTCGGTCGGTTAGCGATCAAACTAGCGTTTACATTCAAACCGACCTTCATTTTGCGATTGCCCAGTTAAATCGAGCCGAAACCAAAAACCGATCGGTCGGTCTGCGGCTAACCGAGGCTCCTGAACGGTCGGTGGCCGGAAGCCGCAAGAGTGTCTCGGTTTAATCGATAATCGAGAAATTGGTTTTCGGTTAAACCAAAACCGACCGACTGACAGCCCTAGATACAGGCCGACTCACCCTATAATGCCAAACTTACACCCTAGAGAAATTAAAGAGAAATTAATGAAGGGAGATTGAGATGGCTCACTCATGGAGGTCGAGTATTTTAAGGGACTTCCACTTGGTGAAGCTGTCGGAGAGGTGGGAGAAGTAAGGGTTGTATCGAAAGACTAGAACCTCCAACTGGATAATAGCCTCGCTGGACTCGGTTGGTAGCTGTTCGATATACGTAACATTGAGAGTCAACTGTTTGACCCCTGCGACAACCGGGAATTCAGAGAGTGGGCAGGCCGTGCAATTGAGCGCAGTCAGAAGTGGAGCGCCGCCGCGGCGGATGAACTCAGGGACTTGTTTGATTGGCGTCCTCTCCAAGTTCAGCTCTTCCAGGCTCGGTAACCTGGCCACCGTATTCGTACTTCTGCTTCTACTAATTCTTCTTCTTCTTCCGCCACTCGCTCGAATGTTTGTGTTATAGTAATAGTCCAGATTCCCAAACCTCACTTTTCTACAGTTGCGGAGGTCGAGGGATTTGAGCTTTGGAAGGAGCAGGATTGAGGGATGAAGCTCCACGAGCCTAACACAATTGGAAAGGTCGATCGACTCCAGCTTTTTCGCCGTCGAGAGGTCCGGCAGCGTTTTCAGGTACTTGGAGTCGTAGAGATCCAGTTCTTTCAAATTCCCCACATCCTGCACGTACGCATGTGCATGCATGCAACATCATTCTCGTCAGATAAAAAATGAAGGGATGATTCGACAAACGTTGGGAACATGATACGTACCACGTTGACCCCCTGCCACAATTGTTGGATGTTGCTGTGTTTGAGCCTGAGTATGACCAGATGTCGAGCGGAGAATTTCCGGGGCAGAGAGGTGGCCGGAAACAAATCCCAGTCAAGATACTTGAGCTTGTTAGGAAGGGAATTCAGCCCCCACCACCAATGGAGTCCCACCTTCCGATCAGGATTATGGAAGAGATAAAATCGGTAAGGATCAACACATGGTTCCTCAGCTTCCTCTTCTCGGATACGAAGCAATCTCAGATTCCTCATCCTCTCAAATGCATCCGCCGCCATGGATACCTCCTCCTTCGTCTCACCCAAATCCAAGAAGATGCCTTCAGTTGCACATGTTCCCTAAGTGTGTACGTGTATATATATATGTATACTCATGTTAGAATGGCTCAGAAAATTGACAATAGAGAAAGTAAAGAAGTAAAAAATTTACATGATTCGTTAACACGATGTGTGTTAACTACGTGCATAAAAAGGAGAGAGCATTTTCAATATACTTGAAGAGATACAAATTAAAGAAATTAAAAAAAATATAAGTAGTACGTTCTTTAGAAGGTCTAACCTAATAAACAAATTTGAAAAAAAACAAGTTACAGACCAATCCCAAAACAGACAAAATCGTGGCTAAACCTTTACACCGTAACTTCCAAACCAAGATGGATGATTATTCTTCAAATCATAGCAATTAACACATAACCTTTAGTTATCAACAAAACAAAACAAAACGTACCATGTTTTCGTTGAAAAGAGTTGCTGCCTCGTCGGCATCCCACAACCTAGAGCGTTCCTTGAGCTTTCCTTCTTGTTTTCTGACAATGCTCTTACCCAGATCTTCCAGCAACCCAGGCATTTCTATAAGCCCACTACTGGAGTCGTCACTGATCCTTAAAAGGGACTTATCAACCAAGTTGGTAACAATATCTTCATCCAAAACCTTCTTCCACAATGATTTCCAGCTTTCATGGTTACACAAACAAGCAATGTCAAGGAACACGCGCTGCTCTTCCTTCTCCAATCCATCGTAGCTAATCTTGAGTATATCCAGAATTTCTTTGTTACCTGAACCGGCACCTAGCCTCCCCAAAACACCGTCCCAGTACTCCATCGGCCTGTTGTTAATCAAACATGAAAGCCAAGGTTAAGCTTTACAACTAGATAATTATTGGTGCGTGCCCTCTGTGTGAATGGTGTTGGGTGAATATATCGAATTGAGTAGCGTTGAAAAGAAGTAGACTAAATCAATTCTTCATATTGCAATTTAATTTCTATGGTCAAAAGTAGCGCAATTTTTCATTTTGACTTAAAAAATTTCTTATCAATCAAATAATGATTTGTTTTTGTGGATGACTTTGAGACTCTTGTAAAGAATTTGTCATTTATGTACTCTGTTTGGAGCACTTCTACTATGCTATATAATATTATTGGTGCTATTAATGTACAACTTAAAGTTGTACCATAACATTAAATGTATAAGTTTAGGTTGTACCATAAAGCAATTTGTACCATTGTGTTATGGTACAACTTTACAACTTGAAGTTGTACCATCACTAAAGGTACAAGTTCAAGTTGTACCATAAAAGAATTTGTACAAAAAGTATAGGTACAATCTGAAGTTGTACCATAACATAAATGTACAATTTTAAGTTGTACCATAAAGGCGAAACCCTATAGCACCAATACTATATAGCATTGTAAAATTTCTCCTCTGTTTGATGTATTAGCGGTAATTGAATAATTAAGTCATGATGAATTATTTTTTACATGCGGAACAGGAAATCAACAAAATACTCATAACAAAGACAATAATGAAAATGTTCTCACTGTGTCTTCTAATAATCTCGGTGTATCATAATTATCCAGGTTCTTAATTCTAAAGCACTTAATCATCTCAAATATATGTGCATATGTTCTATGGGGCACCACTATTAGATCATGAACACTGAAAATTAACAATTATCATATCCAAAGAGGGCTCGAGGATGATTATTCAAGAAGATTAGAGTAGATGAGAAATAAAGTGCAAAGCGCTTGGTTTGCATGTATATAAATATAAGATCTTCACATGGAACAAAAACAAAAATGTATTTTCTTTTTGGAGAAGAAAACAATCAATCAATTGAGGTGATTGCACGACTCTATAAGTAATCGTATTTCATTGTATAAGCTGTCATGTGATCCATCTCTTTTTATATATGGTGATTTGTTTGTCAAGAGAGGAAACTCATATAACAATTACTTAATTAATTAATTAATTAATATACTTACTTGTTCAAGAAGCTTGGGCCCAAAACTTTGAGAGCCAGAGGGTTGCCATTAGCGTACGACACAACTCTCATACACCTATCCAAATACTCATCATCAGGTGGACGATCCTCTTTAAACGCACACAAGCTGAAAAGCCGAAGACTTTGCTTATCATCCAAGGCTTCCACTTCATACACCTTATCCGACACCGTATTCAGCGCCTGCTGGTCCTCGCTCGTCAGCAAAACCCTACTCCCTTCTCCAAACAGCTCGCAGTAGCTCCCTTCCAGTAGCTCCTCCAACGCTCTCATGCTGCTTCTCGCCACGTCATCGACCACCACCAGCGCCCTCAAACGGCGCAGCCGCCTCAGTTTCAGGTCGGACGGTATAGCGCCCGAGTTCGCGTCGCCAAGTAGGGTTGAGAAGAGCTTGTCCTGTATCTCGGCCAGCTGGGATGGCGATTTCCTCAGCTGGCCGGTGAACTCTTGGAGGAAGTAGAAGGCCTCGAATTGGGAAGAGTGGAGGTCGAAGATGGCTCTGGCGAGAGTGGTTTTCCCGATCCCGCCCATTCCCCACAGCCCGATTGTGAGGTTGTGCTGTTGGTCGTCGAAGCGTAAGAGGTGCTCCAGTTTGGAGAGCTGGTGGTCTATTCCGACGAGTCCCTTTTGAGGCGGAGAGAGTGGGTGTAGAGTCGGGATGATTGCTGCCATTACGCTTTCTGCGATCTTCTTCACCAGCTGATCCTCATTCCTATATATATGCATGTGGACAATTAATTAATTTTATATTATCATGAGCTAAAATATTAATTTTTAATATTTTTTGTAGTTAAAATGTTTTTTTTTACGGACGTCACATTCTCGGCAGAAATGATCAAAGGGTATTTTTTGAAATGATATTCGATCCCGTTTGCACGGTTTTGTTTACGAGTCACGGTCAGTAAAAAAAAAAAAAGTAAAATGGTATTTTGGAAAGAAAGTTATTTATTTCTAACGACATTTCTTTATAAATAAAAGAAATTTGTCCCTCGGAAATAAACTTGTCAACTTTCAGCGTCAAGTATAAGTTTTTTTGACAACGATATTTTGTTTAGCGAAGAACATATTTTTGTCACAAATAGCTTTTTGCAGCAGTCGTTCCATGCTGGAGCTTTTAGAAAAGTATTGGAAAAAAAAACAGTTGAGTGTTTGTCTGAAAAACTATTAGAAGTGTTTCTAATATAAGAGGTTAGGTAAAATTTTTGAAATAAAATTAAAATACAATAAAGATAATCTTGTATATTCAAACAGTTTTCCGCAGAAACTCCAAATTAAAACTTCTGCTTTTATGTTATACAAAAACACTTTCCGACTTTTAAAAAGCCGAGATTTTAAGGTTCTTGGCCCTGCTTCAGCTTTTGAAATCGAAAAACACTTCTAAAAGTCGGGCCAAACGTAAGCATAAATAGATATAAAAAAGTCTTATCTAAAATAGATATAGATATAGATATATATAAAAAAGTCTTATCTGAAAATCGAAGGAATAAAATATGAGTTATTAATAATTTAGGTGCATATCAACCAAAACTAGTAGGGACAAAAAGCCAGCCATCATCATAACTTACTTAATGACTCTGGAGTCGAACCCAGAGAGATTAGCCACTTCCCTCAACGCAGCCTTCCACCTCTCCACCCTTCCCATCATCTCCTTTGGAAGAACCTTCTCGTGCTGAGAAAACGCCACACCAAAGCTCCCACCCTGATTCCTCACACTAGAAGGATCCACTCCGCCGTAGAACACCGGAATCACCTTCCGTCCGTATTGCCTCCTGCACTCCGTGATCTTCACAAGCTCTTCTAAACACCATTTCGACGTGGCGTAGTTGGGAGACAGCACCACCACGTACACCGCCGACCCTTCTATTGCTCGCGACAGCGTAGGCGAGATCTCGTCTCCTCCTTTGATCTTTGTGTCGTCTTTGAACGTCTCGAACTTCTTGACCTCGTTGAGATGGCGGAAGAGGTGGCTGAGGAATTGGTCGCGAATGTCCTCTCCCCGGAAACTGATGAAGGCGTCGTATTTCGTAGGTGGCGAGGGCACAATATTATTTGTAGTGAGTTCACGGGGAGGCTTTGACGGTGGGGAAGGTGGCGGAGGATGGTCGCCGGAGCCGTCGCCGACCGCCGGCCGGGCGTTGTTGGATAATGATGGTGACGATGAGTTGTAGACATAGGTAAGGTAAGATATGTTTTTTCTTGTTTTGTCTGGGGTGTCGAGGTATGTCCAGGCCATGGTTTTGGAGGTTGATGGGCAAATGTAGATTATGAATTATGAAGATTAATTACGTACATATATATAGTAGTAAGTGTGCGTGTCTCTATATAACTCATAGATGGACTTCTCAAAAGTGAAGGAATTAATTCTATACTTTGCTTGTGAATAGTGGCATAGTAAAAGAATGATGTGGGATGAAAGATATTCTCGTCTGCGATTCTATATTTCTATCCCTCATTATGTTTATTCTATCCCACTCGAATCCCAACTTTCTCATGAAAAAAAAGGCAAAATTCTCAGCAAAAAATTTGACGTTTGTGACAATAATAGTCATTTTTTGTGAAATATCAAATATAGCCAAAATTTTAAAAGTTTCATGACAAGTATAGCCATTTCCGTTACATATTTTAACGGCGTCAGTGACACTGTCAGTTACGTTAACTTTAAGCTGATTGGGATGCCAAATCATCACACACATCAGCGACAGGTCAACATATGATTGACATGTCATTTTGAATTACAAAAATAATTAATTTTAAAATAAAAAATTATGTTCAGTCTTTTGATTATTTTCTTTGTCGTCTCGTCTCTCTCTCTCTCTCCAAGCGTCTCTCTCTCACCCTCTCTCTGATTCAATAAGCCTCCAAAAGCCAAACGCAGAACCACCATAGCCAAAAGCTCCATGGAGAAACCCAGAATGTCGTTTCAAATCTATATCTCCTTCTCCCATCTCATCTCCTTTGCTGCTTTGGCCTTGGCTTTGGGAGTATACTCGAGCACGAGCTCAAGGTCGGCGGCGACTGTTACAGAGTGTTGGTGCAAAGAGAAAACCCCAAATCCCTGAATTGATGTCTCCAAATCTGGGATGATTCAAATATGCGAGCGCTCCTCTTGAAGACGACGACCCGTTCGGTGATTGAGGATCTCGACCGATTGTTGGCAAATAATTCAGGAAATCTGAGTTCGGCTCTCAATTTCATCCCCATGAGAAGGGTATCCATTGCATAATCGAAGCTCTGCCACATCTCCCGCTTCACCGTCCCATCCGGATTCAGCTTCTGGAGAATGAAATTGCCGGAATCTAGCAAAATGGCACTTGTTTTACCTGTAAATCCTTGGATGGGGGGATTCACGGCAGCAATTTGGTCATCCGTGTCATTCAAAATCTTCAAGTTTCCATCACTTTCTATCACGAGAGCTGTTGTTTTGCCCGAGATGGGAAGATTTGTATCGTCGAAGACATGGTTTCAGAGATGGGTGGAGATGATTGAGATGGAGTGAAACACTTGGGATTAGGTTGCAGATGAGGAAGAGGAAAAAGGATAAGGGAAGATTGAGGAGATTGACGTGAGGTAGGTTCTGGAGATGGAAAAATAAGCGGCCAAGAGAAAGAGAGAGAGTAAAGTGGAGAATGACGCAGTCATGGAGAAATTAATCTTTGTTTTTTTTTTTAAGTGAAAATCCACTTGGTAATGTTTGTTTAAATATTCCCACGTCATCCATTGTCGTTAGTCCAGTTAGCACGCTAACTAACATCGTCAAACAATTGGACGGAAGTGGCTATTTTTTGGTATTTCGCCAAAAATAGCTATATTTGGCCAAACCGTCTTTATAGTAGTAAGTGTGCGTGTCTCACGAGGGTATATAACTCATGGATGGACTTCTCAAAAGTGAAGGAATTAATCTATTCTTTGCTTGTGAATAGTGGCATAGTAAAAGAATGATGTGGGATGGAAGATATTCTCGTCTATGATTCTATATTTCTATCCCTCATTTTTTTTAATTCTATCCCACTTGAATCCCAACTTCCTCATGAAAAAAAGAACCAATATACTCAATTATCCAACATATTATTGTTTTCTTTGAATCTATGTAATTGGTTGATTGAATATATGACATTATGTGAAAATTTTGATCAAGGGATAAGAGTACGTGAAAATATAGCGTGTATGTGTGTGGATATAAATTATATACTTAAATAATTAATATACTTATATGATCATACCACATTGAATTTGAAAGTAGGTCATAAGTGGGTGGGTTTCGGAAACCATGCATATTGGATTTGAAAGTACCTGTGAAGTTATTATTAATTAATTTTAATATATAAAAGACAAGGTTGTAGATTACTATTCATTAGTGGCTCTCACACTCTTTTAAGTGCAAGTGGGGAAGTTCCAAGTCCTTCTTTAGTTCTTTTACCACACTCTCTATTCTACAACTATTGTGCTTAGTTATTGTTCACTAAGTTTTCATCTATGAATTTTTTCATAAATCATCTGCCTTTGTGTTTAGTTATTGTTCGCTAGGTTTTCGTTTGTGACTTTTTGCACAAATCATCGCATTTGCCCACCATTTTGCAGCCATCTTGAAATACTGTCGGCGGAATCCTAAGTTGTTCCCCACCACCGTTTCCCAAGGCCGTTACCACGAGTTTTGTATCGCGACCGAGTATCATCCTCTTTAGTGTTTTTTCTTTCTTTTTTCCTTTTTGTTGAGCATGATCACAATTGAACCTAAACACATGGTATTCTAACTTGAACACAAACCATCGTCTTTGCCCACCATTTTGAAGCCTATCTCGAAATATTGTCGGCGGAATCCTAAGTTGTTCCCCATCATCGTTCTCCAAGGCCGCTACCAGGAGTTTTGTATTGGGACCGAGTTTCAACCTCTTTAGTGTTTTTTCTTTTTCTTTTTTCTTTTTGTTGAGCATGATCAACATTGAACTCAAACACATGGGTATCCTAACTTGAACCCAAACACATGAGTGTTCGTTAGGTTTACATCTATTGTTCATTGTGTTTCCCATAACAATTATTGCCTACTAGGTTTTCAGATCTCTATTGCAGCAACTATTCACTTTTCGCACCATTTCACAATCCAACTCGAAACACTGTCGGTGGAATCCTAAGTTGACCTCTTCCACCGTTTTCCAATGTCACTGCCGAAAATCCATACCATATCTACTCAACGTTGACGAGTTTTGTATCGGGACCGAGTTTCATCCGCTTTAGTATTTGTTTTCTTTCACTTTTTCCTTTTTGTTGAGCATGATCACAATTGAACCCAAATCTATGGGTATCCAACCTTATTCCATCTGGTCAAAGTGACTTGAAACAGACTTTAGCATTTATAAATTTCTCTTTTTTCTTCTTTTGGTTGGGAAGACAATTGAACCCGAATCTAAGGTATTGACGAGTGTTGTATTGTGAGAGAGTTTTATCCACTTTTTTAGTTGACAGGTTGGACCAAGTGTTAATTTGTTAAAAAAATTGTTCAAAGCTAGTTGAACACGTTGTTGACCAGTTTAGATCGAAAGCGAGTTTTGTACGCTTTAATATTTTTTTATATCTCATTTTCCTTTTTGTTAAGGATGACAATTGAACTCTGACCCATTGTTGACGCGTTTCATATCGAGAGCGGGTTTTATCCTCTTTTGCAATTGACAAGTTGGGTAAATAGTGAATTTGTTAAAACTGGGTCGACCCGGTCAAAGCAAGTTGGCGGTGTTGAGAGTTTGGAGTCATGAGCGAGTTTACATGAAAAATAGAATATAATACAATTGATATGAGAATGCTTAATATTTGTTTTTTTTTTTGGAAATATGATTGTGTATTGATGGTTTGGTTCTCGAAAGTGTGTTTATAAAACAGATTTTGTGTTAAAAATGACTAGTTGAACTTGGTAGCATAGTAAAATAACTGCTATTGCTTGTGGTAGTTAGGAAATTTGCGTTGATTTTTTTTTTACAAGATTGATTTAGATGCTAGAACTCTGAAATGGGATCCTCTAACTTGGGGGGTGAATGATTTGTGAAATTAGTAGTATTTATTATGGGTTTGAATCAAGGAATTTATGGTTCGTATATGCTTGATTGAGTTTAATTTTGAGAACTTATAATGAAATAGTTATATATGATAAATAAGAGTGATGAAGATGGTGATTGATACTGATGGTCGGGTTGGGTAGGCTTGTTATTTATGGAAGGGATGACGTTGCCTTCCATACTCTCTGCTCCCATTCTCCCACATATTTTGTTGATGTCGTCTGTTTAGGAGGGGGAAGTGAAGGAAGTTTAATTGTGTTGGGTGGTTGTGTGACTAAGAAGAAGAAGAGTATAGGAACTTTCTTTTTTGTTTGTTTTTTGGCCTCTCTTTTCTGTCTGGAATTTTGAGGAAGAGGAAGAAGGAGCAGAAGGAAGGCGTAGGAAGTGAGAAGAGAGGTTCAGGCAACGTTTGTTTTTGTTGTTTGTGTGTTTTTTTTCCTTTTCAGAGCTGAAGAAGAGCTCTTTTTATAGCCAAGAAATGATATGTTGGCACAATATAAGTGTCTTTGAGAGCCCATAGGTGTTGCCCTCTGTATATAGGGATGGCAATCAAACCCATGGCCGCGGGTATCCGATCGCCCCCGACCCAGTCAACGCGGGGAATCCCCGCTTTGACCGGGTATGGGGCGGGTATGGGTAAAACCCGCAAAAAGTTTGATGGGTATGGGGCGGGTATGGTTTTAGCCTCCCCCGCCCCATACCCATCCCCATACCTCCCCCACCACGATAAATGTCTTCATATATAATAAAAAAATATGTGCGTCAAATAATTATCTATCAATGATGATGAAGATAACTTGAGAAAATAAATAGTAGAAATGCAATTGAGTGACCACCTTAATCAAAACCTAATTCATTTCTCTCAATTCTCATTTCACTCTTTCATTTCCCCCCTTGTCAACAAGATTATCTTAGTTAATTATTATTTAGTAGATGTATCAGAGTTAGAACATAATAATTTCAAAAATATAATACTCTATATTATGTATTAATGGATATTTTAGGATCATATTTTTTGAACCATATTAAAAAAATGACCGTGTTTTGTTGACTTCATGATATAATATGTTCGTTTAGAATTATAATTAAAACTTTTCTTGTGAGTTTTAGGTATAATAATGTTGTATGTACAGGTATGGGTATTACCCATAGGTACCCGAAACCCACGGGTATAGGGATGGGTTTGCAAAACATTCCCCTGCATGGGTATGAGGCGGGTATGTGTTTGGGTATTTGAAGATGGGTTTGGGGATGGTTTAGGCAAACCCGCCCCAAACCCGCCCCATTGCCATCCCTATATGTATAGCTTATGGATTGGGTTGGACCGAATTCAGGCATGTGAAGTGGGCCAAAATGGTCTTGATTGGGCCAACCTAGGCCTGATTTGTGCATTGTGGTATCTGGTCTCCGTTATCTTTATCCTACGTGGTAGTCAACACTCATAATTGACCGTTAAATGAAGTGACATGTCAATAGTTAAAATAAAATTACATAAACTTAATATTTTCAAATTTCCACCTCAATATCTCAACCCATTCAAAGCCCTCTCCACAGTTGCACGTTTTTGTGTTCGGAGGCAGAGAGCTCTCCCAGCGATAGACCAAACGGCCAGACCATGTCGTCGTCGGAACCAACCACCCGGTTTGGAATCATGGGCTGCGCCAACATTGCTCGGAAGGTATCTTGGGCAATCAATTTAGCCCCAAACGCACAAATAGCCATCGTCGCCAGCCGGATTCTGGAGAAATCCGCCGCATTTACCAGGGCTAACGATTTGAGGACTTCTGTGAGTCAGTAGCATTTGAGTGTAAGACGAAGAAAAGGGGAGTGGATTGGGTTGTTGCAGAAATGAACAAATCCTCATCACCAAATTATTTCCACGAAATTCCACCACTCCCTCCTCCATTACCTGCTACTTCTTGAAAAGCCTGAATCTTTGGCCAAAAAGTTTTGTTATATAGCTTTAAATTTCATATCCTCTAAGTTCTAACCCACCCTTTTGTTTATAGCCCCTTTCTCTTTTTGTTATTTGTTATGGCTTTTCTTATTTCAATCATTGCAGTCACTGCTACTACTGCTGCTATGTTTTTCCTATTTGATCTGTTGTTCATTGACCCATCTCTATAGAAGAAGAATCGTAATAAGAATTGGAATGAGTCTCTATTTGCTTACTTTGTCTCTCTTTTTCACAGCATGGGCAGAATCCATTTGTTTCCTGGCTAATTAAGTTAGATGATGACTGATAATTAGAAGATGATAAACACCATTAATGTAGCCATAATCGATTCTTCATAATTGCGGCTGATTGAGAAAGGATTACAAACAATGTACTACTCTCTAGGTGCTCAAACTTTTTTCCACAGATCAAAGAAGCAGTACATGTGAAACTCTTCTAGGAAATGGGAAAAGTCTATTCATTGTTCTTTATAGAACTAACATGATAGGATAATTGTGGAATGTGACAGAAGAGGTGATCAGTAGTAGATAAACCCATCAGAACCATCATCTTTTGTGACAGGTATCTTCTCACTATGCCTCTTTTCGTCTTTTGTGCATTCTGGTGACCTCCAAGTGCATGCGAACTAAAGAATTTCCTTCTACAGAAGTTACACGAGAAAACCTTTTCCATGTGTTGTAGGTCTTCCTTATGAGGAATCACACCCTGTAGTTGTTCAACGACAGCCTTTCCCACCTAGGTTGAGGTGTAACCACCAGTCTTGTTACCATTGCTATTGTGTATTCATCTGGATATTGATTTGCTTCTGATATTTCATTTCCTTCTTCCTGAAGCACCATAGTCGTCACTAGAGGTTAGATTTGATGAGTTGTAGAGAGGTTGGAATGGTGGAAAAAGTTGGAGAGACCTGAGCCGACAAAATCACGATAAACTAAAGCATCAACCGTAGAACGACAACCAACATAGGCAAACTCCATAACAAAACAACTATGAAATGGCACACAAAATTGACAAAAGGTTAAACCCTAAAATGTTGGACAAAACAAAATTTGTATTCCTACAGACCCAACTGTTAACTATTCTGCTACCATTGACCCCCTTAGGAAGCAGACATGGAACAAGATTTCCAAGGATGGATTGGATTCAGCGCGTTGAAACACACCCTGGCCATTTAACAAATGCTTTCCCACCAAACTCAAATGAGGATTTCCAGCATAAACTTAGATACAAAGTAGCATTCACAACGACAAACACAGTGAAGCTTTGATTACCCGAAGATGGAATTCAGTAGTGTGCTTACAGTGGAATGTGGTTGGATCAGTCAATTTGGTGGTAGAAAGCTCCAAACTTTCCAAGCAAAGGTCCTTGGCAAAACTTGTATCCATCTTAGCTTTGTATGCTGAATTTCCCACGGAGTCACCGACGACACCAACCCAGTTAGTTCCTTCCTGCTACGGGTCGATCCGCGCAGTCTCCCACAAAGTAAAGTAGCTCCCTCAATGTTCCTCTGCTGAAAACAAAGAGGACCAGAAATCAGCAGCGAAATTAAACCCCCAATCCTAGGGATCCTGGTGTTGGAGGAATGAATGGCGACTTGTGAAAATTCGATCATCCATCATAATTCTCCTATTTCCCCAGCCGGGTATCTATAAGACCTACAAACTAATCCGAAAGTTCGAAGGAAAACGAAGCACCAAATGATTGAATGACCAACCTTTTCGGGCTCAAGTTGAAACCTTGTGTTGTTCGATGGAGACAGGCACGCATACACGATTGATTCCTTCGCCTTTGTTCTACCGAAAATGTAGGACAATAGGAGGAAACAGTGACAGATTTGAATCGAGGCTTGACCATGGAGATGGGGTTAACGACGGACATGTCGCCGGAGGGAGTTTGGATAGACCGCCGGAGGAGATCGAGAAGGAGCTATGGTTCGGTAGCCGGTAGGTCGTCTACCCTCGGTTCCTCTGTTTTTGATTCTTCCGGGGGAAAAAAAAAGTTTACTATTTGCCGCCCGGGTAATTACTATTTGTTGCTCGTAAAAAAACACTAAAAAGACAATTTTGCCCTCCAAATTTTTTTTTATATTCTATTCGCTGAAATGGTTTTTTAAGCAACTTACACACTACCCGAGTCCCGACCACCAACTCCCCACAAACACCACAGCCAGATTCACGGCCACCGGACCAATCTCGTCAGCATAATTCGCCGGGCACTGGACGGCAGCCGTACCCCATCGTCGGACCAGCGAAGCAGGTAAACCCCACTCCCCTCCTGGAATTTTTTGTCCGTGCGCTCGCCGGAGGCGGTCCCCGTCCGCTCGTCGGAAAAGGACCCCATCCGCTCACCGTCGTCAGACCCCGTCCGCTCGCCGTCGTCGGACCTCGCCGAGCGGACGGGGACCGACGCCGGGGACCTGATGCGTCGGAGTCGGCAGTGTTATATATTTTTTATTAATTTGAGACAGGTTATTATTTCTAGAGCTAATAATTTATATTTAATTTATTGCTTTTATTTCTATTTTACATAGTTAAATTCATATGTAGTTTGAATTAAGAGATTGTATTTTGTTGTAGCGCTAATTAGTTTCTTACTGTCAAATTATTGTTATTTTGTAGAGGTAATTAAATTATTGCATGTTGTTTAATTTTGTAGAGTCAATTGAAGCACAATTAGTTTAATTAAGTGATTGTGTTTTGTTGTAGCGCTAATTAGTTTATTGTGTTTAGATATAATTCGTAGAGCTAAAGATGTTTAATAATTTATATTTAAATAATTTTCTTATTGTAAAATTATCATTATTTTTTAGAGTTAATTAAATTCTTGCATTTAGTTTAATTTTGTAGAGTCAATTGAAGCACAATTAGTTTAATTAAGTGATTGTGTTTTGTTGTAGCGCAAATTAGTTTATTGTGTTTAGATTTAATTCGTAGAGCTAATTTAGTTTAATAATTTATATTTTAATTATCATTATTTTTTAGACTTAATTAAATTATTGCATTTAGTTTAATTTTGTACATTTCTAACGAGTTGTAAAATCATAATTGCAGGTGGACATGGATTACAATGTTGAACTAATTGGTGATTACACGGACAATTTTCTCAATGGCGTCCGATACGACAATTTCGAAGATGCTGTAACAGTTACAAAAAACATCGCGATGTCTCTTTGGTTTCTTTCTAACCAAGGGATCGATGAAGCCACGTGAGTTGACCAGACCGGGCGGACGGGGTCCGACCAGACCGAGCGGACCGCGTCCGCTCCGGCCAGGCGGACCGCGTCCGCTCCGGCGTGTCGGACGGCGTCCGCTCCGGCTGGTCGGACGGCGGCGAGAAAAAAATAAAAAAAAAGTTACCTGGAGACTTCGGCGAGGTCGGCGGCTGCTGCGTCCTCTTCGGTCGGCGGCTGCTGCTTCCTCTTCAGTCGGCGGCGAACCTCTTCTGCTCGGTCGGCGGCAGGTGGTGGTCGGTCGTCGGCTGCAGGAGGGTGGAGGTGAGGTGGGAGGAGGGGGGTGTTGGCAGGAGGTTGGGGTGGGGAGGAGGTTGGGGGTGGGATGGATAGATAGGGTTAGGGGTAGGGGTAAAATAGTCTTTTTTTTCCTAACTATGGGCGGCAAATAGTAAAACGACGGCCGACGGGCGGCAAATAGCGATTCAGAAAAAAAACTAGTATCATTTACATTAATTTTATTTAATTAATAAAAGTACAAACTGAAAAAAATGACACAACTAAAAGTTGGACGGAGGAGAAAGGTTCCGTTAATTTGGGTTAGTACTCATGGGCCATTTGGTATGGACTGGGTTTACTTAATTGAGTGGTAAGCGCCACCACAGAAAATGGAGTCCACTTCGTTCAGTAGGCCCAAATGGCAAATGTCATAACTGAGCGGTTCTTCTATTAACTCCCCAAGTTGAAACCCTAGAATTCAATATCGAAGAGGGTTCTTCGAATCGTGCTATCATCCGCCGCTCGTCGATTCCAGGCATGACTTCCGAACTGAAGGCTAGAGGGAAGGAGTCCCCTAAAGCACCGGAGCCAGCTAAACCATCCAAGGCACCAAAGCTCATGTCGTCCGAGTCCCCTACTGAATCAACGACGAAGATGGGAACCTGCGTGCGCTGCCTAGCCGTTGGTGAGCTGAAACTCGTACCCAAGAACGACGATTCCAATTATGTGGTCAAGAGCGACGATTTCAAGGGCGATGAAGAATTGAAGCTCCGTGTCATCCATTACCGGAGGAAGAAGTGGATCAGCGGTGTAAGTTAGACACATTTGATTTGCGATTTTAATTAATTAGGGTTTCCACAGTTTTTCGTGTAACAATATTTTCTGCCTGTATGTTTGTTTGCTTGATAATTTCATTTTCTCAGCAATCGTTCTTAATTGCATGCAGTGTTTTTATGCTGATTGTCCACCTAATTACCCTAGTTTCGAGGGAATCTACTACTACGAACATTTGCCCGTAACTCCTGATACGAAGCAGAAGCTTGACAAATCTCTTCAATTCGCCATCGACAAATATAACAAAGAGAAGGTAATTAATTTGCAACCATGCACTGATCTCTGTCTTGTTGATCTGGGAGGACATAATCTTGACATGTCAGGATTGACCTTTTTCCTCTTATGGTTGTGAACGTTTCCAGGGGGACAACTTGACTTTAGATGGAATTCTGCACACAAATCTGGAGACTTATGGTTCTATGATCTTCTATATAACTTTTAAAGGCTTCACTGAGAAGTTTGGTGTCCAGACTTACCAGACTGTGGTCACCTGTTCAAAGTATTACACTGGCGGTCATGTAGTTAAACTCTTCAGAAATGGCAAAGGTAATCGGTAATTCCGTATTTCTTATTTCTTTGAGACTAAGATATGCCGTTTTGTAAAAAAAGTGTGCTGGTGGGTCAAGTTAAAGATAGTCAGTTTTGTTCACTCAGCGATTGATCGCCCGAGTATGCGTTATTTGTTAGGGATTAGATGTCAATATGTTGTACTTTTGTTCTTTTGAGTTCCAGGGTTATGATATCAAAGATGAGTCTCTATGTGTCATCTTTTCACTATGTTTAGTTCCCTGCCTTGGCTGATTGATACGCGAAATTGTTCCTCACCTTTGAATACCAGCCTGATGTTTGTGTTTTTGTATGTGTATGTGTAACACTTTTATTTTAGCATCGAGGCATAAATATGCCACCCACTTATGCCCTTGTGTTGATGGACTATTTTTTGTTTTGTATTCATGCTTTATCGATATTATGATTGCGGTGCTTGTTCATTTGTCGTTCTTTTATGTTGCTGAAAGATTTTCAGCTTTCTGTGTGGATGATCTTGTTGCTTTTGTTGGATGGATGGTTCTTTGACATGTTTGTATCCATGTTGGTCTGCTTGTGGATTGATGCACTACTATGTAGAGATTATTTGTACGGTTAACGAACCAAGGATGTTTTTCTTTTTATAGGCGACTATGAGGATTTGTTGACCCCAATAGATTCTTCATTCCAAGAGTATACAAGGGTCAAAAAAGAGCTAATATACACCTTAGACGGTCATGTGTTACCATCTGACCCCTTTTATGAAGACTTCAAAAGGATCTGTGCAGAACAAAGGGAAAGAGAGAATGCCAGAGTAAAAGAGCTGATGTGATATTCCCTTCTCTTGAAGGTAGGGTGACAACTACGGTGTTGAACTGAGAAGTGGGGTAGTATGGTCTCTATGCTATGGTAGCAAGAACCAGAAGCAATAGTATAAGTGGTTTAATGTTGTGCAGACATTTGAGTAGCAACTTGGTCTATCTCTATGTATGGGTTTTTAAGGCTTGGACTTTCTTCTCTCCGAAGAAAAGGTTGGTAAATTTAAGTATTTATGGCATCATTATGTAGTATTGCTCAGGTTTGTACGCTTAAGCACGTGCTTCTTATATTCCTCGGAATGATAATTGTTCTCTAGCCCTTCCACCGAGAGCTGCTTCACAGCAAAATCAGTTTGCCTTTTTTGCCTTGCCTTTTTTGCCATAACCATGATTATACAATAATAGCCAAATTTTTTAGGAAAACGCAGATATAGTCATTCCATCTATAATATTAATGGTAATGTCATGGTTGCTGACTAGACAAACGATTCTAGACAAACGATGACGTGGCAAAATAACTTTTATTATTATTAAGTGAAACAAAAAAAACAAATAAAATCATGGGACGGTTAATCTCCCTCTTCAGTAGGGATGGCAATGGGTTGGGTTGGGGCGGGTTTTGTCAAACCCAAACCCATGGGTTTATCCGCCAAAAAAACCCGGGGTAAAACCCGTTGGGTTTGAAAAACTCAAACCCAACCCAACCTGCTGGGTATCCGCGGGTTCATGGGTACCTGTGGGTTTTTGTAGTAAAAAATTTACAATAACAAGTTTCTTACAAAATAAAAGTTTAACATCAATTTTCTCATACAAATTAATCATACAAAAAAACACCAATCTAGAGCATACAAGCAAACCGCAAATGATCAATACAAATTGTTCAAAATTAAAGATAAACATCTATAAACAAAAGATTAATTGAAAGTTTCTTTCTCGTCAACTAAGTTTCTTCACTCTCCACTTCATAATATCAACTTCATTCTAAACAATTAGAAAGAACAAATTATACATGTCTCCACAAACATAAAGAATATTAATTGTTTAAGGAAGATATATTATTTAGAATATTAAATATACCGGAAAAATAATTATATGTGTGTGGGCGGGTACCCATGGGTCGGGTTTACCTAAACCCAAACCCAACCCGACCCGGTGAATAGTGTAGCGGGTTTAAACCCGAACTCGGCCCAAAACCCGTCAACACGGATTTTACCCGCGTTGACCGGGTTGGGTCGGGTGGGTACCCGTGGGTTCGGGTTTTGTTGCCATCCCTACTCTTCAGGGAAGCTCCGCCTGCTCTTTTCTTATAGCTCTCCCCGAACTCTGACGTCGGCCTTCACACAATTCCTCTCCACCACCTTTCTCCATTCGGCCTCCCTGGCCTCCTTTTAATCACCATCATCACTCTTGCTTCCTAACACCCGCACTCGTCCTTGGCAGCTTCCCCCCATCGGATACCGGCGGTCGATTCCACCGAGCTTGCTGCCGAAGATGATGAAGAAAGGTCGGAGGAAATCGTTTTCCAGATTTCTGCTTCTCGTCGTACCCTTCGTCGTCGCAAAACTCCTTCCAATCGACGCTGCTACTTGGCCACGAAATTGATTCACAGATTAGGGATTGTGGGTAAAAATCCCTTTTCACCTAACTGCAACCCAATTCCATCCCTCTGCCTAGGGCGTCGACCAAAGATAAATACCTCAGCGAATCTGGAGATGGGCGCCGACACCGTCGAATCTAGATTTTCTTTTGGTGGGACGTCTCCGTTGTGGATTAGTTGGAGAAGACGATGTCGGGTACCCAACAAGACTTAGATTCTCTTCTTCCCCCGAAATTGTCCCCTCCCACACCGTGTTGGTTCCACCAGTGGTTCACGAGAATGATATTCTCGACGAAGACGAGCAGAAACGGCGACAGATAACCCAGCTCCGAGATCCTAATCCGCTTTTCGTGCCTTGCTAAAAAACCGATCTTTGTTTACCAACCACACATTGTCTAACCAAATCCAATCCTCTCTCGGTATGTTCCTCAAAAAATCCGATTCGTGCGGATTATTACCCCAACTAAGGAAGAGATCTTGGCGGAATTGCCACATATGAAATTGAGCACAATTTTGCAAAGAAATAGCCCACTTCTTTCTCGAGAAGAGATGGGAAACATCTCCATTCTTTCCTCAATCTAGGGTGGGCGATGCGGCAGAGTAGGTCGAGGAGTGGTGGTGGTGGTCGAATTAGGTCGTGGTGGTGCTCGACAGTTGAGGGCATATGTTCTCTTTAAAAATGACGTGGCATGGAGGTGGCAAGTCTAGTCCATGTGGCCATGACGTGTCACCCAGTTGACATCTACCTCAGCGACACATGCAGATAACTGGCGGTGTCTTTGACGACGTTAAAATTTGTAACGGAAATGGCTATATCTGTCATGGAGTTTCAAAAAGTGGCTATATCTGTGTATTTTCAAAATTTGACTATTATTGTCACAACGTGGATAGTTTGTGGTTATGAAACTATATTTTGCCAATTATTAAATGCCTCAAAGTGGTAGAAGATATACTTAACATTTGGATGTATTGTGAATCAAAATGCTGCATTATTTCAAATTATTTTGCTATGTGACATTACATGTGGTATTTCAGTTTGAAATGTGGTAATTGGTCTAATTTAGAGGTGGCAATTAGTATCCAAATCCATGAATCCAATCTAATCCATCCACCAAATTATTCACTTAATCCAATCCATTTAAATCCAATCCATTTGATCCAAATGGCAAATTACAATTTGGTACCTATATTTTTTATATTTTACATTTTGGTACCTAAAATTTATATTTTTATACGAAAAATCTTATTGAAAAACTACATTTTGGTACCTAAAATTTTTCATTATGACATTTTAGTACCTAAAGTTTTCAAAATTTACATTTTGGTCCAAGCCTTAGATGTCATTTGGATTCATGGATCAATCCACCAATCCATTTGATCCAATCCATGAATCCACCAATCCATTGGATCCAATCCATGAATCCACCAATCCATTGGATCCAATCCATTCGATCCATGGATCCACCAATCTAATCCAAGAATCCACGAATCCAATCCAATTGCCACCTCTAGTCTAATTGTCTTGTTTGGATAAAACATTCAAATATTGTGGTATTTCACCACTTAAAGAAATGATGAAGTGAAAAAAGCAGTTGAGAGATGAAGTATTTGAAATAATTAAAGGGTGTGACACGCTACGACACAACATCAAACTGCGACCAAGTGTAATCGCAGAATAGAAATGCAGAATAGTGGCAAGTTAACTTTATCAACCCGGGGGCTAGATCTACTGCCTACTCCGTGATTACCTATTATCTAGCGGGACTAAGTCTAGCAGAGTGATTGAAATGAAAAGCAGTAAGAAAGCAGGAAATTGTTCGAAGTTCTTAAGTAGGGAAGAGTCACTCGGGAATGAGTCCCCCTAGCTCCTTAGTTAGGTCAAATTTATAATTACCTTTGGTTGATTTACTATTGATTATACTGCGGAAGATCCGACAGTAGCTTGAAATCTCTTAAGCTGACCAAGCCCTCTAAGTCAAACTACCCGACAGACGACTAGTCTTCACCGGGATAGAACGCTGTGGCAATAAACACAGAACTCCACTACTGGAATTGGATTCCAATACAAAGTAGTGAATCAATTAACTCTCGTATAACCAATTCACTGCTACCGATTGAGGAAACTCTAACAACCTAACCAATTCAATCCAAACGTCATTACAATCAAGATCCCTAACACATGGAACTAGGGTTCTTCATACCCAAGTGAGAGAAAGTTCTACTCCATAGAGAGAGAGGAAAACAGAATACAAAGCAATAATATTCATAACAATGGGAAGAATCTGCTATGGGATGTCAATCTTCACTCCTCGGGATGCAATCTGGGTTTCAATTGTAAGAAATCCACTCCAAATAGCTCCTAGGGTTTGTTCTTCGCACTTTCTCTCTCTAAAACTCTGTTTTTGCTCCAAAAAGACGAATCCCTTTCTTTTGGCTCAAATCTGCCTCTTTCAACTCGATTTTGGGCGAAATACGATATAATCGTAATTCTTCCCTGCCCGTATTTTTCCCAAAACGCGCGTTTTGGTTAAGTCTCAGCGCATCCAAGGCTCCTCTCAGCAGTGAAATTACGTCCACGGGAGGGAAAAATACGGTCGTATTTCTCCTGCCCGTATTTCTTCATCCGCTCCTGTTTGATGCTTCGTTTCTCCCTCGCCGGACTCTGAATCAGTCGTCGTTTGATCCTAGACGCTCGTAATCTCGTCCTCTTTCTTTTCGTGACAAGCTTCCATGATTATTTGTCCATAATATGAGGTAGAAATCCATTCTTCCTCAGGTCATGCTCGTGTTTCTTCTTTCGAATTGCCAAATGATCTCCGATTGACTTGAAACTTGCGCCTATGCTTCAATTTACATGCTAGGACATGAAATGTGACAAAGGAACACAACCTAGGGTAAAATAGTCCAAGAAAGCAAAAACTGAAGCCAAAATGATCAAGAAACGAGGGTGCAAACATGTGCAAATACGACGTTATCAGGGTGCAATGGCGGTATTTCAAATGACTCACAATGAGTTATTCAATTGCCTCATGGACAAAATACCACATTCTAATTTATTTTTGCCAAATGAGTTATTTCGACCGAAATATCTCATCAAAATACTGCATCCAAACGTCTCGTAAATGTTTTTGTAGAAAGAGGAAGATATACTTAATGTGATTGGGCCTTTCTGAACAAGAGCAACACCGACTCTGTTAGATTCATTGAGTATATAAACTTAATCCCTAAATTGCATTGGTTGTTGCATTGAAAACTACTGACTAGTTTCCACGTTTTGTGGGAGTGTACTCATGTTGTCATTCATAGCATCTATGGTACAAGTCTCTTCAGTTCGAACAGCTTGTCTCCAGCTCCCCTGCTGTTGGAGAGGCTGATGGCAACATCGCGAATAGAAGCTGGGACAACCTTGGCAATCCTTTGAGACTTTCTTAAGCACAACACTGGCTCCTTTGGCATAATCTGGACGAAGTTGCTTGGTATTATGAACAACCTCTCTCCTCCTACGCTCATGCGTATGATCCTCTCCAAAGCTCAGTCTAGGTATGAAGCTTGGATCTACCCATCTCCTGTCCAAACCTTCTCCCGCTATGACCAAGACATTGTCGGTGACAACCACTAATGCCTATGGATTGGTTCAAACTCTAACACCGATGGCGCCTGCAACAATGATGGAATTATCTGTGATGAACTAGGCAGATACATTGGAGATTTTGTCTATAATAATGGTATTTGACAACTTTATAAGAGCCTTGGTGGCCCCTCCATATCAAGGTATTATAATCAATTGAAAGAAAGGTTGAAGTCCACTCATTGAATTGGTCTACAAGCTAGCCATTAAACACAAGCAGTGATACCTTGAAGGTATCAAGCGTGACCTTATTTAGGTCAATTAGCATTGACCAAGATTGGTCACTTAGCATTGACTTATACACATTACGAAGAGAATGGGTTCATGCATCAACTCTTGATGTACAATCCCTACAGGTTGCATGAGCTTGTTAACCTGTGGCATGGTTGATAATCCCTATTCCTAATAACATTTTGGTGGGTATTATGATTTGGTACTCGTTGCGTCTTCTTTGCTTCTTCCTCTGCCCCCCCCCCCCCCCCCCCCCCCCCCACCACTCCCTTGACTCGTGAAGGATTTCACACGTAGTAGATCTCAAACTTTTTTACCAAAATGGAAACGCGATAAAAGCTATGATTACTTTCTATTAAATTACATGACTTCTCATTCATGAATAAAAACGTAGAGCAAAAGTACATATTTACAGGACTGATCCTCCAAACCCCTTTTTTCCCCAAAGACAAGGTAAACTGACCTAAACGACAAGGTAAATAATAAATTTCTAGACAAGACATAATAATAAAGCATAACATAATAATAATATCCCAACTTAATAATAACAGAAAAGGCTAATACTACTAACAAAATAATAATTGACCACATGGCTCAAACGATGCTATAATGCATCAATCCTCCCCCCTTAAGCAACCTTGTCCCCAAGGTTGATCATCCACTCCATGGTTGTTAGCAAACCTATGTCCATACGTGAACCGCTCATCACAATTGTAGCATAACCCATCTCTACGAGCGTAGCTTCCCCCGGAGACATATTTTCGATAACCCTTCTCGATGCATTTAGCGGACCCGGTCCTTGCCATTGAGTAACTAAAACTACCGCATTCGGTGGTACCGGTAGCTTGATGACAGGCACGTTCGTCCTATGGGCCGATCGCGACATCACCCTCCATAACCGCAACTCTTCCTCCTTGATTTTTAGCCAGACGATACGCTTCTTTGGTGTTTCCTAGATTGAATGCACAAATGGCAGCCACGATCTCCAATTTCGAGCCACCAATGTAAGCACCCATAATGGCCACCTCCGTCCACCCATGATAGCGATTCGCCAATTTTACAAAATTATGTTGGTACTCGTCTATCGATCATGTCTGTTGAATCTAGGCCAATGCCTCATGCCCTGAGGATTCTCAAATGACCCATACCTCCTTACCGGTTCTCCTTGCAAATTGGCTCAAGTCATGGCTCTCCCTTATTAGGCAAATTACTCTTCGAGCCACATAATCCACTGCCCTGCATCTCCGTCCATGTGATAGTTGGCTAACATCACCGTTTGCTCTTTTGGAACATGTTGGTACCTAAAATATTTCTCAACACGAGATATCCACCCCAATGGCTCTTCTTGACCAGTGAATTTTGGGAATTCGAGAGGAGCGAGGCGTGGTTTGAACATAGCGCGCCAGTCTTCCTCATGATAGCTTCCACGTCCTCCTGGATCCACCAATGATGCCCTGCCAATACCCTTCATATGTCTTGCGGGTTGGGTTGATCCATGATGCTCGTCACGCCGCTCAGCTCAATTGCTTTCATCACCTTTACCTTGGCTAGCTGGAGGATAGTGTGGCCCATATCCAAATTCATGGCTCGGTGAACCATGATCGAATCCGCTAGGCTCGCCCTAGTGTGCCCTGCGCCCATAACTCTTGGCCTATGGTAATAGCTCCTCTTAGGGCTGGCTATTTGGTCCGGGTTTTTTGGTTTTACCCGAAACCGGACCGTATAACCCGGACCGGGACCGGATAGTAAACAATCCAATCCAATCTTTAGGCTTAGATTTGAGGTAAAAAACCGGATAAGAGAGCTCAACTCCCAAAACTTAAGGGTAATTTGCATAAACGGTCACAAACCTTTGCACTTAGTACAAAACTTAACCAACTCCTCACCCTTTAAGGCCTTAGGCCACTCAAATCCCACAATCTCAATATAAAATCAAGACCGAATTGGGACTGGACCGGATCAAGACCGGACTGTATCCAATCCAATCTTCGGTCCTTATATTTTCAAAAAGACCGGACTGGACCGGATCAATTTGGGCCAATTTAACCAGACCGGACCGTATAGCCACCCCTAGCTCCTCTGATGTGGTGGAAGTGGTTGGACTTCCGGCCCGTTGCAGTAACTCCCCTGAGGTGGCGGTGGATGAGCCACGTTCCTGGCCCCATCCCATTCTCTCCTTGCTCCTTTGACTCGGTTTGGTTAGGCCCGACTCCACATAACAAGGCTTCAGTCACGTCTCCAATGTTCGACCCTAACCCTTGTCACCGGGCCTTGGCCCATGTAAGCCGTCGCCTCCTAGGGTTGGATCGACCACTGTGTTGCGGCCCATGTTAGTACGACTCCCCAAAGGCGGCTCGAGCCCTCTTTGTGGCCTATTCTTGAGCAAAGGTGGCCCGCTTCCACTCGCCCCTAGCCCCATTCCTGCAGCATGCTCTGCGGCCCAACAGGCTTACACAGTGCGCTTGCTGCATCATGATCCGAGCTGTCTACGATGAGGTTTCCCCACGAAGCGGCACCCGTCCCTCACGAAGGAAGACCAGTTCTGGAATTCCCCTCAACTCCTCCGTCCAGATATCCTTGCATCTTCGATGCTGCCTTTTGGTCGACCGGTTCGGGTACCGCCAGCACTGGGTTGATGGGTTGTGGTGACTCGCCCTCCTCGATCGCCAACTTATGCTTCTCTTCCGCGAAAATCAGATCAACGGTTCGCCTTGCCCTTATTGCCATTTTTGCTTTTAGCTCCGCGAACATGGATGTCACGTGTACAAACATAATATCCATTCATAGGAACCCTCTACGCAACTCCTCTTGCAAAGACTTCACTATCGCATTTGTCGCTGCTTGTTTGATTTGTATCTCAACTAGCCCCATCTTCAAGTTTGTCACGTCGGTGGAGAGGGTAGCTCGCGCAAGCTCTCCTTTTCGACAACACTCTTGTCTCCTGGTGGCCTTCGAGAAGCTCGCGTAGTTGCGGAGGTCTGGCCTCCTCCTCGGCGATGCTCTCATGTGACGCAACCTGCGAAGTCACCTTCTTCGGTGGCATGATTCCCAAACCTAGTCGTGGAACAACCAGGCTCTGATACCAATTGACGCGTGAAGGATTTCACGCGTAGTAGATCCCCGAACTCTTCTACCAAAACTAAGAAACACGACAACAGCTATGGCTACTTTCTACAAAATCACTTGACTTCTTATTCATGAATAAAAACGTAAAGCAAATGTACATATTATAAGACTAATCTCACAAACCCCTTTCTCCCAAGACATGATAAAGCAATCCTAAAACGACAATGTAAATAATAACTTTCTAAACAAGACATAATAATTAAGCATAACATAATAATAATATCCCAACTAAATAATAGAAAAGACTATTACTAATAACTAATAATAATTGTCCACAAGGCTCAAACAATGCTATAAAGCAATAATGCATCTAGGGGTGCTTAAACGGTGTGGTTACCGTGGTAACTGTTTTAACTCGTAGTATTTGGTTGGTTTGGTTAATTTGGATAATTGGTTTGGTTTGGTTAAAATTTTTAGCTTGTTTGGTTTAGGTGGTTTGGTTTCGGACACTCTTAACCAATAAAATCAAATTAACCAATTAAGTAATTAGCTATATATCTAATATATTATATATATGCATACTTAATACTTTGCATAACCACTGAAGACTCAAATGTAAGATAATTGTATTAGTTACGTGTATTTATATTAAGGGTTAACTATAATTTTGTGTTGATTTTTATGTGTTATTCATGATATAAATTGCAAATTGATGCACTAACCGGAAATATTTCTCACTTAATAATAATGTGATGGTATATTAGTTATTTTGGTTAACCAATTAACCAAACTGATTAAACTTTAGTTTGATTAATTTGGTTGTTGTATTAGTTTGGACGATTTGATTATGATATTGTATTCCATGGTTAATATAATTTAAACTTATTTGGTTTGGTAATTACCATAGTAACCATTTGAACACCCCTAAATGCATCACCCCTCTCCGTTTCTTCTATGACACGTAGCAACCTCCGGGAAGAACTGATATGGAGAAGTAGTGTCATTGACTACATAGTATAACATTTTGATGCTGATTGTCGAATTAATTTTTAACCATGTTAATAACGGTGAATACGATTTGGTTTACTTCATTTGCACAAGAGCCTGCGGCTGTAATTGGACCGAAGAAATTACTCTAACCTGGGTGTGGGAAAGGCTGGCTCGCCTGGCCTTCCAATAGGGCATTGTGATATGGTACATACATGTATCTTATGGTCCTAGTTCCCTTTTCAACCATCGAGAAACATGTTCACATCAATTCAATAGGGTTATTCTGCTAACTCTATAAGTGGTTAGTAGATACTACCACGGTCGGATTTGAGGCCACGTCGCCGAGCCACGATCGAAGGGAGTGGACTTGTTGGCGCCGTCGTGTGAGGGGGAAGAGAGGTGTCACGCTAAAACACAACACCAAACTGCGATCAAGTGCAATCGCGGAATGGAAATGCAGAATAGTGGTAAGTTCAATTATCAACCCAGGGTCTAGATCTACAGCATACTCTGTGACTGACTACCTGTTATCTAGCGGGACTAAGTGTAGTAAGAATGATTGCAAACAAAAGCAGCAAGAAAGCAAGAAATGGTTCGAAGTTCTTAGGCAAGGGAAGAGTCACTCGGGAATGAGTCCCCCTAGCTCCTTAGTTAGGTCAAAGTTGTAATTTCCTTTGGTTGATATACTGTTGATTAAACTGCGGAAGATCCGACAGTAGCTTGGAATCTCTTAAGCTGACCAAGCCCTCTCAGACAGACTACCCGGCAGACGACTAGTCTTCACGGGAATAGAACGCCGAGGCAATTAACACATAACTCTACTACTGGAATTGGGTTCCAATACAAAATAGTGAATCGATTAACTCTCATATAACCAATTCACTAATACCGATTGAGGAAACTCTAACAACCTAATCAGATTCTATCCAACTCAGGTTGCAGCAGAAATCAAGAAAAGTTTATCAGGCTTCAATTGACTCAATAAAACATGCCTCAATTGATTATAATCACATAGTATATCAATCCAAAAGTCATTACAATCAATATATCTAACACATGGAACTAGGGTTCTTCATACCCAAGTGAGAGGGAGTTCTACTCCATAGAGAGAGAGAGAGAGAGAGAGAGAGAGTAAAACAGAATACAAAGGAGTCATACTCATAATGATGGGAAGAATCTGCTTTGGGAAGATAATCTTCACTCCAAGGATGAAATCCAAGCTTGATCGATGAAACCCAGCTCCAAAATCACTCCTAGGGTTTGTTCTTTGCACTCTCTCTCTCTAGGACTCTGTTTTTGCTCTGAAAGTTCGTCCCACTCTTCAAAGAGCCGAAATTGTGTTAAAATCCATAATTCCACGACCACACGGTCGTGTGGAATCCCCAGCTGTCGTGTGGAATCCCCAGCTGTCCGTGTGAAGTCTCAAAACACGGCGTTTGATTAAGTGACTCAATGTACGCTACACGGCCAGAACCGCACGGCCGTGTAGAAATATTGCCTGCCCGTGTGAATTCTCTGGAAATCCCACATGGCCAAAAAGGGCCCTTACCCGGCCAGTGTGGCTTTGCCCATGCAAAGGGGTTCCACAAGGCCAAGTCACATGGTCGTGTGGAATTTAGGTCAGGCCGTGTGGTTTCCTCAACTTTTCACCAATCGTCCCAACTTCGTCCAATCGACCCCGAATTCGTGCCCAAACCTTCCTTCACGTACTAGGACCTGAAATATCATAAGTAAGAACAACCTAGCGTGAAATAGGCCTAAAACACGAGAGACGAGTCTCAAACAGTATAAGAATGGTGGACAAAAACATGTGTAAATATCGAATCATCAAATTCCCCCACACTGAACCGTATGCTTGTCCCCAAGAAAACCTGACTCAAACCAATGAAACTCTCTAGACCTTTATAGAAACATGCAACCACGATCGTCGGTAGTGGACGTTCTAAGTCATTTAGCAGCTTACGAGGTCAACTGGTCTTCTAAGACGTCCCCTATCTCTCTCAATGCGAGTACTAGCCTCAAGCCAGGATCATGAGAAGCACTGGAACTAAGACAACCAATTCATGGATAAGGAGACTCACACAATTCAACAACCAAAGACTCTTTGTATCGGGTGCTCTTTCATTTCATTTCACTTGTTGGAACCACCTTTTTCGCATTATTTGTTCTTTTTTTTCCTTTTTCTTTACTTCACTGGGGTTCCAACATCAGTTTTTATGCGCGGTCGGCCCTTGTTAGGTGAGCAAGAGCAATTTTTGTACATCTGTCGCTCGCCAGAGTACTTCTTTTAACCCCTATTCCTCACTTCGTGTGGAGGGTCAATGAAATTAAGGGGTGTCAGAAGCTCTATCCGTGCCCATAAAAATACATCCTCGAGTAGGCAAATCGTTCAACGAGTGAAAATTTTACTTGTACCTGAGACAACTTAGCTTCACCTTGTAGGCCTACCCCACCAAGGATCACTAAAATCTCTTCCAAAACCCGATTTTGTGCAATGAACGGTGCCACACACGTTGGGCTTACCCCATGTCTCAAAATTTCAAAGTTTTTGACATGGAGGACCAACTGCCTTTTCATTTCACATTTGAGCACCCTTTTTTGATAGACGAGTCCTCAACACAACATAAGAGAAGTCATCAATACCACATGAATCAACGGTCCTAAATCCACTAGTTCACAAAATCAACCGGCATAGCAGAGAGATGTATAGGAAAAATATTATACTTCAACATCCTCCATAGTGCTACAACTACCTCCCTAGGTTGCATATCACCATAAAGACTGTCAATTCAAAGCATACTGAGCAGGGTATTGCAGGGAATAGTACTTGGAGCCCTCAATTCACCAAATCGGACAATGGATTAGGCTCCAAGTAACTCATATATGAAGTCAAAGATAAACACCCCCCCCCCACTCACACACTTAAGCACGACATTGCTCTCAATGGAGAAGAGGGAAAGATAAGTGGAATGATTTTACCGTGAAAACGGACTGTCGGGGTTGGCGATGGGACCAATCCACAGAGCTAGAGTCATCAAAACACACTGGGTGGTAGAAATCATAGTTCCAAGTGGACAAATCGAAAACAAACGAACGGAAAACAAACCTTAGTGGGGTTGCCTCCCCACAAGCGCTTCTTTTACGTCTTTAGCTGGACGTAGAGGGTGGATGCTCAGAGTGGTGTAGGAACAGGTGCCTTCAAGAGCGGATCCACATCGCTCTTGAGGTACAAATTCAGATGGTGGCCATACACATGACGGGTGTGACCACCAGCACTTGTCAACTCGACCTGGCCATCCGACAGGATGCAAGCGAGTGAATGCTCGGATGGCCAGGGCGGTCATGGCTCAGGGGCCGGGACCAGCTCATAGTGGTCTCCAACTTTCTTTTGAGAAGGCTTAGCTATCTGCAGTTTCGGCCACCACTCCTCCTTGATCTTTTCTTTTGGTAACGAGACGGATGAGAGTGGCGGCGCAGGAATTAGAGTAGACTCCTGCAAAATGGAAGGCACAGAAGGATACACGACAGACTCATGCACCTGGTGAGAGACAGCATGCAAAGGCGATAAAGTAGGCATATTATTAGCAATAGAAAATGTTACATGCTCCTCGCCATCTCTCAAGACTAGGGTCCCATCATGTACATCTATGAGAGCCTTGGCGGTGGCCAGGAAAGGCCTTCCCAGTATAAGGGGCACTTATGCGTCTTCATTGATGTCCAAGACAACAAAATCCACAGGATAAAAGAATATGCCAACCTTAACCAGAAGGTCTTCCACTATGCCCCTAGGATGAACTACAGATCAGTCAGCTAATTGAATACTCATCCTAGTTGCACTGGGTTCACCTACGCCTAGTTTCTTGAATAGTTTATATGCTATAACATTGATGCTAGGAGGCACAACAAATACTCTGCTACAACGGTATGACCAATGTGCTCCCATGGAACAACATTATCTTGCCCTTTCTCAAAAGGGCGTGGTTGGAGTCGATTCGGCATTTTGTAGGCATAAAAGTCGATCGCCAACTCATCACCGCATTGGTGGAGAGATGGCGAAAGGAGACACATTGTTTCAAATTTTGCGAAGGAGAGTGCACCATCACGCTAAAGGACGTTGCCATCCTAACCCATCTGCCCATCGACGACAAAGCGGTGTGTGTGAGTGATCATCCCCCCCCCCCCCCCCCCCCCCCCCCCCCCCCCCCCCCCCCCCCCCCCGAGGATGTTGGCGGCATGACCGGTTGGCAGCATTTCATCTACAATGTTTTGGGGGTGAAAGTACCAATCAAAGGGATGGGGTGCCCCTCACCGAGGAAAGTCCAGAGGAAGTGAAGGAAAGATATGCTCGTGTCTATCTCATAGGCATGATCGGAGGAGTGTTCTTCTCCAAGAAGTCCAGCAATTTAATTAGCTGTGGATGGCTTAGGATCCTCCTTGGTAGTTGGGATGAGATGGGGGAGTTGAGCTGGGCATCCGCTTGCCTAGCTAATATCTACCACCATTTGTGCAATGCATCTCTCAAAGCTGTGAGGGAGGTTGGCGGGGCAATGTTCATCGTCCAATTTTGGCCTTGGGAGCATCTGCCATGGATTGCACTGCTCAAACATCCTGACATCAATTGGGGTCCCGATCATCCCCTAAGACTCGAAGCTTATGGTTGTAGGTAAACTTCTCATACCCAATCATTATTTTCATAACACAATTTCGTTTGTGTTTTTAGCTTATTGTAGTTTCATTATTGTCTTATTAATAAGGTGGGTTGGAGCCTCAACATGAGACAACCTTGCCGAACACAAGTTGGTAGAGTATCGGAGGAGGCTAGAGCGACTTTGGGAAGGAGAGGTAACTAGAATACTTCCAAGTGTTATAACTTTTTTCATGGAGTACATGTATTTTTCAAATTTTGTTTAACTTAAGTTACTCATTTCTTTTTGTAAATCATCTACGATCCATACCCTGAGAACATCGTTCATTGGCATCTCCAGCAATTCCCTGAGAACATCGGTCAATGGTGCACGAGGGTCCCTCTAATTTGTCACAATACCGTGGAGTGGCACTGATGCTCTAAAACACAACACCAAACTGCAACCAAGTGTAATCGCAGTCCGGGAATGCAGTAAAGTGGCAAGTTCTATTATCAACCCGAGGTCTAGATCTACTGCTTACTCAGTGATTATCTATTATCTAGCCAACTAAGTCAAGTGATTGTTGTTTTAAGCAAAAGCAAAAAGAAAGCAGGAATTGGTACGGTTTTCTCAAGCAAAGAAGAGTCACTCGGGAATGAGTCCCCCTAGCTCCTTAGTTAGGTTTCAATTGTAATTTCCCTGGGTTGATTTACTGTTGATTAGACTGCGGAAGATCCGACAGTAGCTTGGAATCTCTTAAGCTGACCAAGCCCTCTTAGACAGACTACCCGGCAGACGACTAGTCTTCACCGGGATAGAAAGCTGAAGCAATAAGCGCAGAACTCCACTACTGGAATTGGATTCCAGTACAAAGCAGTAAACTGGCTAACTCTCGTATAGCCAATCTCCTACTACCGAATGATGAGGCTCTAACAGCCTAATTAGATTCTATCTGTCTCAAGTTGCAGCAGAAATCAAGAAAAGCTGATCAGACTTCAATCAATTCAATAAACATGCATCATTCGATTAAAACCAAGCAGTAATATCATCCCAAGTCATTACAATCAAATCCCTAACACATGGAACTAGGGTTCTTCATACCCAAGAGAGAGAAGGGTTCTACTCCATAGAGAGAGAGAGGAAAACAGGATACAAAGCAGTCATACTCATAACAATGGGAAGAATCTGCTATGGGATGATGATTTCCACTCCTATGACGATCTCCAAGCTCGATTTGATGAAACCCAGCTCCAAGATAGCTTCTAGGATGTGTTCTTCGTACTTTCTCTCTCTAGGGCTCTGTTTTTGCTCTCAAAATCCGATCCTCTCACTTGCAGCCCGAAATTGGGTAAAAACCAGAAATTCCCGACTCACACGGGCAGGTCACACGGCCGTGTGGCATACCCAGTTGCCCGTGTGAGGTCAAAACGCCGCGTTCCGAGTAATTGGATTTCAGGCTTCCTACACGGCCAGGGTCACACGGCCGTGTAGCTCACCCAGCCTGGCCGTGTGAAGCCTCGCAGAATTCCGCACGGCCAAATCACTCCTTCACACGGCCGTGTGGAATTTATTTGTGCCCGTGTGAAGCCTTGCACAATCCCACACGGCCTCCTTGGTCACTTGCACGGCCGTGTGGGTTTTGTGTGTGCCCGTGTGGCTTCCTCAGCGACTCGCCGCGCGTTCAATCTTCGTCCAATCGACCCCGAACTCGCTCCCAAGCCTTCATTCACTTACTAGGACCTGAAATATCACAAACAAGCACAACCTAGCGTGAAATCGGCCTAAAACACGAGAATCAACACCTCAAACGGCTCCAGAATAGGGGTAAAAAACATGTGCAATTAACGGCTTATCAAACTCCCCCACACTTAACCGTTTGCTTGTCCCCAAGCAAACCAAGTCAGACACAAGGTAAGCTTACATAATTCAACCATACCAACATTGGGGACAAATCATATAGGCACAGAAACACGTGAATCAAACTGGTTTTCAAACATCAACACATGAACAACCTCAATAGCAACCTGGACAACCACCACAGAAGACATTCGAGTGCGGGAAAATCGAGTAAAGGAGGAGTCTCCCTTCTGTTCATCAACCAACCTAGACTTGACTCAACCACTTACTCAAGACAGTCAACTCATGCATAAAACTCAAGATATCAGAATAGAGACCGAGCAATCTAGGTCCTCACCGGGTAAAGAGTGTAAAGAACAAGGAAATGAATCGCTCACTCTCGACCAGTGGTGTCAGGACAATTTGATGCGAAAAATGCGCATACTAATTCTCTCAATTCCTAACATCTCTTCACCATGACGGCAACCTCTAAAGGTTAGAGTTCACATAAATGGTTGTCATCACCAACTAATCAGGAGGTCTTAGACACAGGTTCAAATGACTGGCTAGGGTCTTGGACATGGGGAAAAAGGCTTTTTAGGTGGTGGAAGTATTCATAGCACAAGGTCCCACAATTCCAAACCCAACAAACTCACAGTCAATCAAACCAGTACTTTCTTTCTGCTATTCTGCATTACTCAAATTCTTCAGAGAACAAGAGCGAAGGAGGTCACATAAATACCAGTATTTCTAAGCCAAACTGCTAAGAAACACTACTTAATGGGCACTATTCAGATTTTTGGTGGTGGCTCTCTTTTGCTTTCATTTTTTTCTTTGTTTTTCTTTCATTTTTTCCATTTCTTAAGAGAACCACCACCTCTGCACATTTTCAAACACCTGCCCAACTTTTTAAGAACTACCTCCAACTCTCACATTACATTCAACAGAAACAGCAGAGAACATGTAAAAATCACTCTGTGGAACCTTCTAAAAGATGCAAAAGGGTGACTTTTCATTGAAGACTGAAAGAAAGGCTAACACACGGCTCAAAGGGGCTGACTAGGGGGTATGACACACCAGGACAGTCAATTTGGTCGTGGGCTAATCCTATGCCTCCATCATCTTAGCTAATGACAACGTGTATGCTACACATCATGGAAGAGGGATCTATCGCACAAGAAAGAAACGAGCAGGCTCAAATCTCACATGGTTACCTATATGCTCTATCTCTCATTCTGATTCCCTGAACTAGATGCATAAGAGACTGTCAAAAACAAGTAATCAATCCAAGTCACAGTTGGTAAGCAAACAATTGAAAAACTTAACCCCTACACAACTCTACTGCACGTCTCAGTCATCATAATAGGTTGTCTTAGTCACCATCCAATTGTCATGCATTAATCCGAAAACCATTCAATTCACCAATCAAAACACAGTGCCAATATGATCAAAAAGCCGTACTTGGAGCCCTCAAATCTCGAGATTTGGACAGTGGACTAGGCTCCAAGCACACGTACATAAATTCCAACCGATACAAAGCACCCCCCCCCCCCCCCCACTTAAGCACGACATTGCCCTCAATGGAGCAGAGGGAGAGATAAGGGGAACGATGTTACTGGAGTGAAATACTGCAGAAGACTGGAAGTGGACCAGTCAGCGGGGGACAGATGGAACGAACGGGCATTTCTGCACTAAAGGAACATCAAGAACACACTAGCACATGTTCGTTAGGGATCAGAGTTGGCCCAAATGGCCACAAAAGAAACAATCCACAAAAGAAAAGAAACAAAACACACGACAAACTCAGTTCAAGCTCCTCAAACACATGGAGCAACATAAAAAAGTCTAAACACAAAAACACACACTGAGGGGCGACAAGTACAACCTACTCGTCGCCAAGGTTGTCCAGATCGATGTCATTCATGAATGCATCATCATCATCAGCTGGTGGAGGTGGCAGTGGAGAGTCCTCCCAGGGAGTCCTCCGACTGCTGCTCGCCCGGTACCAGCTGGAGCAGATGCCCCTGTACCTCCTGCATGCGCCTAGCTCGGGCCTGCTCCCTCTCGATGCGCGCCAGGGACACCCCCTGATGGGTCTCCATCCTATCAAGGCGCTCATCATATGCAGCTATCCTGGTCTGGTAATCGGCATGGTGAGCCGAATACTGCTGCTGAAACTGGAGCTGATAGTCGTAGAGCTGCTGATTCTGGAGATGCAGCTGCTCGAACTGCTGAGTGAAGTAGTCCTGGCTAGAGATGGCAACGGGTCGGATCGGGGCCGGATAATAGATATCTGATCCCCGCCCGAACAAAGTTCGGGTAATCCCCGTACCCGCCCGAACCACAAGAACGGATAATGAATTTCATACCATGTCCATCCCCGAATGGATATCGGGTAATACCCGATCTCCGAAAATACCCGACTTAATTGATAAAAACATATTAGTAAAGCATAACCATGAAACAAAAGTTGACAATTAATTAATTCGGGGAATAAATGAAAATAGCAAATTAATGAACCATGAAATAACAATCCACGATTCATCCAAAACTCTCCAAAACCAAATAGTGTTTCTCTCCCACAAGGTAAAGCCAATGTTGGTATTGCATACTGTTCCAACGCAACAGTTGATAAAGAAAAACATAAAACAACTCTAAATAAAAATTCCAAATTGCTGCAACATCTTCATGAATCATGACATCAGCAACTCCTTGTGGGAAAACCAGCAAAAAAACCAATCCTTAGCTCCATTCAAGCAACCCAGCACCGCCAGCAACATGAGCAAGATAAACCACCAGTAAATCACCAGTCCTTAACTCCATAGCCCACCACTATCTAGAAGCATGCATAAACAATAAATAACATTACTTAATAATTTCCAGCAACACCACACTAAAAAGAGCAGCAACCTTAAAATGAAACTAAATAAAGAACATTACTTACCAGTAACAAGACACTGAGGAGAGAGGACAGTAGCACCCCTTCTAATGTTCATCAATACTCATCCAAGTGACATGTTGATAAATTCTTGATCAATTGTTGTTCTACAAAGATAAACGAAAACAGAGGTTAGAGCAGTCAACAAGATAACAAAATAAGAGATAATTGAAGATTAATCCAAAAAAAGAAATAAAACCCAACAATAACCTTCATCTTCATTCTCAGGTTCTATGTTCGGATTAAGAATTGAAGATTGATCCTTCAAATGAGTAGCATTAGCATCTGATGTGTAAGCAAATAAATAAAAATCAGCAGCTTGTAATATAAAAAGAGTTACAGGAAAGCATGATAAGAATAGTTTTACCTATCATAAATGAATTTTGGAGCCAACTCCTTGTGCACATTAATACCTCAACAGTTATATAATCAAGTCTACTACGATGAGGGTCCAATAATCGACCTCCAGCACTGAAGGCTGATTCAGAAGCAACAGATGTAACAGGTACAACAAGTACATCTCTTGCAATCTCTTGCAAGATAGGATACTTAATCCCATTAAATTTCCACCATAGTAAGATATCAAAATCTGCAGACCGGGGAAGGATTTCCTCATTCAAATAATTCTCCAATTCGGTTTGGCTTGGTGTTGCCCTTGATCTTTTCCTCTGTTTAACATACATATCAAAGTCCAAATTTGTACTAGAAGCATCACTTGATGGCTGGCCACCAGTACCAGCAGCAGAGAAAGAATACTTTCCATTTTGTTTGGACTGATATTCCAATAGCAGACCACCCAAAATATCCTTTATTTTCTTCACATCCAACACACACTCATCATCCCCAAACTTCTCAGCATAGTACTCCACGATCTGAATTTTGTATCTAGGATCCAACACAATAGCAACTGCCAAAATTTCATGAATGGCACCCCAATACTTGATGAACTTATTCCACATTTTTTCGGCCATCTTAGAAATCACAGGATCAGGATCACAAAGCCACTCAGAAAGTTTAAGCTTCACATCACAAATTTTAGTGAAGAACACATTGGCAGTTGGAAATTTGGATCCAGAGAATAAATCTGATATGTGGCTAAAAACTTGCAACTTTTCACAAACCATGGAAGCAAACTCCCAATGAGAAGATGTAGGCAAAGAACAATATTGAGAATCACGTTGTTTCAACCTAGAAAACAACTCCTTGTATGGTATAGCAGCAACAAGCATGAAATAAGTTGAATTCCAACGAGTAGGGCAATCTAAAATCAGTATTTTATATGGAGGACACTTTCCATTCATTTGCTTTGCTGTCTCTTTATAAAACTCAATTCTCTTGGGAGTGGCAGACCAATAAGCAACACTTTCACGAATCTTTTCAATTCCATCTTTCACCACATCCAAGCCATCTTTCACAATTAAGTTTAATATATGGGCAGAACACCTCATATGAAGCAAATCACCATCCCTCAACAAGTAAGACGATACCAACTTCCCCTTAACCTTCTCAATCATAGCATCATTGGTGCTACAATTATCCAAAGTTATAGTAGATACCTTAGTGTCCACGTTCCATCTCATCATGCACTCGGTCATATAATAGGCCAATCTATCACTTGTGTGTGGGGTTGGAACATACAAGAAGCTGCAAACCAGAAGAAACTTGGGTTAGTTGAATGATCCCGTTACCCAAATACAAACAAAAGAAGACAGAAATTAAAGATTACACATCATACCTTAGAATGTGACTTCGAAGAGCCCATGAATTATCAATGTAATGAGCTGTAACAGCCATATAACCTTTTTTCTGGTTGCTTGCTGTCCACATATCAGGGGTGATGGCAATTCTTCCCTTATTATTGTCAATAAACTTCTGAATCCTGCTCTTCTCAGAAGTATAGATCTTAAAAATATCCTTCTTAATAGTATTCCTTGATGGAACACTAAACAAAGGTTGAAGAGAGCACACAAAGCGTTTGAAATACAGATGATCCACCATTGATAAAGGATACTCATGCATAACAAGGGCAACAGCAAGCTCATTCCTAGAAACCTCGTCATCAAATTGACTTGCTACCATTTCCCTTTTCCCCTTCGCTACAAAATTAGGGCCAAGTACTTTTTGTTTTTCTTCTTGAATCCTCCTCTGCATACAAGTCTTAACATGACTTTTCAAGTGAGATGTGCCATTTCCAGATTCACCACCAAGCAGCTTCTTGCAATAGTTACACTTAGCTTTGATTACACCCTTAACTCTTACTTTCGTAAAGTGTTGCCACACTACACTTTTAAGACGTCCCAACTGAATTACCTCTTCATCAGGAGTTGTTTCAATTTCATTGAGATTCATAGATGGTTGTGCTTGAATACCTTGTTGATGGTTAGTAGTCCGTTGTGTTGAACCAGTACCAACAATCACAGCTTCTTCACTTCCTGGTTCAGGAGCTACAGGAAACTGTTGAGAAGCGGCAACATTGTTTTGGTCCATATTAACCTGCAATAAGTAGACGAAATTGAATTGTACTTAATCAAAACCCAGATAACGCATGAAGAACAATCATCAATCTTTTCTCGTCAATGCCCAATAAATGGATAGATCAATACAAATAAAATCCAAAAATTTGAGACTCAATACAACATAATGAGAAAGAAGATGAGAAGAAGTCTGACCTTAGAGGATGAAAGTTGTTTAGGTTGAGGCTGGGTTTGCAATTCTCTCTTTTGCATGGATTCCTTTTTTTAGATCATGAGAATCGCTGAATTAGAATTAGGATCCATCAGCTATATATATATAGCCAGCGGCAGCAGAGCAATTGCTAGCTGTTTCTCAATTCTCATCCATTGAAGAGTTTTCTCGATTCTCTAACTGCCTCATCGGAACTTAGCCGTAAAAGCTTGGAAAAGAAAATTATAATTAATGTCTCTCTATTGAAGGGTAAAGGAGTAGCAGAGTATATGGATGGGTACTGGAAGATGGAAATCGCATGCTCTAGGTAATTAATAGAAAAGAGAAGATGAGAGGCCATTGATTTTTCCAAGCATCACGATTCACAGAGTGTTTATTAGGGTAAACGGCGCATGCTTGGGGGAGTAAAGGTCTAGAGGAAGACAGGTCTCGAGAAGGATTCGGGCACGGGTTCGGGGCGGATAGTATGAAATCCGTTCCCTACCCATCCCCGATAATTAATGTTTCGGGTATTATCCATCCCCTACCCGGATCCAGTCAACACGGATTTTACCCGTTATGACCGGTTCGGGTTTGGGCGGGCAACCGGATCCATGGATTTTCCTGCCATCCCTAGTCCTGGCCGGGGAAGGTGGAACTGCCACCCCCGTACTCGAAGGTGGTGGGGCGGGCGGCAGCAGTATCATTCACATCCTCCGGGTGGACATCCTCATCACCCGCACCCTCGGGAACCTCCGGCTGGACCTCCTCTGGGATCTAAGGTTGAGGAAACCCCTCGATCCACATAACACCACGCTCTTCTCGAAGCAGGTGCATTTTACTGATCGTAAACCGGCCAAAGGCACTGGTGTCCCCCTGCTCTGTGCACTCCTGCAGGGATATCTGGAAGTAGGCTGCCAGACGGGTGATGAGAGGGGTGCAGTGGAGTTTCTTCAGCTCAGAAGCACTCTTGGCGAAGGTCCTCGCCACCACCGAACCCAAGTGGAGGGGATGATCCCTCTGGCGCATCGACTGGATGAAGTACATGGATCTCTTGGTGATGGCGCTGGCACTGTCCGAGGCCAGAGTGTAAGACTTGGCCAGCAGATGGTGGAGGATGCGGTTGTCGAGTTGCAGTGTGCTGGCCTTCGTCTTCCCCGCCGAGAAAGGACGCTGGCCTGGCCTAGCGAGGCGGGTGTACAGTGCCAGGAAGTCCACCCCCTCTGGCTCGGTGAGCTCGGTGATGTAGTCCCTGTCATCGACCAGGTTGAGGCCGAGGGCGGTCGCCAGCTCGTTGTAGCTCATGGATCGGTGTTCACCGCCGAGCCTGAACTTGACGGCTTCGCCGTCCGTCAAATCTTCCGTGTCTGCGTGCTGGAAGGTCGTGTAGAACTCAAGCACGAGCTCATGGTAGACCTTCTCGCGAATGGAGAGTAGGCGGCGCCAGGGGAGGTTGGTGAGTATGGCGGAGAAGTGCTCGTAGCAGTTCAGCTTCTCCAACTCTCGCTTGGACCAGCAATGATGCTGCCCAAACTTGCAGGCCAGGACGCTCTTGAACCGATCCTGGTGGGGCCCCCTTCTCAAATCGTGAATGAACGGGTGCCTGAGGTTGGGCTTCGTCATGGTCCTGCAAAAGAACAACCCAAAGTGGAACCACAAGAGCCAAGGAAAATGTTAATCACACCCCCACACTTAAGAACAGAAAACAGCCTAACCATGGTTTCATCCATAGTTCGGGGGTCAAAAACTCGATAAATCATGCATAATCTGAGTGGGAGTGCACATTCACGATAAAGTAGGCAACTCAAGGTTCACATCCATAGCAAACATACCCTCAAAGCACATCATTAAGGGCCCCAACC